GCTGAGATCTACGCCACAGCCATGGCTGCACAGGAGCTACGCTGGCTTACCTACCTGCTGACTGACCTCGGAGAGCGGCCTAGTTCTCCTCCAGTGCTGTACGTCGACAACAAGGCAGCCATTGCCTTGTGTGAGGAGCACAGACTGGAGCACAGAACGAAGCACATCGCTCTGCGCTACTTCCTCGCTCGAGAGCTGCAGCAGCGTGGTCAGCTTCGTCTGCGTTACGTGGCCACTCGGGCCAACACAGCTGACGTGTTCACCAAGGCACTTCAGCCTTGTGACCATCACCGTTTCTGTACTGTTCTAGGCCTTGTGCCTACTCTCCCTCACTTGCTCACTTCTTGACTCTGCTTGTACTGTGATCTCTATATATATACCTGCATGCCTTTACTTGCTAGGTTGTGATCACTGTACCTCTCGTTCTATTATCAAACTGCATGTGAACTGGTCTTGTGACCACTTGCTTGTGCTCGGAATTTGTGTGGTATCCTTGAGATCCACCCTGAGCTTGCTTTGCTTTTCTTGACTGGTCTTGTGACCCCTTGTTCTCCCCCACTTTGCCTATGGGGGTGTGTCAAACTTATATGCTATTGCTTGTTTAGGCTGTAGTGGGTTAGACAATATGGGGTACAACACTTTAGGGTTTCACTACTTGTACCCAAACTTCCTGCTAGTTCAATCATTCCTGTTTTGTACATTTGACACGAGTGACCAAGACGGTGGTGCCTCAGGACTCTCGGGTGGGTGAGCGACCGACAGGAGCACGACGCAGCAACCTGACCGGACGCAGCTATCTGACCAGACAGAGCTACCTGGGGAGACTCATTGTGCAGAGTGAAGAGACCGGAGAGGGGCTCCTGGCAAAACGTGGCCAGGGTAGCGAAGATGTCACCGTCCACGCAGGTGGCATCACGCTCAGAGGGAGGAAACCAGGTGACGATGTGGAGGTCATAAATGTGTCCAAAACCCACCAAGTTCCTGGAGAACGAGGGGGTGTGTAGACCAGTGAGGACACCAGAGGGGGCAGCCGGGCACGGGAGGGTGGTAGAGCTGCGGGCAACTTCTCGTCCTGAAGTAGGATCAGCTAGTGTAACCGGAACTGGAGCAGGAAGCGGTGTGATAGTCGTGTGGTCGCGGAAGAAGCACTGAGACGCGCCAGACTCCAGCGTGAACGAGAGCGACGCATCAGCAGTAGGTGCACCTAGGCTAGTAGCTACACAAGCACCTAGACTGGAAGCACAAGCACCTACACTAGCAACAGGCAATGATCCTAAGCTACGAACACGCGAGCAAACAGATCCAGCAGCACTATAGTCAACATCAGCATACATCACGGAAGCAGATCCAATGCATCAACTAACTCTACCGCAGACATGTCCCACAAAGCAGGACTATAAGAGCGAGCAACCGGGGCCCAGTCCGGAGAGGGGCCAAAGTCGTACTGCGCGCGAACGCGGTCCGTGAGCTGCGCAAAGCACTGACTCTAAAGGTGAAAACGGCCACATCGCTGACCCTGACGACTTCCCGTCTAAACAACGTACAGGCAGGAAGGAGAAGTGATGCCATGCGATGCCGAACTAGGTGGACCACCGCCACGACTAGCGCTCCCTGGTCCACCGGGTCCCTACTGCTGAGGCTGCTGCTGCACCTGCCGCTAAACCCGCTGCTGCGGCTATCCATACTGCTACTGCTGACCCTGCTGTGGATGCTGCTGCTGGTACTGCTGCTGCCGCTGGGCCGCGTACCAAGCAGCCGCTCCATCAACCCCCTCCCATCAGGCCCGCAGGCCCAAGACCACCTCTAGTGCAGCCTCCAACAGACGCACTAGTGCCACTAGTACCTCCGCCACCCCTGACACCACCACCACCGCCACCACCCTTCCCCCCTCTCTTACCTCCCTTGCCCCAGGGCTGCCCACCCATGGTGGACACGGCTACAGTCTTGTCAGAAGAAGGAGACGTAGTAGAGGCAAGAAAAGCAGTGAAGGTGGGGAGCTGTGGAACAGTACACCCCTGAAAGAGCGGGGGAACTAGTGGAGCGAAGGTTGCTCTCGACATCCTTGAGTGCTGCCTTAAGGACCTCGACAGTGAATGCACTAGGGTGCTTTCGAAGAAGCGCGTCGCGTTCATGTGCAAGGCGGTAAGGGAGGCTAGTGACTATGGAGTGAATAGTGACAGGCATGGACGGGGGGAGTAGTGCAAGCTCAACCTCAGTACAAGCAGCACGGAAGCTGGCGTCGAGCGAGCGCAGGTGAGTGACAAGGTCACGGTCAAACGCTCCTAGGTCGGGAAACAGAAGTGGCATGAAGAGGCGACCAAGAGAGGCGGAGAAGGGAGTGGAATAATGGGTCTTAATAGCAGCGAGCAAGTCCTTGGCAGCTCAAACCTGGGTGAAGTGAGCCTCCTCAGACCCAGGGAGAAGGCTGCCTGGTGCAATGCAGGCGGCCGCGTCACGAGACTGCCACACCGACAGAGTTGTACGGGCCTTGTCAAAGCGCTCCCGGTCTGCGTCAGTAGGCTTGTCAGGAAGGGCAGCAGGGGGCGGAGGCGAAGGCAGGTCACCAGAGGCATGCGCCCAGAGTGTATCATTATCCTGGCGCTGACTCTGGAGGTACCGCTCAGCGGAGGAGCCAGGTGGGAAAGTCTAGGGCTCTACCCTCCGCGTCGCAACGCAGCATTCGAGCGGACGCCATAGCGAGTGTACGTGAGACTAGGAACGGCCAGGGACGACGAGGGGCGAAAGACTAAGAGCGGTGCGCAAACTCTAGTCCGACGCTCGGAAGGACGTACGAAACTCCACGAAGGACGCAAGAAAATGAGAAAGGAAAATGAAACTCTAGTGGTGCACAAACTCTAATCAAAGCCCCAACATCATCCGTGTTTCTCGTCATCTGTGCTTGTTCCTTCTCTCTCAAATGTATACATGTTACAACGTTAATATAACATTAACCTCAATCCTTCTCCCATCAAGCCTCAATTTTCGTATGAAGACACCTATCCATTTCAGGGTTTACCTCGCTCGCCATCCAGCCAGGTCGGGTGTGAGTATATTTTTTTTGGGCGTGAGGGTAGTTTGGATGCTTTCCTGTTCTGTGTCAGGTCTAGTTTATGGAATACTTGCACTGCGACTCGTGTTACTCAAACTACGCGACCAATCAAGAAAGTTATGGGTGGAACATCGCATGGATTGACACTCCTCATGGACAGTGGCTGACATGTAATACAAAGATGATACCCATATATTGTCAGTGTGGACGAGAATTGACCTCTGTGGACCCGTTCGCCTTTTTAGGCGCCTCAGATTATCTGGGGGCTGTGTGGAGGAGTATTGATCCCTGTGGACCCGTTCGGCTTTTTAGGAGCCTCAAAATATCCGGGGGCTGTGTGGAGGAGAATTGACCCATGTAGACCCGTTCGCCTTTTTAGTCGCCTCAAATGATCTGGGGGCTGTGTGGAGGAGTGTTGTTGACCTATGTGGACCCGTTCGCTTTCTGAGGCACCTCAAGAGATCAGGGGACTGTGTGGACGAGTGTTGTTGACCTCTGTGGACCAGGGCTAATTTTTGGATTTGAGCTACCCTTATTATCAGTGTAGTACAAGTGCAAAAACCGGATTATCAGTGTTACCCCTTGTAAAAACCCTGATGCATCAGGGTTTAGGCTGTTTTTGTAAAATCTACCCTGTCGCATCAGTGTTCGTAAATGACAAACCCTGGTGAATTGTTTTTAACGTTGCACTCAATACAAATTTTAGTCATCATCATCAGACATGCCACAAATGGGGGGGTGGGGGAACTGGGGGGCGGTTTCGGTTTCGCCAGTTGGCAATCGGGATTCGGGAATCCCGGGTTACGGGAAAGGGGGGGTGGGGGAACTGGGGGGGCGGGGGGGGGGGTATGGGTCTCGATTCAGGGTAAAACTCATTATGGAAATCGGGAACCCTTAGTAATCAGTGTGCCTTAAATGTAAACCCTGGCACATCAGGAAAATCTTGACTCCTAAAAAAATTACCCGGGACCATCAGTGTGACTACCAAAAACCACCCTGATTATCAGGGTATCAGGGTGATTTACACTGATAAAATTAGCCCTGCTGTGGACCCGTTCGTTTTTTTAGGCACCTCATTAGATTAGGGGGCTGTGTGGAGGAGTGTTGTTGACATATGTGGACCCGTTCGCCTTTTTAGGCGCCTCAAGCGATCAGGGGGCTGCGTGGAGGAGAATCTACATATGTGGAGCCGTTCGCTTTTTGAGGCGCCTCAAAAGCTCTGGGGGTTGCGTAGAGGAGCGTCGACCTCTATAGATACGTTCACTCTTTTGTGCGCCCGGCACAGCACAGGCAGTCCAGAGACGGTGCTCTGATCTGACAGCAGTACAGGCAGTTGAGATGGAACCATTGAGAGAGATTTGATAATCATATGTTGAAGCATTGCCCTCTGCGGATCCGTTCCGTGACCCCAGCTTCAATTTTCCAGGCACAGGCTGTCTTGAGACGGAGCTCCAACAGGAGCTCTGATGGGAAGCTTAAATGGGGGGAGCTTTCATGGGGAGTTCAATGGATTTTTTAAATTGTTCAAGGTGGTAGTAAGTAACTTGTTCCGGCACTCAAACTTGGCCCTGGACATGACCTCAGCTTCGTCGACCATGCCTCACTCTCTTAGCGCATTCAGAGGGGTTAGTCATTCTGGTCGCTGCTAATTTTGGTTGATTCCTACTACCGTACCCCCCTGGCCCCTAAAGGCTTACTGTTTCTTTGCCATCTTTTTAGGTGGGGCTTAGAGAAAATAATTATTTTCTTAGGGTACATCCTTTTGTGACATCCAAATTCAGCATAGACTGTATTGTGTCACAAACGCATGTCGCCCTAATGCAACTTACATTGTATTTTACGTAGGTTAGCATGGAACGCGCTAAAGTCGAGGACGAGTTGCACGATGCCCTGTCACATTCAACCCTTCGCACGCGTGTCGAAATGTCACGGTCTCGCGGTGCCAGACCGCATGCACCTGGACACCCCACACAGTGACAGATATGCGCGGGAAAAGAAACCGCTTGCCTCAGGCAGCCCAATACATGATGCATTCCACCCCATACGTGCACCCTGCCCTCGCGCAAAACTTCCCGCCGAAACCACACCCCTTCCAGACCCCTATCCCAGCTAGTCCACTCCAAGGTTATCAATTCCATCTCCTCCCAGATCCCTTTCGGGGTTTCTCTTTCATCCTCTACTCATGATTTACTCTCTTTGCTAGCCATGGCGCATAAGCGCAAAGACGATGCGGACACCACTGACAATTGCCCGCATGATCTCAATGAGATCCTGTATTTTAGCTGGATGAACAAGCAGATCGCCGCTGGTCGCAAGCCCGCTGACCCTGTCCCACAGGGAACTACTGCGCCTCGTGGCTTCTCCTCTCAAGTCCCGCGTGATGTTCCGTCACGTGTGCGTCGTGATGCGGACCGGGTGGCCTCGTCACGCACCTTTGACAACGATGGCGATGAGTCCGACTACAACGAGTACGCGGTTGGTACGGACGACGACGCCAAGTCTGGTGAAGACGATGACAAGGGCATGTTTGACGATGACGGCGATGCGGAAGGCGCCGATGACGAGGCTCCGGAGGAAACTCAGCCAGAGACGCCGACAGGTCGTGTGCACTCCCTGGGTAGCCAATAGTCCCAGATGATGCCGCGGGCATCACATGTCAACTGCAGTTGCACGACATAACAGGACTTGCGCGTGTAGTACTCCACACAATGTCCTTCCATCCCCTTCATGTGTATGTGTGTCCCATCAATAGCCCCCACTACCACAGGTACTCCTTTTACAGCGCGAAACTCTTCGGCCACTTCGTCAAGCTCCTCGCGGGTCGGGAAGTGCACCCACTCCATCTTGAAGACCGACGGGAAGTCCATCAGGAAGGCATCGACCAACACATGGCGCATCGTCTTTGATACGCCAAAAAGGTGAGACATGTCGACATATGACATTCCGCTTGTGAGGTTTTTTATGGCGACCGGAACCGCCACCTCACGTGCAATATGGCTCCCCTCGACGTAGAGGTGCATGTAGTAGTGCATATCAGCAGTGATATAATCCAGAATCGCCCGGTTTATCCGGAAGATGTCTCTGAACTCGCTATCATGCATGCCTTGCAGGTCTTCAATCCACGGCTGGAATCGACGAGCGCGCAGACGGGAGCGTCTCATCCGCTCTGCGGTCCTATTGGAGCATTTCGAGCTCGTAGGCGACGGGCTATCTGTGAAGACATGGCTTTCGAGCAAGCCTCCTACGGACCTTGCGACAGCGTCCATGGATATAGTGTAGTAGGTGGTGATCCAGGCGACCAGCGGTCGCAGTAGAAATGGCACAGCACGTGGCTCTGCCATGGTAGCTACTGGAGTCTACACTGCAAAATATGTGTGATGCGTGCTGTTTGTACTACCAGTAGTTGTGTCTGGTCATCCGTTTTGCATCGGTTTTGTGTTGTGCCTATGTTCGATATGGATGCATCATTTACAGGCTGCGTTACAACGACCTGCTTCGTGGGTTCCGCTAGATTCTCTCAAAGTTAGCGAACAACGGAATATGTGAACTAGGGAAACAAGGGATACAAATAGCAACCCTAAAAGTGTTGTACTCCCTATAGTGCTACTCACTGTAGCCTAAGAACCTATAATAACATTTGACACACCCCCATAGGCTAAGTGAGGGGCATCAAAGCAAGCAGGGTGAACAAACGGTCACAAGACCAGTCACTGCAGGAAGCAAAGCAAGCTCAGGGTGGATCTCAAGGACACCACACAAATTCCGAGCACAAGCAAGCGGCCATAAGGCCAGTTCAAGAGTTCACTAGGATATATATAGCAAAGCACAACAAGCAGAGCAAACAGCAAGTCTACAGCAACCGAGGGCCTACCTCAACAAGCCCCAACTGCACACAGAACCTGTGGTGGTCACCAAGCGCCAGGGCCTTGGTGAAGACGTCTGCAGTGTTGGCCTCTGAGGCCACAAAGTCCAGGCGTGCCTGGCCGCGTCGCTGCAGCTCTCGCAGAAGGAAGTACCTCACGTCAATATGCTTCACTCTGCTCTCCAGTCGAGGCTCTCGACAGAGGAGGATCATGGCCTTGTTGTCAGCGTACAAGGTCGGTGCAGAGCGAGGCCGCTCACCAAGGTCGGCGAGCAAGAAGGTCAACCAGCGAAGCTCCTGTGCCGCCATGGCACCAGTGTAGATCTCTGCCTCTGCACTAAAAGTAGCCACAGACGACGACCGTGTAGACCTCCACGACACAGCACCAGCACCCAGACTGAAGCAGTAACCCTGAGTCAAGCGCTGAGTCTCCACGTCGTCAGCGTAGGAAGAGTCGCAGTGACCAGTCAACGCCACTGGCTGAGTCCCTCCAAGCACAAGCCCCATGCCTGATGTAGTCGCCAGGTACTTCGCCACCCTCACAGCAGCTGTCCAGTGGACAGGACGGTGTCTCCCAGTCGCAACAAAGCGAGAGAGGACGCTGAGGGGAAAGGCGAGGTCCGGCCGAGTACAAGTCATCAGGTACATGAGGCAGCCCACCAGCTCTGCGTAGGGACCACTGGACTCAAAAGGCTCGTCGGGAAAGGGGCCAGTGAGTCTGTGGTCAACAGCAAGAGGTGTGGGCTGTGTGGTGGAGGACTGGAAGTCGAACCGCCAAAGGACCTGCTGCACCATGTGTGACTGAGTCAGTGTGATGGTGCGAGCGGCTCTGTCCCTGGTGATCTACAGGCCAAGGTAGCGCTGCAGTTCACCTAGGTCAGTGCACGTGTGTCTCTTCTGCAGTTCGGACTTCACCTGAGCCAGAGCTGCCCTGTCTGCTGTGGCAAAGACCAAGTCGTCGACGTACACTAGTATAAAGAAAGGAGTGGAACCAGTGCGAACAAACAGCGACGGGTCGGCAGAGGAAGGACAAAACCCAAGGTCACGAAGCGTGGAGCAAAGAGTGTCGTGCCACTCACGGGGCGACTGGCGGAGACCGTAGACTGGCCGTCTCAGGCTCCACTGGGTCCCAGGTGGGAAGGTGTCAGTGAAGCCAGGAGGGCGGCGCAGCCAGATCTCCTCGTGTAGTCGGCCCTGGAGAAACGCAGTAGAGAAGTCAAGGGAGTGCAGCTCGTAGTCTCGCTGTGCTGCTACGTGCAGTAACACCCGAAGAGTAGTCATCTTCGGGGTCGGGGCGAAGGTCTGGAAGAAGTCAACTCCCTCACGCTGACTGAAACCCCTAGCCACGTAGCGCGCCTTGAACACAGGCGGTGAACCAGGCGGCCGCTTCACCTTGAAGAGCCACATGCCATCGACTACGTTCGCCCTGGGAGGGGGAACTGCGTCGACGTAGGTGCCTGTGGATCTCCAAGACGCTAACTCCGAGGCCATAGCCGCTTTCCACTGTGAGGCCCACGCCCCTGACACTGCCTCGCGGTAAGTGCGAGGAGTCGGTATGTCAAGGGCGCCGGGGTCTCCCTCAGGGGATAGCAGCATGGCACAGACAGAGGGAGAAGCGGCTGCCCAGTACTCCAGCTCAGACTCTCTGTCCTCTAGGACGTCACAGCCAAGGGCAAACCCACTCCCGACGGACAGAGGACGGGAGGGAGGAGCTGGCACCACACGGGTGGTGTAGTCAAGGCGACTGGCGGCAGCAAACTCAGCGACAGCGGCAGTGAGAGCCGAGACAGACGACGGAGGGAAACGAGAGTCGGTGACAAGAGTGGCGAGGACATGAGAGACAACAGGACGAACAGCGCGGTAGTAGTCAGTGACAGGAGTAGGGGGGAAAGGGAGAGAGGACGGAGGCGGAGACGGGAGAACGGACTCAGGAGGAGGACGACGAAGAGACGAACAAAGGAGGGCAGTGCGGAGGTCGGTAACGGGAGACGAGTGATGAACACGTGGAGGACAGGGACGGACACGAGAGTGTGGGACACCAGGTGGAGGAGACTGCGGTGGAGGAGAAGACCAGACCGCCGGACTGGCGTCAGGAGGAGAAAACGTGGGACCAAACGCTGGAGGGGACGGAGTGTGAACAGGAGGAGAGGAGGGAAGACCAAGGGCCCGAAGGCCACTCACGGGTGGGAACAACTGCCGCTCCAGAGGGAGCTGCTGTGGTCACAGCTGCGGCGGCGGTGTCTGCTGCTGCTGCGGCTGCTGCTGCTGCTGCTGCTGCTGCTGCTGCTGCTGCTGCTGCTGCTGCAACTCCTGCCGCTCCCTCTCCAACAGCACCTGCTCCTCACGCTCACGCCGACGGGCCGCCTGGAGACGTGTGTCGTGGCGGTGGGGAGGCGGAGTGGACTCCGCAGAACCAGTGTCTCCAGCTCCAGTCTCCTCAGAACCAGCACCTCCAGTGCCAGCGCCTCCAGCACCAGCACCCCCAGAACCAGCACCCCCAGGACCAACACCCCCAGAACCAGCACCTCCTGTGCCAGCACCTCCAGCTCCAGCACCCCCAGAAGTAGTATCGCCAGTGCCAGGACCTCCAACTCCAGCACCCCCAGAATTAGCACCTCCAGTGCCAGTACCTCCAGCTCCAGCACCCCCAGAGCTAGCGCCACCTGCGCCAGCACCTCCAGCTCCAGCACCCCCAGGGCTAGCGCCACCTGCGCCAGCACCTCCAACTCCAACACCCCTCAAACGAGCACCCCCGGACCGAGTACCGCCAGTGGCTGCACCTCCAGCTCCAAAACCAACCGAGTCCACAGTAGCCTGTCGCGGAAGTACCGAAGGCTGCTAAGGGGACTGTGAGGAGGACTGCGGGGACTGTGAGGAGGACTGCGGGGAGGGAGCCGCTACCTGACGCGCGACCGAGAGTAGAGGGGTAGCGTGAGACACACCTGACGGGGCAGGACCAGGGGGGGGTGGGGGTACCGGAGGAGCGGGAGCAGGAGGAAGAGAGGGTGCGAGGAAAAGGGGGGGAAGGGGAACCAGGAGACCTCGACAGGGGTACCGGGTGTAGTAGGACACTGACTCGTCGAACCGGACGTCACGGGAGTCTAGGAACTGGCGGAGGGGCGGGTGGTAAAAGGACCAGTCGGCCGAGGCTACCGGGAAACCAAGGAAGACACAGGGGACGGCGCGAGCCGAGAGCTTGTCCGCAGAGGTGTCGCGGACAAGCGCAAGGCAGCCCCAGACACGAAAAGCTGACCCAACACCAAGGGACCCGGTCCAAAGACTGGTCGGTGAAGCCTCTGGCCGCGAGACGCGCGGCTGGAGGTTCAGCTGGTGAGCGGCGTAGCGAACCGCGTAGGGCCACAGAAAATGGGGCGCACGGGCATGAATCATGGACGTGCGGGCGATGTCCATGACCAAGCCAATGCGGCGCTCAGCAACCCCATTCTGCTGTGGGGACTCTGGCAGCGTCCAGGACTGTACGATGCCCTGCTCGCCGCAGAATCCGGCAAGAATGCCTGAGCGAAACTCACCCCCACGGTCAGAGTGGAGACAGGAGACACGACGGCCACGAGTGCCCTCAGTGGCTAGAAGCCACCGGATCAGCGTAGAAGTCACCTCGGACTTCTTCGTGAGAGGAAACACCGTGGTGTACCTGGAGAAGTCGTCGACGACCACCAGAAAGTAGCGCTCCCTCTCAGGTCCCTGCGTAGGTGCAGGGCCCCAGACATCCAAGTGGAGTGTCTGGAAGGGAGCAGTGGCCGGACGAAGGGAGGAGGAGTGCGGAGTGGCACGAAGACGGCCGGCGACGCAAGGAGTGCACGGCGGCGCAGGCGAGGGAGGGAGCGACGGGAAGACGCGAGGGAGACCTGAGACAAGACGGTGACTAGCCATAGTGCGGAGGCGGGGGATCGACGCGTGGCCAAGACGGTGGTGCCACAAAACGGTCCGGTGGGTGAAAGACCGACACGAGCAAGACGCAGAAACTAGACCGGACACAGCAACCTGACCGGACACAGCAACCGGTGGGGACGCAGTAACCTGACCGGACTCTGCTACCGGGGGGGACGAAGCAACCTGTCCAGACGCAGCTACCTGCGGGGGCGGAGTGTGCAGGACGAAGAGACCTGAGTGGGGCTCTCTGGTGAACGTGGCAAGAACTGCCCGGGTGGAAGAGTCCGTACAGATCGCAGTCCTCCCGTGCGCAGGAAAAGTGACTGTGATCCCCCGGTCCTGAAGGTATCCAACACCCACCAAGTTCCGAGAGAACGAGGGGATGTAGAGACCAGTGAGGAAACCAGAGGGGACAGCTGGGCACGGGAGGGTGGTCGAGTTGCGAGCAACTGCTGGTCCTGAAGTAGGATCAGCCAGGGCAGCTGGGACTGGAGCCGAAAGAGGTGTGACAGTGGTGCGGTCGCGGAAGAAGCACTGAGACGCGCCGGAGTCCAGCGTGAAGGAGAGCGACGCAACAGCAGTCGTCACGGCCGGGCTAGTGACTACACAAGCACCTACACTAAAAGCACAAGTACCGACACTAGCAACAGGCAAAGGTCCTAAGCTAGGTACACGTAAGCCAAGAGATCCGTACGTGACAGAATAAACAGCATCCATAGTTATATCAAACACAGGGTAACCACTACGAAACAGACCGGGCCAGATCGGGGGAGCCGACTCAGGCCCAAAACGCTCACGGTAAAGGTCGTCGAGGCGGCTGTAGCAGCGCTGTGCAGAGGGGTCAGGACGCCAGCAGGTAGTGCCAGCACCAGGGCCGGTCAGGATCCGGTACTGGCAGGGGCCGACGTCGTGGCCACCGCGACGAGCCCCCCAGCTGGCTGGGCCGCTGCTGCAGCCAACGCGACCTGAACCACCAGGCCCCCACGGCTGCTGAGGGCGCCACAGCTGCTGAGGGCGCCCCTGCTGCTGCGGAAGCCACAGCTGAAACGGCCGCTGCTGCTGTCCCTGCTGCTGGAGAACCCTACTGGACTCCATGATAAAAGCTAGCGGGGTGCAGGAGCGGCAGGCTAGGAGCGACATGAGCTAAAGACGGCTGCAGTGAAAAAAAAAAAAAAAAAAAAAAAAAAAAAAAAAAAAAAAAAAAAAAAAAAAAAAAAAAAAAAAAAAAAAACGAGAACAACTAGGAGCGCCAGGTGAAACTAGGCGAGTAACTGCTGGAGTACGGAGCGAACTAAGCTAGGAGCGCCAGGTGAAACTAGGCGAGGAACGGCTGGAGCACGGAGCAAACTGAGCTACGAGCGAGGAGCGAGAACGGCTGGAGCGAGAACGGCTGGAGCACAACTGGCTGGAGCTAGAAACGGCTAGCCAGGGCTGGCTGGAGGTAGGAACGGCCGGAGCTAGAGACCGTAAGTGCGGCTGTCGGCTGCCGCTAGTAGAGCCACTGGCAGTGGAACGTACGTGCGAAAGTAGGGGCTGCAGTACTGACGGCTGCGGGATGCTGGCAACTGTGCAGGTCGTCCGGCAAGCAGGAACGCGGGCGACAGTTGCAGGCCCCCACCCGAAACCCTTTTTTTTTTTTTTTTTTTTTAGGTGTAATTTTTATTTATTTATTTTCTGGCGCTAAAGCGCTCCGGGGCGCGCTGCCGGCAGGGTGTGCTGCCTGCGGGGCGCGCTACCCGCGGGGCGCGCCGCCTGCGGGGCGCGCTACCCGCGGGGCGCGCTACCCGCGCGGCGCGCTGCCTGTGGGGCTGGGGCGACGGGCCAGGGCGCGGGCTGGGGCGACGGGCTAAGGCGGGCGCCTGGGCGACGGGCTAGGGCGGGCGCCTGGGCGACGGGCTAGGGCGCGGGCCTTGGCGACGGGCTAGGGCGTGGGCCTGGGCGACGGGCTAGGGCGGGCGCCTGGGCGACGGGCTAGGGCGGGCGCCTGGGCGACGGGCTAGGGCGGGCGCCTGGGCGACGGGCTGGGGCGGGCGCCTGGGCGACGGGCTGGGGCGGGCGCCTGGGCGACGGGCTGGGGCGGGCGCCTGGGCGACGGGCTGGGGCGGGCGCCTGGGCGACGGGCTGGGGCGGGCGCCTGGGCGACGGGCTGGGGCGGGCGCCTGGGCGACGGGCTGGTGCGGGCGCCTGGGCGACGGGCTAGGGCGGGCGCCTGGGCGACGGGCTAGGGCGGGCGCCTGGGCGACGGGCTAGGGCGGGCGCCTGGGCGACGGGCTAGGGCGGGCGCCTAGGCGACGGGCTAGGGGCGTTGAGGGCGCTAACGCGCGGAGGAGGAGGGCGCTAAGGCGCGGAGTTGGCGCGGAGGGCGCGGAGGCTAAGGCGCGGAGGGCGCGGAGGGCGCGGAGGGCGCGGAGGGCGCGGAGGGCGCGGAGGGCGCGGAGGGCGCGGAGGGCGCGGAAGGCGCTAGGGCGTGAGCTAGGCTAGGCTAGGCGAGAGGATCGACACCTACTCATGATACCATCTCAAAGTTAGCGAACAACGGAATATGTGAACTAGGGAAACAAGGGATACAAATAGCAACCCTAAAAGTGTTGTACTCCCTATAGTGCTACTCACTGTAGCCTAAGAACCTATAATAACATTTGACAGATTCACACTTGTTTTGTGTCCCTGCCCGACGCCAAACACCCTGGTCTATTGCCATTTGGCTCACCCAATGAGACGCGCACAACTGTACAGGTCGCCAAGTCGCACAGTGTCGCGATACATTCACATTTTGAGACGCGAGGTTGGGCAAATGTGTTGACGCGACTCGGGAAAAGCGGCATTGAGACACATGCGTCGATACAGGAATGTACCCTTAGCTGGGGAAATACTATGGTAATACCGTAATGTGTTTCAACAGCGAAAAGAGTTTTTAACGGGGATGGGGCCTAGAATTAGAAGGTGGCCTCGCCTATCGCCCCTTTGCCTCATGTTAGTCCCCAGGGCCAATAAATCAAGGGACCCTCTACCTAGGGGGGTACAATAGCGGTAGTTGGAGACACGAGCTCTTCTATGGTATGCAAAACACTGGTAATATTGATTATTAATTGCAGAATATATATTATTGCCACGCTCCCCAATCATACCCCAACTCGAATGTCCAGCTATGACACAATTCCACCCACCCAACACTAAAACAGGCAAATACAGCACTCATATTTCGACTGGCTGGACAGCTAGCACCGACCTCACAGAGTGACCATCTCGAGCAATGGTGAATTTCTTGGGAGTTACCTTAACAGAGACCCCTTTGGGAGACTTGATCTTGACCTTGTAGGTGGACTCAGAATCGGCAACGTTAGTCACCCGCCTGATCACCGTGAGGTTCCCTTTCAGCCGCGCCACGGAGATGCTCGCCCGATTCAGGTTCCGAGGAGGCATGCTCACAAGCTTCGCATCGGGGAACTCCTCTTGCGCCCTTGAAAGGCTCTGCCCGGCGAGAAAGTTCATATAGTAGGCTGCCCGGGCGTCGTACGTGAGCCCGGGGTCAAGCACCTTGGGAGGGTAGACATGCCCTTGGCCCATATCCCACGGTGTTGCAAAACCGCCGTTGGATTTCTTGATGCTGGCGCCATCCGTGTTGGATGTGATCGCAGTCGTCATGATGGCAGACATGACCTGCGCAGGGCTCCATTTGGGGTGCTTCTGCAGAATGAGCGCAGCAATCCCCGCCAAGTGAGGCGTGGACATGGACGTCCCATACTGCTCCGCGTACGACCCTTTCTCCCCAACCTTCTTTCCCGGGGCTGCAGCGTACACTTTCACCCCAGGGCCGATCACATCGGGCTTTAAGATGCTGTTGGTGGGCAGTGCACCGTAGGCGTTGGTCCAGGGGCGGCAGACGGGGCCTGTGGATGAGAAGCTTCCAAGCCGGGGGGCGGCGAGGTCCTGAGGGTATGATGCTGACTGGATGGATGCGGAAGACTCATTGCTGGGCTTGCGAAGGACAGCACCTTTACGCAGAATGGAGCTGCAGATAAAAGAGAATGATAGGACAAAGGCAGTGACAGGGTGAATGCAAAGACAGGGTGAAGGCAATGACAGGGTGAAGGCAATGACAGGGCAAAGGCAATGAGAGGACAAAGGCAATGACAGGGAAATGACAGGGTGAAGGCAATGACAGGGTGAAGGCACTGACAAGGCAATGATAGGGCAAAATACGGGAAATCTTAAGGAAGGAAAGGGTGCAAGGACTGAATGAAAATGCAGGAAGGCATGTTTCTGAGTTGGGTCCCACACCACAAGCCCCAGAGGCTGCCCTGTGATTGAAGAAGGGTTTTGAGACGTCTCGTGAAAGGCATTTGCTTCAAGCTTCATCTACAGGACCAGATCTGAGACCTCACGGACCCTTGGTGTTGAAGACCGCCTACACTCCTTACAGTAAAGGTCTACCCCTTGGGTTCGTTTTGAGACGTCTCAAAACCCTTCTTCAATGTTTCTGAGTTGGGTCCCACCCACACCACAAGCCCCAGAGGCTGCCCTGGTTTAACCTTGCGCTCGATTGCTGCTCCTCACCTTGCACCAACAGTGAGGTAGTAAGGCGAGAAGCTGGAAATGGTCCTGTACGTGCTGAAGTTGGTGCCAGTGGGACGGCCGGAGTTGCCTGCAGCATACGCCACAAATACCCCTGCCAGGTGCACATTGAGCATGTAAATGTCATCAAAGTATGTGGCCTCTGGATCGCCGGAGAGACCCAATGAGAGCGAGATCACATCCACGCCGTCCGCCACTGCTTGATCTATGGCTGCCAGGACGTCGTCAGTGTTGCCAGTGTTGACGCCATCGTATGTCCAGAACACCTTGTAGATCGCCAGCCTGGCAGCAGGCGCCATGCCGCTCGCCGTGCCGCCCGCCATAGGCACGCCCTTGTTGCCAGCCGCGGCTCTGGAAGGCACAAGAAACGAGCAGAGGAATGGGGAAGGTTGAAGCATCAACTTGATCCGAGTAGTGCGAGGCAGGATGAGGGGATGCATGGAGGAACAGGGGAGCAAGCAAGCGGCAGGGCACGAGGCAGGAGTCAAGAGTCAAGTGCATGCACCCAGCACACCAGGTGGAGTGTCCATCTACGTCGCGAGGCGAGAGCCAATCAGCAGTGAGGTCCGGGTCTTTGCCGTATTGTTTCTTTACGGCAGCGTAGACGGAACGGGCACCGATGATCTTGTTGTTGCACTTGAAGTCTGCTGTCGTGTCGCACTTTCCCGTCCACCCCGCAGGCCTCGTGGAGCTGAAACCCTGTTGAAGTGGAAGGGCGGCAGCAGGGAGGGATGCAGTCAAGAGCAGGAGTGGGGCAAGGGCCGGTGAGTTGCACTCCCAGGCCAGCAAGTACCAAGACCAGCACCAGGAAAGGATTACTAACCCCTGAGGTTGAAAAGGATTGTGATCTCTTTCAACTCACCCCAATCGATGGAGGAAGAACCAGAAGGGACAGTGTGGGTGACACAAGAAGTTACCACAAGACCTCCCGTCGAACGCCACGAGGCATCCCTCGAAGGGGTTACCCCTACCTGCTGGTCAGTATGAGGCTACATATGTGGGCACAAGCACAAGGTTCCCTGACAAGCATCCACAGCGCTGGTTTTGGAGTTGACTAAAACATGCGCAATCCGCAATGGCTGATTGGACGGACGGACAGGATGATCTCACCGCGTCGCTGAACGACGGATGCTCCGGCCAGATGCCCGAGTCGATGATTGCAATCACCGTGCCGTCACCCGCACTGCTCTGCCCGCCGTTGCTGGGCCACACCGACCCTTCACCGCTCATGTCCATGAAGGTGGGCGAGTCGGTGGTGAGGCGCTGCACCTGGCGGCTCTCCATGACGGACGCCACGGCCGAGTGCCGCCGCAGCTGCCACGCCTGGCGGGGCGTCAGCAACGCCGCGAAGCCGTGCAGCGCGTGCTTAAAGCTGATGATGGGGGACGAGCGGGGGCGAGCGGGGGCGACGAGGCGGAAGGGAGGAGAGCGGCAGAGGAGGGAGCGTCAGGGTAGGGTGAATGGATGATGTGGTGGGTGGCATCGTGGCCGCCACAATGAGGTGACATCCGCCACTGGCATCGTCACCGCCGAAAAGGGAAGTGCAAAAAACAACGGAAAAAAGTAACTACACCGTGGCACGATGCGGCATCATGGCATCGTGGACATGGTGACATCCGCTCTCACCTGTATGTGATTTCGTCAACGGAAAGCCCCACAGAAGCGGCGACTTGGCTCTGCTGATACGCCAGCAAATCCGCGTGCGCGCGGATCTGCGGGTTGTCCATGGTCAGCCGCGCGCGCCGGGGGATTCCGCGCCCGATCATGGTCCGCGCTTCCGCCGCGAGCGTGGTCGGCGTGGCCATGAGGGCGGTCGGCACGGAGGCGTTTCCGGCCTGCTCGTCATCCGCCGCCCAGCCCGGGAAGATCGAGAATCCCCCGCTATACGCGGCGAGGGGAAGGGAGGAGCGGAGACGCACGCTGTAGTGCTTGAGGTTGCCCTGCCGTGCTGGAAAAATGCGGGCGAGGTGGGGAATAGTAGGAGTAAGACAGAAACGAAGGTGCATTTCAAAATCAGAAACGAAGGTGCATATAACGCGTTTGTTTGAAAGGGTTGTACTATGCGAATCCTCGGGAAGTTGAGTGGTGATTTTCCGCACTTTTGATCGCCACCGCCGCCGCGCCGAAGCTACCTTGAGCCTTTCCCGGAGAAAGGCCACTCGGAGGGCCCACTTTCGAGTGACGCCTTGGTCTGAGAAAGCCCGACGAGAATTGTTCGACGGCTCACCTTGGTCCAGCGCGTCGCAATGGCTGACGCCGGCGACGCCGAGCAGCAGCACGAGGGTGACGACGACGATGGCGACGTCGCCATGGCCGCGGAATGGCGGCTTGGATCGATGCGACGCGAGTTGTGCCACCATTTTGGTGGTGAATCTGGCGGCACGAGACGGGAGCACGTGTGATTTTCGAGATTGAAAATGAAGTACTAACTAAAGCGACAGCGGCTGAGTCACCTCTACGGTAGAGTCCGCGGTTACGTGTCACAGGGAGAGCAAGGAAAAACCCGCTTGCGACGTTCAGTGTTTGAGCAGAGAACTCACACGCAGCCGGGGATGAATGTGCGGCGCCTTTACTAGATGCAAACCCAAAGCTTTGGTGTGGTGTGCTCTGCCAGAGGACGCGTTTCTCCTCCTAGTACTAGTAGGTGCTGCAACACCCCTTCCATATTGCAGTGCGGCAACTTCTACGGCGGCTGCGGCTCGCACTGCACACCGTGTGCATCGCACCCGCACCCCTTCCGTATTTTTTTTGTCCAATCGTGTTTTAGTGTCTAGGTTCGGCACGGCAACCACACAGTGCCCGAACAAGCCACGCAATGCCACCTAAGCCACGAGATGCCACGCCAGCCACTCTGCCGTGCGACGCCAGCCGCTCCCGCCTCATCTCGCCCCCTCGAGATACTAGCCAGATACAAGAATCTGCAAACCGTGCACGGACGGACGGACGGGATGTTCTATGACTCAAATCTCATACACTGTATTAAGAAATCCGAGCCGCCATTCCGGGTGGGTCCAGTTGCAATTTCGCAACGCCGCCGTAGGAACGGCGGCGGCGATGGCGATGGCTCTGGCGATGCGATGCGATGATGGCAATGGCGAGGCGATAGCGATGGCGAATGGCGATGGGATGACACATCCTTTCACCTACATTCGCTCCCTCCTCTTCCTCCCGTGACCAGTCCCTAAAAGGTCCTTTGCTTTGTTGTACGTGTACAGAACTGTAGTGTAACGCAAGTTCTCTAGCACAGTCGTATGTTGGCTTTCCAACCTGAAACGTTGATACTGTACTCTGAATTTCGCAGGTTGCTTCCATTTTCAGTACAGTAATTCTGCTGGGGTAGGTTTCCAGTTTGCAGAATCATTGCTCCCAGGTTCTGCTCTTATCAATCTTGGGTACCCTTTATTTCCGAAAAATATGCGGCTAGTAAAAATGGAAAAATATGCGACTGGTAAAAATAAAGGGCCATTATAGATTTCTGGTTTTAAAATGACCCTGAACCGTCAGCAAAAAGCTTGTTCTCACGCGTTTCTTAACTAAGTGGTTCGCGGATTCAGTCACTAAACTCTGGCGAACAATCACGCCAATGGTCAAATACATAAATTTCTCGATGCCCCATCCCAAATAACTCGCCAGGTGTGGTCCAATCCTTTTGCCGCGGAGTTTGGAACCAATCTGGATTCAGCCGATATATGAGATAGAACGTGGAAATACTTATATGTTCATATTATTTTCTTTGGCTGGACAGTTCCTGGGTCGTAATCGGACGGAACCCAGAGAGCCGGGTCATCCATGAACAACCTGTATTGGCAGGGTAATTCAAAACAACACTTCGCAGCAGAAATGCCTCATTCCATCCTTTCCCCTTCCCATTCCCCTACATTCCCTTCCCCTCCCATTTCACTCCTTCGCCTCCTTCCCGAAATCCATTTCCTTCCCCTGCGTTCTGTAGGCACGTCAGAGGGGGGGGAGGCGGTAAATAGGAACCTTCCCCCAACTGCGTTTTTTGGTTCGAAAGGACGGTCAGCCCGGAAAATGGTTCCGAGCCTCCCATTTACCCTCCGAACGTAAACGAAGGTAAATGGCAACAGAACAGCCATTTACCCTCGCGGATATGAGGACGTAGGAAGCCGCCCATTTCCCCTCCCCACCTTCCTACGCTGGCAAATTTTGCCTCCTTCGCCCCGCCCTTCGAAAACTGCTTTTTCGGGGAGGTGCGACGGAGGGGGAAGGGAGGCGCTGGGTTAGGGAACACCACACCTGAACCCTAGAAAGCAAATACCCCTAACCTCGAATAGCCCAAACAGGGACGCAGCAACACTAAATGGTAAAAAAAAATACAAGTCACCATCTGGGTTAGGGTGGGTGTGCTAGGGGTCGAATTTCTTCCATCTGATTACCCTTCTATCAACTTCAACCCTCGTTCTGATTTCGGGCAGCTCTATCTACCCATGAAGTGTGCGTGCGAAATTGTTCTTGTTTTTTCGCCATTTACCTTCAGAACCTTCCACCCGAGCATCCGAAATTTCCCACTATCGGTTGTAGCAGGGGGGGGGTGATGTCGAAGGGGAAACTGCTTAGGAACCCTCGTCATTTACCTTCGCTCCCCCTCCTCCCTCCCTCGGCGTATGCCTACAGAACGCAGCCAATACTTTTTCGCCCTTCCTTCCATGGCCCTTCCTTCTGTACTACTGTATGATTCGCTGGCATCCAACACACTACAAGCTGTGCCTCTCCCGAGCCGCACCTGCTCGGCTCACGGTGACTGTAGACAGCATGTTACTGTAGGAAAGACGATTCCGTACGGTCAGCCTCATCATGTGTACAGATGTCGTGTGGAGTACGGTGGAGTCTCGCGAGTTGTATGTAGACGAGAATCCAACCCACCCTTCCAGCGTGTGGGGCCCGAACAAGCCACGCGATGCCACGTAAGCCATGCGATGCCACGCCAACCACTCTGCCGTGCGACGCCAGTCGCTCCCACCCACCTCGACCCTGGCGCAACGACGCAACTGTATCCACCGCGATAGAAGAATCTGCAAACCGTGCACGGATGGACGGACGGATGGGTGCTCCGATGCAGATTCTGCTTGCTTTCCTGAACGACTCAGAAATCCGAGCCGCCAGTCCGGGTGGGTTCAGTTGCCAAGTTGCAGCGCCGGGAATGGCGGCGACGATGGCGATGCGATGGCGATGGCTATGCGACGACAATGACAATGGCGACGGCGATAGCCCGGCGAGGCGATGCCTGATGGTGATTGGATGGCGATGATGGGCGATGACAAAGACAATGGCGATGGCCTTGCCTGCCATGCCATGGCGATACTCCCACTACTACTACCTGACCCACTACTACTACCTGATAGATACAACTTCACTACTACCGCAGCAGCAGCACCCCTACACAGCGATCCAGTGCCGCGCCACGGTTTACAGGCTCGTGTACGGACGAACGGAAAGGCGGCGGTTCCGTTCCGAACCGTAGCAAGCGCCGAGCAGCTGCAAATCTTCAACAACCGCTGCGATTAGCATTCAGGGAGCCCCGTTGCGCGTACTATGAAACCCCACCGCCGTGTGCTCAGCGTATCTTTCCGCAAGCTACCCGACCATCAGTCACTCGACACATCCTACCTGAACTCGCGCTGCTACTACTATCATAAAGTTAACTCTCCGCGTACCGAGTATCGTGCTCCCTCACAGCATTGTTGACAACCCAGCATCTCTGCTGCTTGGACTCAGCTTTACTAGGCTTGGCGAACGACATTGGCTTGCGAACGACGTTGGCTTGCGAACGACGTTGGCTTGCGAACGACGTTGGCTTGCGAACGACGTTGGCTTGCGAACGACGTTGGCTTGCGAACGACGTTGGCTTGCTTGCAGGGAGAACCGTTGACCATTCGTTGACCGCCTACATTCTGCTGGGCTCAGTCGATTAATCTCCGAGACTTCCCCAGGAAGCCGCAGTAAAAACCCTCCGACGTTTCATGCTATGATGTTAGTCATGGGTGGAAAACTATCACAACGCGGCGGCGCCCCGCTGTTCTCGCGCTTCCTCGCCGCGTTGGCGCTCATCTTCCTCCTCCTCGCATGCTGCCACGTGTCACCGACCCGCGGCTCGGCGTTCAAAGTCACCGACGCGTACAGCCCAGCGTGCGGCAAGATCATGACCGAGCCGCCTGCAGAGGGCTTTAAACGGTGGAGCGACTGGAGGACGTGGGGCGCTTCCGCGAAGGTTCGCGGCGTGCCCGGTACCGGGGCGCGCAGATGGGCTGACGTCATGATTCCGTGCGGCAAGGCTGTGCTGCTGGATGTACCCGATATAAGCGTCGGAAAGCTGAGGATCAGAGGCTGGCTGAAGTGAGCTATCGATTGTCGAGACGCCTCAAATCCCCGTGCTGCTATGATGTACCCGGTACAAAAACGGGAGGGGGCCCTGCTGCTGCTGCTGCTGCTGCTGCTGCTGTAGAAGCGCCTCGGCCCGACGAGGTTGCGTATGGAAGGCCAGCTCTCCGTCGGCTTCATTGAGTGTTATTGTGGAAGGAGAGGACGGCAATGCTGGCCAGCAGGCAATGATGTTTCCAAATCTCCGCGCCTCCTCACAGCTGCCTGCCTCTCCCCTCCCCTTTTCCCCTTCCCCCCGTTTCCAGAACTGCGAGCGGCGAACGGCGAGCGAGCCCGATGCCTCGCATTTGCTAACTCATGTTTCCCCCGCTCTCGCCGCATTCCCCGCAGGATTCTCGATGACCCTTCTTCTCGATGACCCTTCTCTCCCGAAGATCAGCGTGCGCGCGGCGTACATGGTGTTGGGGCGCCTGACGGGCATTTGCTCACCCTCCTCCTCCCCTCTCCGCCTTCCCCTCCCCCACAGGATTCTCGACGACCCGTCTCTCCCGAAGATCAACGTGCGCGCAGCGTACATCATGGTGTTCGGGCGCCTGACGGCGGGCGAGCCGAACGCGCACTTCTCGAGCCGCGTCACGTTCACGCTCTTCCAGAACTTCAAGCAGCAGCGCGCGTCGTACGCCCTTCAGTTCTACAAGCCCTCGGATCCCGGGAATCCCCGAGACTTGGGGCACAAGACGTTCGCCGTGGTAAGAAGTGGTACGGAGTGGTGGGGAGTGGTAGCGTTAGCAATAGGTGTACTGATATCAGTATTACCAGAACAGCCTCCGCGTGCGTCGTACGTCCTTCAGTTTTACAAGCCCTCGGATCCTGGAAATCCCAGAGATCTGGGGCACAAGACGTTCACCGTGGTAAGTGGTGATAGTAGAGGCAGTGGTATTGGCGCGAATGTGACAGTAACGGGATGGCTGCTGAGTCGACTCGCAATACCGGCTCAAGTACCCACAGAAAAATCGCAATCCTCTCCTCCTCCCCCACCCCCCGCCCTCCCCTCCTGGTCCGCGCAGGTGGGCGGACTGGTGGCGCTGTACGGCATGCCGGGCGGCGGCAACACTCCGTCGTCGTGGGTGCGCCTCACTGAAACAGCCTCTCACCCCCCCCTTTCCTCCTTCCCCCTCCTTCCCCCTCCTTCCCCCTCCTTCCCCCTTACCCCGCGGTGGGCGGGCAGGTGGCTCTCTACGGCATGCCGGGCGGCGGCGACACGCCGTCGTGGGTGCGCACCGAAACAGCCTCTCACCTCCTCCACCCCTCCTTCCGTCCCCCTCCTTCCCCCCCTTCCCTCGCGCAGGTGGGCGGGCAGGTGGCTCTCTATGGAATGCCGGGCGGCGGCAACACGCCGTCGTGGGTGCGCCTCACCGAAACGGCGGACGCGGGCGCGCGTTCGATCTACGTGAACGCGGACGTGACGCGCTGGGCGGCGGGAATGACGATCGCGCTGGCGTCCACGTCAGCAAATCTCAACGACGCGGAGCACCACGTCATCGCGTCCGTGTCCGTCGTCACGCCCGCGTCAGGACCAGGAAAGAGCGACGGGCGGTACAAAATCTACCTAAAAACGGCGCTTAAGAAACGGCACGACGGCGTGAAGATCTCGGACGGGGTGGGAGGGACGGTGGGGATTTACGGAGAGGTCGCGCTGTTGGATCGGCATATTGCGATCACTGGCAGCAACGAGCCCGCTCCGTATCAATACGACGGTGAGTTGAGGCACCTCAAGAGACAAGGTTGCGGGGACGGTGGGAATTTGCGGAGATGTCACGGTGTATCAATACGACGGTGAGAGAATTCCATATCTCGTTTCGCTCCCGTTACCCAAATCGTTACCTGCATGTTACCAACTACTAATACTTTCTTTGCTTCTTGCTTCCTGTTTCCACCGCCTGATTCGTTTTCCGCAGGTGGCAATTTCATGGTTTACATGACGCCTACAGCCCAAAAAATCGTGGGAGTTCAGTTTAGAGCACTCGGAAACCAGGGCGTGCTGGGTAAATACCCTTTGCATTTCCACGTGTGTGGGCAGAAGGGACAGAACCACGTGGTGCGGAAAAACGCAATCGTTTTCACGAAGCAGCGGTGCATGGTGATTCACGCAACTGGTAACATGACGATTGAAGAAAACGTGTCGTACGAAACCAAGGGCCACTGTTACCTGCTGGAGGAGGGGTCCGAAATGCGAAATGTGTTTCGGCGAAACCTTGGGATCAACGCCCGGAAAGTGGACAAAGTAATCCCGGCACTAACTTCCAGCCGGTTGGATTTGCAAACCGACAAGCAGCCGACAACTTTCTGGCTGGCGACGCCCTTCAGCAGCTTCATTGACAATGTTGCTGCCGGCTCAGAAGATTCCGGGTGAGCCTCCCCTCCCCTGCTCCCCTTCCCTTCCCAACCCCTCCCCAACCCTCCCAACCCCTCCCCCTCCCGTTCCCCTTCCCGCCCCCTCCCGTTCCCCTCCTTTCCCCCTCTTTGATGCCCTCTCCCTTTCCATTGCCCCTCTTCCCACTTTCCAGCTCGCCACACCCTTCAGCCTCCTCTCCCTTCCCCTCCCTCCTCTATGCTCCCTTTCCCATCCATGCTCCCCTGCGCCCTCTCCGATCCGCTTCCTGTTCCCCCTTCCCCCCTCCCTCCTCCCCTTCCCTCTCTCCGCTCCCCTTTCCTCCTCTCCCTTCCCCTCCCCCCTCTCCGCTTCCATTCCCTATTTCCGCTTCCCTTCCCCCTCTCCGTTCCCCTACCCCCTCTCCGTTCCCCTTAATCCTCTCCATTTCCCTACCCCCTCTCTGCTCCCCTTCCCCCATTGAATCTCATGTTTTGTGTGTGTGGGTGCGTGGGTGCGTGGGTGCGTGGGTGTGTGGGTGTGTGTGGGTGCGTGGGTGCGTGCGTGTGTGTGTGCGTCCGTCCATGCGCGTCCGTGCGTGTGTTCTATCAGCTTCTGGCTAGAGGCCAACCCATACATGCGAGGTCTCTCCAAGCTGCTACCAAACATCGGGTCAGCAGTTGACTCACTCCCCTCCTCCCTTTCTCCCCTCCTCCCCCTTCTCCCTCCCCATCAGCTTCTGGCTAGAGGCCAACCCATACATGCGAGTTCTGTCCAAGCTTCTACCAGGCATCGGCTCAACAGTTCCCTTCTATTACAACTGGGGCACGTGGGACGGCAACCACGCCCACTCCAACCTCTCAATCCTCTTCCCCTCCTTCCACTCCCCTCCTTCCACTCCCCTCCTTCCACTCCCCTCCTTCCCCTCCTTCCCCTCCTTCCACTCCCCTCCTTCCACTCCCCTCCTTCCCCTCCTTCCACTCCCCTCCTTCCCCTCCTTCCACTCCCCTCCTTCCACTCCTCTCCTTCCCCTCCTTCCACTCCCCTCCTTCCACTCCCCTCCTTCCACTCCTCTCCTTCCCCTCCTTCCACTCCCCTTCTCCCTCGTGCTTCTCCCACCAGGTTCTGGCTAGAGGCGAACCCATACATGCGAGGCCTGTCCAAGCTGTTACCAGACATTGGGTCGACAGTGCCCTTCTATTACAACTGGGGCACGTGGGACGGCAACCACGCCCACTCCATCCTCTTGATCCTCTTGCTCCTGTCCCCCCCACCCCCCAATTCCCCTTCTCCTCTTTTTCCCCGGTGTTTCGGCCAGGTTCTGGATAGAGGCGAACCCATACATGCGAGGTCTGTCCAAGCTTCTACCAGAGATCGGGTCGACAGTGCCGTTCCGTTACAATTGGGGCACGTGGGACGGCAACCAGGCCCACTCCAACCTCTTTGGATTCCGCACCTACCCGCATGGATCCAAGCCTAAATACCCGTCTCCCACCCGAAACCCCCGCGTCTCCCTTAAGAACTTTCTCGTTTACCGCAACAAGGCAGGGTGAGTCAGCTGTGCGTATGCTCCCTGGCATCCCCCGGTTGTTTGTGTGTTTTTTTATTTGTTTTTTTCCTGTTCTGGTTGTTTCATTTTCTTCTGCCTTCCTCAAATTCAACATAATGATGGGTACAGCAGTTGAAGGGAAAAAGAAAACAAAGAAACAAGCGTTTTTTTTTTTTTTTTTTTTTTTTTTTTTTTTTTTTTTTTTTTTTTTTTTTTTTTTTTTTTTTTCTCCCACAAGCAGAGCAGATGCGCTTGCTTTGAGTCTTCAAACAATCTCGTTGAATCTCCTTTCTCTCTTGCCTCCTGCAGAATGTTCTTTTTCAACAGCGAGCGACTGATAGTGGAGAACGGGGTGTTTCTGGACAATGGAATCGGCATCGACTTGAGCCGCAATGCCGGTGTGCAAGCCAAGGGCTGCCGCTTCATCGGCCGTGCCTCCTCCTCCTGCTCGTGAGTGCTCCTCCTTGACTCTGCAAGTGAATCCTTTGCCCGTGAAACCTTCTTTCCCCTGCGTGTGACCCTTTTTTGGGGGTTGGGGGAAGGGGAGGGGAGAGAGGGGGGAGGGAAGGGGGGCGGCTGTTCGTCCTTTGTGTATCTAAATCAGTTTTGAGAATTTTCCCGCTAGTGCATTGGCCACTATGCAAATCAAATGTACCTGCTCCTGCATCGGCCACTTAATGAGACGACTTAGGATTTTTCTCCTTTGCCTGCTCTTCACATCCAACAGAAAAACGTGATATGCTTCACTTGCTAAATCCCTTTCCCTTCTCGTCCTCTTGCTTCCCCTCTTCTCCTCCTCTCCCTTCCGTTAGATCATCCAATGCAGGGACCACAACCACAGCCCTTGCCACCAGCAGCAGCAGCAGCGGCAGCACCATCACCACAGCCCAGGACACATCCAACGGTCCAGATGCCTCTATCCCACCAGAAAGCTCCAGCCCAGACAACAGCACCACTGCTGCCGCACCCATCCCACCAGCCGAACCCCTTCCAGGCAACGACACCACCGCCGTTGCTACTCCTGCTACACCTCCCAGCGCCGCAGAAGGGTCCACCCTACCAGGCAATGACAGCACAGGTGGTGGTGCTGGTGCTGCTCCTCCCAACGACCAAGACAGCCCCGTCCCAGCCGGCCCCACCACTCTGTGGCAACCCTTCTCTCTGGAAGCCTCGCTGGGACCTCTCGACCCGTATGCAGACGACGGCAGCGCTGACAGCAGCAGCGGCGACAGCGGCAGCAAAAGCACCACCAGCAGCAGCAGCAGCGGCAATAAGGCTTTTGAGGATGCTGGGATGAGTGATCCTGCCCAGGGTTCACCCAGTGGGGTGGTGGAGCCCATGGGGCCATCGCTGCAGGATCAGCCAGGGACGTTTGCTGCACCGATTGGCATCACGCTGAGTCAGAGCAACCCCCAGGATAACCTGCACCCCAACTCCATTCAGGACACCTCGTGAGTTGTAGGGTCTGTACTCGTTATCAGGTACCCCGTTACTGGTGGGCATCACGCTGAGCCAGAGCAACCCCCAGGATAACCTTCACCCCAACTCCATTCAGGACACCTGAAGTGTGCTGCGTCACTATAACTTCACGCTGTGCTGCGTCGCTTCCGTACGTGCAGCAGCAGCAGCAGCAGCTTTGGAATTGCTCTTGTGGTGAAGACTTATTTTTTCTTGCTCCTTTTCCTCCGCTACCCCCCTCCTTCTCTCCCCCGCCGCCCGCCCCCTTCCTCCTCTTGTCCAGCTTTCTCCACTTTAGCATTGCTGATTCTGTCTTCCTTCACTTCACCCCCTCTCCCCCTCCTCACCCTTTGCCCTCATCGCCCCCCCTTCATCCAGCTTCCACCGCTTTGGAACGTGCAGCAGCAGCAGCTTTGGCATCGCTCTTGTGGCCAATAAGGCAGGCGGATACTGGAACACTGCCATGTTCGTTAAGGTACTGCTCGGTACAGTCACGTTTTGGAGATGCCAATTTGCATCTTTTAGGCGCCTCAAAAGCGCTGAGTCTTTTCCACATTTTTTTTTTTTTACAATTGCTTGGTGGTGTGAGATGCTGACGTGCCAACCCCACTGTAATGTGTAAACAGTCCCCAACATTTCTTCGCTTGCATTGTTAATATATTTCATATACTTCACATTTATTAATCTCATATATTTCTTGATCCCTACCATGTAATTTGAATCTCCCTCTCCCACAGGGCCTCACTTTCACTTCAGGCACCAGCAAATTCTGGGCCACACCCAATCCCGTGAGTCACCCACCCTAAACCCTTCTACAGCAAATTCTGGGCCACTTCTGAGTTGATAAAATAATATTTATGGTTATAGTTGATTTTTGTAGCAGTTTTCTAATTATTGTTACTTTTTTTTCCCCCTTCCTATGTTTCTCCCAGTCCTCCGGCACGCCGCCCCGGGGGGGTCTGGTGGCGCGCTTCTACGCCATCCGCGATCTCGACGGGTCGCTTCTCGGCCAATCAGGCTACGCCGTTGCCAACTACGATCCGATCCTGCCGCCCGCCGCCGTCCGGGCGGCAAAGTGCGACTTCAAGAGCGCCTTTTCGGCCTATTCCTGCACCTCCGTCTGCTACCGGTCGGTCGGGTTGGAGTATGATGAGTACGGGGCTACCAGCAGCAGGACCGTTCTCAGGCCGTATTCCTTCCTTAAAATCACCCGAATGGATGACGACACGTCGTTTTACGCGTACGGAACGGATAACGACAATCCCCAGAGCAGGGCTGCGGACAGCAGTAAAAGGAGAAGATACTTAACCGCCTCGCTACTAGCGGGGTACACTTACCGGATACAGATTATTCCCGCGGACACCAACAGCGACTTTTACCCGAGAAAAATGCAGCTGAACGTGTTTGACTGGCAGGGATGCTCTGGGAGCGTTCGTGTGGTTATCGACTCGCCGGATTCGCGCAGCAAGTGGCGGGCGGACGTGCCTACAGTGCCGTGCTCTGCTGTTAACGAGACGATGGTTTATAAGGAGTACGCGTGCGGGGCGGGGAAGGCGCGGCTGCGGTTGGATGTTGGGGCGAGCAGCAGCGGCAAGGCGGCGGTTGTGATGGAGTTGGATCAAGGTGTCAGCACTGCTTGCTCCTCAGACTCGTGAGTGTTGGTTGAGTGATATGTGCATTTTTTTCTCTCTGAATTTTCAAAGATGCCCTGCTACATCCGAGTTGTCCATGTAGATGGTGCATCTGATGGGTATTCTCCCTCCCCCCTCCCTGGCTGATCTCTCCCTCCCACCTCCCTTGCCTTGCTTTCTTCCTATCCCCCACTCCTCTCAATCCACAGGAGTTGCTCTACTATCACTTCTGCTGCTCTACCGCCCCTCTCCATCGCACCTCTCGCCGATACCGAGTCGGCCTTTTCCTCCACCGACCCCTTCTTTGACCCGAGCTTCTATGCGGGCGGCACAGACGACCCCCACACGGTGCTCTGATAAGCAGAAGCAAGAGTTGCGAGAGCTGAACTGCATGGATAGCCTTCTAAGACGTCTTTAAAGTTGAGCCATGTACAAAAGTTTCCAATGTGCCTGAAAACTTGGAGCAGAATGGGTGAGCTGAGGAGCACGGGTATCGAATCTGCTATCGTTTCGTGCTCCCAAAGACTGGAGCAGCACAGGAAGGGTGATTTTGTCAAAGTAACTATTTAGGAGGCATAAGCTTAGGAGGAAGGCTTGAAGCTAGGAGATGGCATCGAGAGGTTTTGGCAAAGAAGAGGAGGTTCACTATAGAATTGGAAGTACAAGTAGGCAAGAGCAAATGGATAGGGTGCACCACCAACGGTTGATTCTAATAGCTAACAAATACACTAGCAAGCTGTAGACAGGTATAAGATATATAATTCAACACACCCCCGTAACTGTCTACGGCTTTAACTAGTGGTGTCTGACACCAGGTCGCCTGGAGAGCGGTTGCTGTAGCTGGGATAGGCACAGAAACAGCGGTGGCTGACCGGCAGCACCTGTGAACGCCAGAACGGAGGAGGGCGCGGAGGGCGCGGAGGAGGGCTGGGATAACCGGAGGGCGTAGGATGCTGGTGATTAACACCAACCGTTGGATAGGAGGAGGAAGTTGGTGGCGCACAGGTGGAGAGTCGATAAGAATCGGCTGGAGGAGCAAACAAGCGGAGGAGGAGGCGGCTGGAGGAGAGGAGAGAGGAGAGGAGAGGAGAGAGGAGGAGGATAGGAAGTGCAGCGGAAGGAGGAGGAGAAGGGGAGGCGGCTGCCTTCAAATACCCGCCACCCCCACACCCTCTTCCCCCCCCCCCCCAAACGCGGCACGCACTGGAGATGCACGGGCAGCGATGAGGAGGAGTAGTAGGGAGGGGCGGGAGGGTTCAAGGGGGCTTAAGCACCCCCGTAGCCGCGGGCGCGAGCCCCGCCACCTCCCCCCCGCAATGTCCACCGTAGAAAAGAGAGGCGGCAGGTGCGGAAGCGGGGAGCGGGGTGGCGATGGCGGGGGTGCTGACGGCCGCTGCTGGCGCTGGCGCTCGCGTCCGGGGCTGGCGCATGTCGCTGGCGCTGGCGCAGGTGACCGGCGCAGGCGCAGGCGCTGGCGCTGACGATTGCGACAGTCGCTGGCGCTGGCGCACGGCGCTGGCGATCGCGCAGGCGTCCGCGACGGTTGGAGGCGCTGGCGCTGGCGTCCGCGACCAGCGGCGGGGCGACGCGTCAGCGCGCGGGACTGGGCGACGAGCGCCTGGGGCGGGTAGCGCGGTGCGAGCAGCGCGGGGCAGGCAACGGACGAGCGCCTCGAAGGGCGCTGCGATGGTCGCCATGGCAGCAGCCATGGCGAATGAAAAATAATAGGGAGGTCCTTAGAAGGACCCAGCTCTTAATACCATGTCAAAGTAACTATTTAGGAGGCATAAGCTTAGGAGGAAGGCTTGAAGCTAGGAGATGGCATCGAGAGGTTTTGGCAAAGAAGAGGAGGTTCACTATAGAATTGGAAGTACAAGTAGGCAAGAGCAAATGGATAGGGTGCACCACCAACGGTTGATTCTAATAGCTAACAAATACACTAGCAAGCTGTAGACAGGTATAAGATATATAATTCAACACACCCCCGTAACTGGAGCAGCACAGGAAGGGTGATTTTTCGGCGCCAAAAGGCAGTTGAGGCGCCTGAAGACTGGGTTTTGCACAGATGAGCAGCAGCAAGAATAGAGCGCCTGCTGTTGTTTGGAAAGTCTACGGGTCTACTGGTACATACAAGAGAGTTCCAGGTGCTTAAAAATTGGGCAGCAAGGGGTGAGCCATATGGGTAGGATCACCTGCTGTTTCCTGGGAGCATATGGAGAAGCAGATGGACTTTCTTCCCTTTTAGGGTTGGGATTAGTGTAGCAGTATTTTAGATTGTTGGCAACTAGATGCAGGGGTAGTGTTGAATATATCAAGAGCTGTATTGATATACTGTAAGACACTTCTATTGTACGGTATCAGTGTTGCAGAACCATGCCATGCTGAAAACGATTAGAATTTGTGTAGAATTAGCACATAAATCAAGTAATGTAGGTACCTGTCATTCCAAACAAAATGCTGATGTTATGTGCCCCTGCCTTGAGCACAAGCAAGGGCCAACTGTTCAGTGTATCTTGATGGGGCGCCTTGACTGGGTGTTTTGATTGGGTATCTTGATGGGGTTTTTATGTGTGTTGCATTTGGGTTTGATTTTTTGGAGTGTATGTGAGTGCATCACATATGTTGGTGTTAATGATACACTAGTCCAAAGAATTCTTATGAAATACTACGGTGAGCAACATACTTGGGAATCAAATCAAATTGCACAAGGCAAAGGGTATGGAACTGTTTCAGTTCTAAAACACATCAGATACTAGTCCAACAGCAAAACCGGAAACACAACAAAGCAGAGTTTCGGCAGCTCAGTCCCGGTATCAGACGCTCGAAGGTACAGGCGCCCATAAGCCTTCAACAAGAGGTCCTTGAAAAATGCGATTGCAGGAGAGCCAGCTCCCAGCTTGTAAATACACTGAACGTTACGCTTTGATGTGGAAAACGCCAGCGCGCATGGCGTAAGTATCTCCAGCTGCCAAGCTGGTATGCTTGGACGGAGTATGAAGACGGTTATTCATAAAATCCCGTCTTTTGAAGAATGGCTGTCCGCAGCCTATCCAGGTCCCTTCCTCTAAGCGTTCCGCCAAGACCCTCGTGGACTGAGAAGCACATGGATGATGACGTGTCCTTCGCGATCATCTCGTGCGGGGGAACCATGATATTATCCGCGTCGTCGTCATATTCATCAAAAGGCCGGCGAGGTCGCCGGTTGGCGGTTCCTGTTATTTTACTCCAGTCTGGAACGTTGACCGGAGCGGATGCACGGTGATGACCTTGAGAATGCCTCGAATTGAAGTGGTCCAGATGGGTTTGGATCGACGGAATGACCACCGGAGCCAACGCGCTTGGCTTAACAATATCCCCGCCAATGGGTACCTGTCCTGCATCCGAAGAAAGGACAGCTAACCCATGCGCTTGACTTGAAAACCGGCCGGAGGAAGCGGTGAGTGGGTCCAAACGAGCCCGGTTTGTCAGGCGAATTGACGGAAGAATCTGGTCGTGAGACGAGACCTTGACGATTCCGTCAGTTGACAGGCTGTCAGTGTCGTTGACTGACCACACGTCGTCCTCCGTCAAATCATCACCGGCGTGAGCGGCGGAACTGAAATGACATGATCCCAGCAAATCCGCTCCGTGATGGTGGTCAATTCGGACGGAAGACGGACGCTCCTTAGCAGCCGCAATGCCCAAAGCGACGTGACTGGGAAGTGTGGACGGTTGTGAGAACATGATAAGTTCCAATTCACGAAAATAGGAACGGACTACCAGTCACCAGAGCTGATATACCGCAGTCACGCAAGATAACAAGCGTTGAACTTGCAGCCAGTCGATGAAAAAGAATTGGAGGACTAGTGGCAAACCAACGATGAGGAGCGCTTTAGACTGTAATGTGCTAACAGAAACCACAACATGAATGAGGCGAACCTAAATAGCCTCCATGGCGCCTCACTAGTGCAAAGAAACTGTAGGCGGATGGGGGATGCTTCTAGAGCGTGCAAGCGCAACGCAATGGCGGAAGGGGATTTTGCGGGATTGGTTTGGCACAGCTGACGGACTGTGGTGGTTGGGTGGGGGGGGATCTGGAATGTAGTGACGAAGGGAAACCCGGCAGCTGGGGGTACGGGGAAGGGGTTGGGTTGGGGAACAGGGGGAAACTGAAGGTTGGGGGGTTGGGGGGAAGGTAATGCAGCGGAAAGAAACGGAGGGGCAGCATAGGTTAGAGAAGATAACTGAGAAGATGGCTCTGATTGGTTGAAGGGGGTCAAGGGATGTCCGGAGTGGAGGAGAGACAGACCCGCATGTGCGAAATAGGGTTGCGAGGAAGTTGGCGGCATGGTGGCCGAGGGAGGTGTGGCTGTCGGACTTCGGAGGGTACAATAACGTCTAACGTCATTTTGACTGAAGCGGTAATCCCGCGGAAATCTTCCCAGAATTGCGCATTTGCTGGCAGATTCAAGTTGAGGGGGGAAGTAAACTTGGGGGAGAGGTGGTGGGGGGGAGATGCGACATTTGCAGTGTCGCAAAGTTGCGGCGCAAGGGGAACTTGGGAGAAGGTTGTTGCCGTGGCGCAATCCAGATAGACGAATCAGCTGTACCCGTTGCTTCCACGCTGGCACTTCCACACGAGGCATGTGCCTACGCTGGCCAATGTGAAAGCATTGTTAGGTGCCCCGCGTTCAAATGGAGGTTTTTGCTCACGCCAAGGCTGACGAGGACAACCCCATTCGCCACGTACATGCCCCATCTTCTCGTAGTTAGCGGCATGTCGGGGACGGGACGCGTGAAGCCAGCTGTTCGGCATTGTAGTCAGTTTGTCGTTATCAAGTTCGCAAAGAAGGCTTGATACAGTGATATGCAGAATAGAGAATACTGTACCTACGTATTCGGTTCTGCTGGACCCTTATTCTGGCCCCACGTCAAATGCAGCATACACTAAATCGGAAACAAATCCATTAATGGTATGTAGCTATCCACACAGATGGTTACACTAATTTCAGAAGCAATTAGCCTGCCAAGGCAGAACCACATCTAAGATCGCATGAAAAATCACCACTTCGTCCGAATCAGAGCCAGACTCACGAAATGGACATCTTAATCAAGCCTATATTCAAGTTTATGGTGACAGATGTTCTGTTGTTGTGAGTACACGGCCTTAAGCTCACTTAGCAGCAGGATCTGGCATGCGTGGCTTGCCCATGCTGAAATTGAGCACCCGGCAGTCCAAGTTGTAGGAGATCTCTCCAGCCAACAGCAGACTGCGAATGAAGTGCTCCAAGTCAGAGCCAATCAGGCGAAGCGTGTACTCCGACATCTCAGCACCCTGCAAGTGGGAAAAGGGATTGCTCTGATTCATGAATTGCCACAAGGATTGTTCAGCCTTGTTATTTTTTAAGATACAAGGCCTCTCACTGATCATTACCCTAAGCTTGAAGAAGTTCTACATGCTGTCGGGATACTCGCGGTCACTACACACATCTCCACACGCTTGCACCCACATGTCAACGGTTCTAACAGGCTTCCATCCGTGCCACATTCCCCCATCCCATACCGACTCCCCGCATTGCTCTCCACAAGCTCAGTGAACTTGTTTCCCCTGTCACAGCAACTCACTATCTTTGTCCAAAGCAGCGACAGCTCTCTACGTCTCAACATCACTCCCTCGTCCGTCCCACACCCACTCACCGCATAGCACTGACTCACCACACAGCACCCACTCACCGCATAGCCTTCCACGAGCTCTGTGAACTTGTCATACACCTTCTTCTCCGTCTCAGGCGTCCACAGGAACTCATTGTCCGTGTCCAGCATCAGCGACAGCCTGTCCGCCTGCGTCTGATCCATCTCCATGGTCACTGGGTCGATGTACCCCACGTAGATGCGCACGTGGCGCGTGTTGGAGCTGAGCCATCTGCCACCCTGGTGAATAAAGGGAGCGAGGGAGGGCGAATGCACAGAGTGATCAATTGTTGTCCGCCTGCGTCTGGTCCATCTCCATGGTCACTGGGTCAATGTACCCCACGTAGATGCGCACGTGGCGGGTGTTGGAGCTCAGCCATCTGCCACCCTGGTGAATAAAGGGAGCGAGGGAGGGCGAATGCACAGAGTGATCAATTGTTGTCCGCCTGCGTCTGGTCCATCTCCATGGTCACTGGGTCAATGTACCCCACGTAGATGCGCACGTGGCGCGTGTTGGAGCTCAGCCATCTGCCACCCTGGCGAGAAAGAGCAGGGAAGAAAAAAAACAGAAAAGAAAATAAGAATTCTGAGCCCGGCCTGTGTGATGTGATGCGTTTGGGGGTCGACTACCACATGGATGCGTACGTGGCGGTTGTTGGAGCTCATCCATCCGCCACCCTGTTGAAACAAGAAGGGGGAGCGGGTGGATGAGGGGGTGAGTGCGTAGAGCCATCATTATCGTCCGCCTGCGCCTGATCCATCTTCATGGTTTGCAAACCCAGGCATCCCACGTAGATTCGCACGTGGTAGGTTCATTGGAGCTCAGCCCTGTGTCACCCGTGGTGAATGAACGGAGGCATGAAACAAAGGAAAGAAAGAGCACATTGTCGCTCACGCATCTGTTCTAGAACAAGCGCACTCACTTGGGGAACTGGCGACAAAAAGAACGAGCACATGGCGGTTGGGGACACGACCAACTCTGAATGGGCATTTTCTCAATAGCTCATGACGAAACTCATCTGTAGCTAATCCAACGAAAGGCCTTACTCCGTTCTCCTCCTCCAACTCCCCCTTTTCCCAATCTCTGACCCTACCGCTACGTTCCCTCTTCTCCCTTTTCCCCCCCTCCCACTCTACTTTTCGCACGCAGCATTTTCAGTAGGGAGCTCCCCTTCTCAATATTTGAATAAACACGATCATCAGCGTGAGCAACACCGACTGCGTGAGTCTCAATTGAAAACGGAGACTCTTTTAGGGCCCGACTAACACACCGACTAACGAGCGGAAATGCACAGTGACACGTTACGATTATCGCCGTGAGCTCCGCGCGTGCGGCATTTGCCGAATTGAATTGAAATAAATGACGACGAATGACTAAGCACCCGCTGTGACTAGAGTTGACTAACTACCCACATACTCCCGAAACCCCTCAGTGCATCTTTGTCGCGCCAACTCGGTACATCGGCGAAAGAAATCATAAGTAGTCGAAAGAAAACCGCCGCATTTAGCATGAAAAATAATGTACCTGGAGCACTCCCTCTCGGGTCAAGCCCTTGCTCTCAGTCTCTGCACGGACGACCAATCGGGTGGCCCGGCTCGATTGTTGTTGCCGTGAGGCGGAAGTAGCGGCAACCCAGCGAGTCGGCGCGAAGGAGGCGACGCTAGATAAGCTTTCGCACGGCGACGTCGCTGATAGCCGCGTGGCGACTGCGAGCTCTGCGACGGCCATCGCGGAAGCGCGAACAATGAGAGCCATTTTCTATGGCAAGATCAGCCTTAGGTAAAGGACCCGCAGGACTATTTGTAGCCACAGAAAAGGCTACAGAACGACGACCGCCTGTTTGAGTTACTAAAACGGCGAGTCGGCAACAGTAGTATGTCAAGCTTTAAAATTTCTGAAAAAAGGCAAAGTTAGGCGGAGTCTAGGAACCGTGTTGGGAGCAACAAAACTCAACGGCCAGGATTTATCATTCTTCTAATCGGACGGGTACAACTCATCCGACTCCATGGCTGACAGGTAAGGCTGAAAGCCCCGCCAAACCCAAGCAGGTTCTGGTGGGGAGCCTAGGTGTGTGTGGAGTCGATCAGTCAAACTTCGACACGTCAGCAGAAAAGGTGGTATGGATATAGAGCCAAGAGCCTGGAACCTGGGGGAAATACGGGCAAAGGGCTTTTGCGCCATGTAAGAGATTGCCAGCGTGGCATTCCTGACGCAACCTTGCAAAGCGTCTAGATGCTGCGCTGCAATCTGTATCGGTCAGAAGCACAACACTTATCAACAGCCCCTTTATTTCGTTTCAGTGTTCCAATAATCATGTTTGCATGTTTGTGTTTGCACTAACAATCCCCGTACAAGTGACCATCTAAGTGATCAGCTAATCTATGTTATCAAGATTAGTCCAATAAGCCAACTTCCATCTAATCCCATATATAAATGCACAACTACTATCAAGGTGCAGAGTTTGCTCTCATTTCACAAAGTGGCAACCAAGTACCATACATACAACATATCTTGCCAAAAATGGTTCTGCGAAAAGACGTGTTAGTAGAAGCCTGATCGGAGAAGCTCCCATGGCAAGAATCACGAGGGAGCATAAAAGGCGGGGTCATAGAAAGGGTCGATGTTGCCGGCCGTTGTGCGAGTGGGGGAGAGAGGCTGAGCGGAGGTGGACATGGGAGTGAGGGGATCGGAGGAGTACGGGGAGGCCTGGGGAGTGGAGGAAGGTGTTGCGGCGGTCGTGGAACAAGGCCTGTGGGAAAGGCAGTGGGTACCGTGGGGTAATGGAAGGGCGAGAGAGAGAGTTCAGGGTTAGAGAGACGCATGGACAAGAGGCGGCAATTTTTTAGCAGCTAAGAGTAGAACTCTGTGTGGGACGTGGAGTGGAAATGGGAGACGGTGGCAGGCGGTGCAGTGAACATAACTGACACCAATAAAAAGGAAACCTGACAAGTACGCTCATATATATATATATTTATATATATATATGTAAAACGCCGACGACGACTCGGCCAAACTCATGTGTCCTGTGTGCACGCCTGGCTGGCAGCAGCAGCAGTGGAGTTGACGATGGCGTGATTGCCGTAGCTGTTCTCTCTCCCTTATGTGCACATGCACCCATAGTTTGGAAGGAAATATGAACTCACGTGTCCTCGTTGCATGCTTGGCTGGCAGCAGCAGTAGAGTTGACGATGGCGTGATTGCCGTAGCTGTTCTCCCCTATGCACATGAAATGATAGTTAGAAAGGTGCACTCTAGATAGAAAGGAAGATGAACTCACGTGTCCTCGGTGCATGCTTGGCTGGCAGCAGCAGTAGAGTTGACGATGGCGTGATTGCCGTAGCTGTTCTCCCCTATGCACATGAAATGATAGTTAGAAAGGTGCACTCTAGATAGAAAGGAAGATGAACTCACGTGTCCTCGGTGCATGCTTGGCTGGCAGCAGCAGTAGAGTTGACGATGGCGTGATTGCCGTAGCTGTTCTCCCCTATGCGGATTGCCAGCTTCGCTTGTCCGTCGATGCACTGGTACTGCTGGTAGGCCAGGCTGCTGTTCTGACCCGTGCAGGGACTGGGAAGGGGGACAGGACAGGGGGGGAAGGGAGGAGAATGCATGCTGAGTCGGCTTTGTGCCATATCTGCCCTCCCTCTCCCCTATGTGTATCGCCAGCTTGGCCTGTCCAACAATGCACTGGTACTGCTGGTAGGCCAGGCTGCTGTTCTGACCCGTGCAGGGACTGTATGGGGTGGTTGAGGCAGGGGGGAAGATTGAAGACAGTGTGCTGGTTAATACAGAGTGGCTGTTCTCCCCTATGCGGCCCTATGCGGGTCGCCAGCTTGGCCTGATAAGCCATACTGCCCTCTCCCTCTCTGCTCTCTTCTCTCTGCCCTCTGCACTCCGCACTGCCTTACTCACATGGTGGTGATATTGGTCACCCATTGGCTGTTGGCGTCTTTCGGCTCGAGAATCACCGTAACTGCTCCCGTGCACCCGTCCTGATCGTACGACCGTGTTTTGAGTCGGCTCAAAACACGACTGATCGTACGACCGTGTTTTGAGTCGGCTCAAAACACGACTGATCATACGACCGCATAAACACCCCCGCGGGGAAGAACAGCGGGTTGGTTGGTGGGCGCGGGCACAAAACAAAACCCTCTCCCTTACTCACATGGTAGGAATGTTGGTGACCCATTGGCTGTTCGCATCCTTGGGCTCCAGAACCACCGTGACTGCCCCCGCGCACCCCTCCTGATCATACGACATCGAAATTCCTTGCTAGATTGTACTCACATGGTGGGAATGCTGGTGACCCATTGGCTGTTCGCGTCCTTGGGCTCGAGAATCACCGTGACTGCCCCCGCACACCCCTCCTGATCGTAGGACCTTAATAAGCTGCTCTCTGTTCTCTCTCTCCTCTACTCACATGGTGGGAATGCTGGTGACCCATTGGCTGTTCGCGTCCTTGGGCTCGAGAATCACCGTGACTGCCCCCGCACACCCCTCCTGATCGTAGGACCTTAATAAGCTGCTCTCTGTTCTCTCTCTCCTCTACTCACATGGTGGGAATGCTGGTGACCCATTGGCTGTTCGCGTCCTTGGGCTCGAGAATCACCGTGACTGCCCCCGCACACCCCTCCTGATCGTAGGACCTTAATAAGCTGCTCTCTGTTCTCTCTCTCCTCTACTCACATGGTGGGAATGCTGGTGACCCATTGGCTGTTCGCGTCCTTGGGCTCGAGAATCACCGTGACTGCCCCCGCGCACCCCTCCTGATCGTACGACCGCACAAAGATCCCCTGGGGATAGAACAGCGGGTTGGTGGGCGCCGGCACGATGCGCAGGCTGTAGGTGTATCCGGCGAGCAGCGAGGCTGTGAGGTAGCGGCGGACTTTCTTGTTTGGTACAGCGGGGCCGCTGTTGGGATTGTCGTTGTCCGTGCCATAGTCTGTGAACTGTGCTCCATCTTCTAGCCGTGTCACGACGACATAACTGGACACCAAGCAGGGGAAGAGGAGGGGCAGGGAAGAGGGGGTGTGGGGCTAGAACTTAAAACAGCGGGTTGGTGGGCGCGGGCACGATGCGCAGGCGGTAGGTGTATCCGGCGAGCAGCGAGGCTGTGAGGTAGCGGCGGACTTTCTTGGTCGGCACGGCCGGGCCGCTGTTGGGGTTGTCGTTGTCTGTCCCGTAGTCTGTGAACTGAGCGCCGTCTTCTAGCCTGGTGACGACCACATAACTGGAGAAAGCAGGAGGGGGAGAGGAGAGGGAAAGGAGGGGGAGAGGAGGGGCAGGGAAGAGGGGTTGTGGGGTCAGAACTTAGAGAGAACAGTTGGTTGGTGGGAGCGGGCACGATGCGCAGGCTGTAGGTGTATCCGGCGAGGAGAGAGGCTGTGAGGTAGCGCCTGACTTTCTTGGTCGGCACGGCCGGGCCGCTATTGGGGTTGTCGTTGTCTGTCCCGTAGTCTGTGAACTGAGCGCCGTCTTCTAGCCTTGTCACGACGACATAACTGGACACCAAGCAGGGGAAGAGGAGGGGCAGGGAAGAGGGGGTGTGGGGTTAGAACTCAGAACAGCGCGTTGGTGGGCGCGGGCACGATGCGCAGGCTGTAGGTGTATCCGGCGAGGAGAGAGGCTGTGAGGTAGCGCCTGACTTTCTTGTTTGGCACGGCCGGGCCACTGTTGGGGTTGTCATTGTCCAAGCCATAGTCTGTGAATTGTGCCCCGTCTTCCACTCTTGTCACCACGACATAACTGCTCAACAGCAGGATGAGGGGCAGGGAGGAGGGGGTGTGGGGTTAGAACTTAGAACAGCTGGTTGGTGGGCGCCGGCACGATGCGCAGGCTGTAGGTGTATCCGGCGAGGAGCGAGGCTGTGAGGTAGCGCCTGACTTTCTTGGTCGGCACGGCCGGGCCGCTGTTGGGGTTGTCGTTATCCGTGCCATAGTCCGTGAACACAGCCCCATCTTCCAGCCTGGTTACCACAACGTAACTGCTCAGGAGCAAGGGGAGAGGAGGGGCAGGGAAGAAGGGAAGAAGGGAAGTAGGGAAGAAGCTGTTGGGGTTGTCGTCGTCTGTCCCGTAGTTTGTGAACTGTGCCCCGTCTTCCACTCTCGTCACCACCACGTAGCTGCACCACGGGAGGATTGGGAAGGCAGGAGAAGGAGGGGGACAAACAAGGTGTGGGGTGTGGTGAGAAGGAGCTGTCATCGCCTCTCAAGTGCTGTTGGGGTTCCGTTGGGCCTCACCCCCCGCTCATTGTACCCGATCCCCACCGACCGATAGCACACCCCCGTGCACGCACACACGTTCTGCGCACTGTCCAACGAGCACCCACCCACCCATTCACTCTCCCATTCTCTCACCTATAAGGCCTCAGCACGTAAGCCGGAAGCCCAGCCATGCCGTTGGGTCGCACTCCCCACTCGTGGTACCCGATCCCCACCGATCGATAGCACACTCCCGTGCATGCATATGCATTCTGCGTGCTCTTGAAGCTGCACTTAGCCGCCCGGACGGCGGGGGGCGGCAAGATCGGATCGTAGTTGGCAACGGCGAAGCCTGATTGGCCGAGGAGGGATCCGTCGAGATCCCGGATGGCGTAGAAGCGCGCCACCAGACCCCCCCGGGGCGGCGTGCCTGCAGTCTGCGCGTGATTATAACGAGAAAAAAGTGTTGTGAGAACAATGTAGGTGAGGTACTGTAACTTGTTTATGTATACATATATACATATATATATATACATATATACACATATATAAAAGCAACATTTGGCTGTTGCATTGCAACAATCAGTAACCAGACATTCAAGTAGGGGGCAGAAGGGAAAGAATACCTTGATCATGTGACATGAAAATATAATTTCATGGATGCTATTTAAAATATATATATTTAGTGCTTACAGGGTTAGGAGTAGCCCAGAACTTGTTGGTTCCAGAACCAAAGGTTAGGCCCTGTGGTGGGGTGTGGGCGGTGGGAGGGAGGGTGGGGAGAGAAGGTTGTTTGTACAGGCCAAGTTGTAAGCGACTTTTGCGTCGACTCAAAAGTGAAAGAAGACTGAGTGCTGTCATCCTACGTAGTGTTTTTCTAGGTTTCAAACAAGAATGTCAGTGCTGAATGTAATGACTGTACATTCATTGCTCACCTACACAAAGAAAGCACTGTTCCAGTACCCTCCTGCATGGTTGGCTGCGAGAAGCCGAGGAACGAAAGGACACTCCATCCCACACGCAGAGAGAGATAAAGGTAGCATCTAAATGGGGTGAGTTTCATACCTTGACAAAGAAAGCACTGTTCCAGTACCCCCCTGCGTGATTGGCTGTGAGGAGCACAGCATAGCTGGCATCGTCCGTGGCACCATAGCCTGAGAAGCTGGAGGGAAAGGGAAGTAGAGAGGGATGATTTGGCTCAACACACGTGCCAACATGTGAGACAGTGTGAGCAGCACAGCATAGCTGGCATCGTCCGTGGCACCGTAGCCTGAGAAGGTGGGGGGGAGGGCGAAAAGAGAGAGATGATTGGGCTCAAAACATGTGGCCATGTGCAAGGCAGTGTGAGCAGCACGGCATAGCTGGCATCGTCCGTGGCACCGTAGCCTGAGAAGCTGGGGGGAGGGAGGAGAGAGGGAAGAGAGGAAGGCGAATCGGGATTAATAAGGCAAGGGATTAGGGATGATTTGGCTCAAAACATGTGCGAGACAGAGTGGGCAGCAGAGCGAGGCTGGCATCGTCAGCAGCACCGTAGCCTGAGAAGCTGGAGGGAAGGAAAGCAGAGAGGGAGAAATGGGGGATAGTACGGCTTGACTCGAAAGACTTGCAGGCAGTGTGGGCAGCCCAGCAATGCTGGCTGAATAGAGTTGGGTCCAGGGGAATCGGATGGGTTGCAATGCACAGACTGACGACGAACCCCACAGGCAACTCAACGCTGCCCGTCCTGGTCAGATTTAAGAAAGTCAAACAAAGTCAAGAGAGTCAACTCACCATGAATCCTGAATGGAGTTGGGTCCAGGGGGTTCGGATGGGTTGCACTGACTGACGATGAAACCCAGAGTCAACTCAAAGCTGGTTTAAACACCCGAGGCAACAAAGTCAAACAAAGTCAACAAAAGTAAACCAAAGTCAAGAGAGTCAACTTACAAGGAGTTCTGAATGGAGTTGGGTCCCGGGGGGTCGGCTGGGTTGCACTGGCTGACCACGATCCCCACAGGCGAGCTAAAGAGTCAACCAAAGTCAAGAGAGTCAACTCACAAGGAATTCTGGATGGAGTTGGGTCCAGGGGGGTCCGCAGGGTTGCACTGGCTGACCACGATCCCCACCGGCGACTCAAAGCTGCCCGTTTTGCCATCCCCTATCACTCGCTGCATCGCCCCTGCCATCTGCTGCTGCTTCACTCTGGCCAGCGCACCCGGCTTGCTCTTGAGCTCTTGAAACAGCTGCTCCTCTGGTCGAGTGAAGTCCACTCCTGCACACATTAGAGCACCACAGGGCACCGCATAGCACCGCACACCACATGTGAAGGAGTGCAAGATACAACACACCCGGCTTGCTCTTGAGCTCCTGAAACAGCTGCTCCTCTGGTCGAGTGAAGTCCACTCCTGCACACATTAGAGCACCACAGGGCACCGCATAGCACCGCACACCACATGTGAAGGAGTGCAAGATACAACACACCCGGCTTGCTCTTGAGCTCCTGAAACAGCTGCTCCTCTGGCCGAGTGAAATCCACTCCTGCAAGCAACAGCGAGGCAAGGCACGGTTGAAAGAAAAGGGGGGTTTTAAGCTGCCTGTCTTGCCGTCCCCGATAACCCGCTGCATCGGCCCCGCCCTCTGCTGCTGCTTCACTCTGGCCAGCGCGCCCGGCTTGCTCTTGAGCTCTTGAAACAGTTGCTCCTCTGGCCGAGTGAAGTCCACACCTGTGGTAGTAGTTGGGGAGACAGGGGCACACGCAGACGCAGTTACCGCCACCAATCCAGCAAGCAATCTGCCTCACGACCTATCACCCGCTGCATCGGCCCTGCCATCTGCTGCTGCTTCACTCTGGCCAGTGCACCCGGCTTGCTCTTGAGCTCTTTGAATAACTACTCTTCTGGGCGAGTGAAATCCGTTCCTGCACACGCATTAGAGCAACGCACAACAGGTGGGGAAGAGGAGAGAGGGAAACTGAATCTACCAGTCCTGCTCCCCCCCTCTTGTCTTGCCGTCCCCTATCACCCGCTGCATCGGCCCTGCCATCTGCTGCTGCTTCACTCGAGCCAGCGCCCCCGGCTTGCTCTTGAGCTCTTTGAATAACTCCTCCTCTGGGCGAGTGAAATCCGTTCCTGCACACGCATTAGAGCAACGCACAGCAGGTGCGGAAGAGGTGAGAGAGGGGGAGGGGAAACTGAAGCTACCAGTCCTGCTACCCCCCACCTGTCTTGCCGTCCCCGATAACCCGCTGCATCGGCCCCACCCTCTGCTGCTGCTTCACTCGTGCCAGCGCACCCGGCTTGCTCTTGAGCTCTTGAAACAGTTGCTCCTCTGGCCGAGTGAAGTCCACTCCTGCAGTGGTGCGGGCAGGGAGACAGGGGCAAATGCAGTTACAGCCACCAATCATCCGCCCGTTGCTGCTGCTTCTCTCGGGCCAGCGCCCCCGGCTTGCTCTTGAGCTCTTGAAACAGTTGCTCCTCTGGGCGAGTGAAGTCCACCCCTGCACGCATTAGAGCACCACAGGGCACCGCATAGCACCACACACCACATGTGAAAGAGTGCAAGATACAGCGCGCCCCTGGTTTGCTCTTGAGCTCTTGAAACAGCTGCTCCTGTGGCCGGGTGAAGTCCACTCCTGCAGTGGTGGTGGGCAGACAGGGGAACAATCAGTTAATGCCACCGTCCCCTATCACCCGCTGCATCGGCCCCACCCTCTGCTCTGCTGCTTCAGTCGAGCCAGCGCACCCGGCTTGCTCTTGGGCTCTTGAACCTCTGGCTGGGTGAGTGAAGTCCATACGTAGAGAACAGTCAGTTACGACTGGTGATGTATGAAAAAAAAAAGAGAACGTAGAGAAGAGCACCACTCACCAGCACCATACACCTCGTCCAACGGGCCGAGAGCAAGGGAAACACTATTGGGTTAAGAGAGAGGCTGGGCTGGGTTCTTGAACACATTTGAATCAGAAGTAGGTGCAAGAACCGCCCCCCAGAGCAGCACGTACCAGCACCATACACCTCGTCCAATGGCCCGAGAGCAAGGGAGAGGCTGTCGGGTTGAGTGACAGTGGTTTGGCTGGTGTCTCACTCAAATCACGTACTCCTCATATCAGCCCCAACCCCTACACAAGAGCAGCACGTACCAGCACCATACACCTCGTCCAATGGCCCGAGAGCAAGGGAGAGGCTGTCGGGTTGAGTGACTGTGGTTGGGCCCTTAGCTAAAGCCAAGTCCGAATCAAAATCTGCGCCGGGAATTGTGCTGCTGCTGCTGGTGCTTCTGATATATTGAACGGTAGCAGAAGAGGAATAATAGGACGAAGTAGTAGCAGTAGCAGGAGGAGGAGGAGCAGGAGAAGCAGCAGCAGCAGGAGGAGGGGGAGCAGGAGCAGCGGCAGGAGCAGCGGCAGGAGAAGCAGCAGAACCGGTAGCACCACCAGCACCAGAAGCACCAGCAGAACCAGAAGGAGCAACGGCAGCTCGAGCGATGAACTTGCAGCCAGAGGCCGCGAGCTTCACGTTGCGACTCAGGTCTATGCCAACGGCGTTTTCCAAAAAGATTCCGTTCTTGACCACTATGCGCTCGCTGTTGAAGAAGAACATTCTGGAAAGAGGGGGGGGGAGAGGAGGGAGGGGGAGAGAAGAGAGTTTTGAGATGTCTCTCAGAGCAACACGGCTCAAGAAACGGTTCTGTTGTTGACCACGATGCGCTCGCTGTTGAAAAATAACATTCTGTTGGCACTAGAGGGTGGGGGGAAGGGAGGAAGTAGGAGATGGGGAAGACGAGTTGACATAGAGGGGAGAGGAAAGGATGATTCCGTGCTTGACCTCAATGCGCTCGCTGTTGAAGAATAGCATTCTATGGAGAGAGAGGAGGTTAAAAGAGAGAGGAGGAGGGGCGAGAGGGAGTGAGGGAGGGAGGCGAGGAAGTGAGTGGAAAGGGCAGTGAATACAGGTAGGACGATTCCGCTCTTCACCACGATGCGCTCGCTGTTGAAGAAGAACATTCTGGAAAGAGAAGAGGGTGAAGGGGGGGAAAGGGAGGGGAGGGCATAAAGGAGCGGGAGAGAGGGAGGGAGGGAGGGAGGGAGGGAGGGAGGGAGGGAGGGAGGGAGGGAGGGAGGCAGGGAGGGAGGGAGGGAGGGAGGGAGGGAAGGAAGAGAGTCTTGGGACTATTTTTGAGCGCCAGAACCACACTACGTCTCACAAACCCAGATCGTTCTTTCGATTGTGTCTGGTGGACACTTACGAGCCGTGCGGGTACGTGTGAGCTGATTTGTTGTCGTGCCATACTTTCACACACTCACTCGCTCACTTGCTCCCACACTCCCATTCTCACTTGCTCCCACACTCACCCACTCCCATGCTGATTCCCTCACTCACTCGCCCCCATTCCCACTCACCCCAGCGTGTTGCGATAGATCAGAATGTTTTCCAAGGGAGCCGGGTCTGTATTATACACCGGGTAGCGTGCGTACGAGCCGTGCCACGTTCGCACATATTCACTCCCTCAATCACTCACCCCACTGTGTTGCGATAGATCAGAAAGTTTTCCAGCGGAGCCGGGTCTGTGTTATACACCGGGTAGCGTGCGTACGAGCCGTGCGGGTACGTGCGAAACCCAAAGACGTTGCTGTGAGCAGCATGTTTCCATGCCAGTTTCCCACATTCTCACTCACTCCCACACTCCCATTCTCACTCACTCACCCCACGGTGTTGCGATAGATCAAAAAGTCTTCCAAGGGAGCCGGGTCTGTATTGTACACCGGGTAGCGCGCATACGAGCCGTGCGGGTACGTGCGAAACCCAAACACGTTGCTGTGAGCGACATTGCCGGTGTATTCGCCCCAGTTGTAGGTGAGGGGGTTGATGGCTCCGATCGCAGGCAGCAGGCGGGATACCCCTCTCATGTATGGCGTTGCTTCCAGCCAGAATCTGGGGATGGGGAACAGGGGAGGAGGGGGGAAGGGAGGGAGGGAGGGACGACACGTTGTGCTGTGAGCCACATTCTCGGTGTACTCCCCCCAGTTGTAGGTGAGGGGGTTGATGGCTCCGATCGCAGGCAGCAGGCGGGACACTCCTCACATGTATGGCGTTGCTTCCAGCCAGAATCTGGGGATGGGGAACAGGGGAGGAGGGGGGAAGGGAGGGAGGGAGGGACGACACGTTGTGCTGTGAGCCACATTCTCGGTGTACTCCCCCCAGTTGTAGGTGAGGGGGTTGATGGCTCCGATCGCAGGCAGCAGGCGGGACACTCCTCACATGTATGGCGTTGCTTCCAACCAAAAGCTGGGGATGGGGAACAGGGGAGGAGGGTGAGGAAGAGACAGAGGGGCGTGGCAGGTTGCTGTGAGCGACGTTCCCGGTGTATTCCCCCCAGTTGTAGGTGAGCGGGTTGATGGCTCCGATGGCAGGCAGCAGGCGGGATACCCCTCGCATGTATGGCGTTGCTTCCAACTAAAAGCTGGGGGCGGGAGGAGGGGGGAGGGGGGAAGGGAAGGAGGGAGGGAGGGAGGGACGACAGGTTGTGCTGTGAGCCACGTTCCCGGTGTACTCCCCCCAGTTGTAGGTGAGGGGGTTGATGGCTCCGATGGCAGGCAGCAGGCGGGATACCCCTCGCATGTATGGCGTTGCTTCCAACTAAAAGCTGGGGGCGGGAGGAGGGGGGAGGGGGGAAGGGAAGGAGGGAGGGAGGGAGGGACGACACGTTGTGCTGTGAGCCACGTTCCCGGTGTACTCCCCCCAGTTGTAGGTGAGGGGGTTGATGGCTCCGATGGCAGGCAGCAGGCGGGACACTCCCCTCATGTACGGGGTGGCCTCTAGCCAGAATCTGGGGGATTGTATCGGAGGGGGGAAGGGAAGGGAGGGAAGGGCGGGATGTTTGCTATTAGGACCCAAACAGGTTGCTGTGGGCCACGTTCCCGGTGTATTCCCCCCAGTTGTAGGTGAGGGGGTTGACGGCGCCGATCTGAGGCAGCAGGCGAGATACGCCACGCATGTATGGTGTTGCCTCCAGCCAAAAGCTGGAGGAGAGGGGGGAAGGGAGTGGGCAGGGGAGGAGGAGGAGCCCGTTAGTGCAAGGCAGAGCGACGTTCCCGGTGTACTCCCCCCAGTTGTATGGCGTTGCTTCCAACCAAAAGCTGGGGATGGGGAACAGGGGAGGAGGGTGAGGAAGAGACAGAGGGGCGTGGCAGGTTGCTGTAAGCGACGTTCCCGGTGTATTCCCCCCAGTTGTGGGGGAGGGGGTTGATGGCTCCGATTTCAGGCAGCAGGCAGGATACTCTTCGCATGCACGGCGTTGCTTCCAACCAAAATCTGGGGGAGAGGGGCGGGGATGGGAGGCAGGGAGTGGGAAGGGGGAGGGGGGGGATATGAGGGTGAGGGGGTTGATGGTGCCGATCTGAGGCAGCAGGCGAGATACTCTTCGCATGCACGGCGTTGCTTCCAACCAAAAGCTGGGCGGAAGGGGGGAAGGGGGGAAGGGAGTGGTGATAGAGAGGGTATGTGCAAAACCCAAACGCGTTGCTGTGAGCGGTAAGGGGCATTGGTGCGAGCATTGAGACGACTCAAAACTGGTTATAATTAGTGCTCGCGCCAATGCCCCTTACTGGTAAAACAATACATACAGTAGTGCTCATCCAGAGTCCTCCGACCCAGCAGCCACTTTATCAAAATGAAGTTGCTGTGGGGAGTGCCGAGCCAAAACGTGGTGGGTTGTCTACAGTGCCACAGATTTTACTTTCTATACATATATATATATATACCTATACCATTTACTGTAGTACTCACCCAGAGTCCTCCGACCCAGCAGCCACTTTATCAAAATGAAGTTGCTGTGGGCCGTGCCGAGCCAGAACGTGGTGGGCTGTCTACAGTGCCACAGTTTTTTTATTTCTATACATATATATATATATGTATATATATATACATAACTTTTACTGTACTCACCCAGAATCCTCCGAGCCAGCGGCAACATTGTCAATGAAGTTGCTGTGGGGAGTGCCGAGCCAAAACGTGGTGGGCTGTTTGTCTGTCTGCTTGTCCAGCTTGCTGCTGCTGGCGGGGGGGATCACCTTCTCCACTGCACAGAGTGGCGGAGAGGTTGGGAGAAAGATAACGGTTGGGAACGTTTGGGAACGGTTAGGAACAGGGGAACACAGACTGCCGGTCCCCACCTCTGTCGGTCCGTCTGCTTGTCCAGCTTGCTGCTGCTGGCGGGGGGAATCACCTTCTCCACTGCATATACCGTGAGGGGGGAAGGGGATGGGGGGGAGGATGGGAGTGGGGTACAGATGGGAGGAGGGGGAACGGGGGGACAGAGGCTGTCAGTGCCTCTCTCTGTCAGTCCGTCTGCTTGTCCAGCTTGCTGCTGCTGGCGGGGGGGGATCACCTTCTCCACTGCACAGCACAGAGGGGAAGCAGCGAGAAACAGAAAACAGCGAGTAACGGGTGAGATTGGGGAAGCAGCGGCTTGCTGCTGCTGGCGAGGGGGATCACCTTCTCCACTGCACGGAGTGGGTAGGGGGTGGGCGTGGGGGAGGAGGCGAGGAACGGATGGGAGCAGGGGAACAGAAGCTGATAAAGTGCCGGCTGTCTGCTTGTCCAGCTTACCATACCATATCATATCATATCATATCATATCATATCACGTCATGTCATATCATGTCATGTCATGTCATATCATGCCATGTCATGCCATGTCATGTCATATGCATATCATATCATAAGCCAGCCTTTCCGCGCGTTGATCCCAAGGTTGCGCTTGAAGTTATTGTTGAGCTCACTGCCCTCCTCCAGCAGGTAGCAGTGAAAGGTTGGTGGGGGTAAGGAGGTGGGAGGCGGGGGTGGTGGCGAGTAGAGTGTGGAGAGTGGGAACTGGCAAGTTTTATTCATGGACCGAATATACCTTTCCGCGCGTTGATCCCGAGGTTGCGCCTGAAGTTATTGTTGAGCTCACTCCCCTCCTCCAGCAGGTAGCAGTGGCCCTTCGTTTCGTACGCTATGTTATCTTCGATCGTCATGCTGCCCGTGGCATGGATCACCATGCACCTCTGAAGAGGGGAGGGGGAAGGGAGGGGGGGGACAGAGAGAGGGGAGCAGGTTGTCAAGCTTAACTACTCGCTCCCTTCCTCCAGCAGGTAGCAGTGCCCCTCGGTCTCTCGTACACCACGTTGTCCCCATGTTGTCCTCTATTGTCTGCCCGGGGCGTGAATCACCATGCATCGCTGTTGGTGGTGGGAGAGAGGGGAGGGATGGCGTGTTTTGGCAATGGCCTTTTCTTTCTCTCTTCTTCTCTCGAAAATTTGTGTCTCATGTCATGCCTGCCTTCAGGGTGCAAAACAACGGCTTTTTTTTTTTTCCGTTCCAATATATGACTGTACAAAAACAACATGGATGGACGAGCATACCTGTCTGGTAAACACGATCGCGTTTTTCCGAACCACGTGACCCTGCCCATCCTGCCCGCAGATATGGAAATGCACGGGGTATTTCCCCAGTGTCCCCTGATTTCCGAGGCCTTTAAACTGCACACCCTCCAGAGTCTGCTTGGTAGGTGTCATGTAGATGATAAAATGGCCCCCGTCGAGCTGATGTGGCGCCGCCTCATTCGTCCCTTGGATGCTGACGTGGCGGTCCAGCAGCGCAACTTCCCCGAAGATTCCTACGGTGCCCGTGCCCCCGTCTGGTAACACCTCCCCCTGGTGGGTGTGCCTCAGGGGGGTCTGGAGGTTGATGCGGAAAACGCCAGGATTGCTGATGTCAGCGGCAACTGGTTTTGGGAAGTCGGGGTTTCGGTGGGGTTGGGGGGGTTGGTCAGAGAGAGGGAGGGGGATGGAGGGATTTGAAAGGGACAAGGAAAAAAGGAAGTAGTTAGTTGTTATAACCAACAGGAGGAGAGGAGGTGTGAGTCAGGAGGAAATCAAATCACATCCGAATCTCTCTCACCTGAGGTGATCTGATGGTGCTCTGCCTCGTTCAGGTCGTTACTGGTGGAGGCCAGAGCCACCGTCATCCCTGCCGCCCATTTGCTGACGTCAGCGTCCACGAGGACGTAGCGCTGGCCGGCGTTGGCCGTCTCACTCAGCCGCACCCACGAGGGCGTGTCGCCGCCGCCCGGCATGCCGTGGAATTGCACCTGACCGCCCACCTGAGAAGCACATTTGGCAGGCAGGGAGTATATTCTTGAAGTGATATTGATTGAAAATGGAAATAGGGGTGAGTGACCCCTGGTTCCGTCCCACTCGTGTTTTGAGTCGACTCAAAATGGAAGTAGGGGTGACCCCTGGTTCCGTCTCACTCAGCCGCACCCACGAGGGCGTGTCGCTGCCGCCCGGCATGCCGTGCAACTGCACCTGGCCGCCCACCTGAGAAGCAACATGAGACAGCACAACACATTTATTAAATGGAGTTGTGTAGGTAGGTACATGGGTTGTCGGCGAGTTGCTGCCACCCGGCCCGGCATGCCGTTGAACTGCACCTGCCCTCCCACCTGCGTGGGGGAAGGGGGAAGTTGGTGGAGGGGGTGAGTGGCCGTCTCACTCAGCCGCACCCACGAGGGCGTGTCGCTGCCGCCCGGCATGCCGTGCAACTGCACCTGCCCTCCCACCTGAGGGAATCAGAAGCGAGACATGGAAACTTATGTTATGTGTCGCTCGCCAACTGCCAACTGCCAACTGCCAACTGCCAAACTGCCAACTGCCAACTGCCAACTGCCAAACTGCCAACTGCCAACTGCCAAACTGCCAACTGCCAACTGCCAACTGCCAACTGCCAGCTGCCAACTGCCAACTGCCAACTGCCAACTGCCAACTGCGAACTGCCAACTGCCAACTGCCAACTGCCAAACTGCCAACTGCCAACTGCCAAACTGTGTCGCTCGCTGCCAACTGCCGCCCGGCCCGGCATGCCGTGGAACTGCACCTGGCCGCCCACCTGGTGGAGTGGAGGGGTTTTGAGCGTCTCAAAACACTTCTTCATGCACTGCACCTGGCCGCCCACCTGGTGGAGTTCCACGGCATGCTGGGCCGGGCATGCTGCCGCCCACCTGGTGGAGTGGAGGGGTTTTGAGACATATCAAAACACTTCTTCATGCACCTGGCCGCCCACCTGGTGGAGTGGAGGGGGGAACGGAATTGGAAGAGACAGAATCGCTCACGGGCCGTGACACTGACACTGCCGCCCGGACGGAATGCCTTGAAATTGCACCTGCCCGCCCACCTGAGGGAAAATCGATGAGAAATGAACGCCTTGTGACCCAGGTCGGTTCGCCGCACCTGCCAGTGCGAGCTTCGTCAGCATCAACGGCTTGCGGCAATCCCCCTCTAGGTTCCAAGTCTTGTGTCACCGCATCCCACCGCGGCTCACCGCATTCCACAACGTACCTGCCAGTGCGAGCTTCGTCAGCATCAACGGCTTGCGGCAATCCCCCTCTAGGTTCCAAGTCTTGTGTCACCGCATCCCACCGCGGCTCACCGCATTCCACAACGTACCTGCCAGTGCGAGCTTCGTCAGCATCAACGGCTTGCGGTTGGCAGCGGGGAAGATGGCTCTATCGCCCCACCTTTCCACCCTCACTCTCTTCCACCCACCCACCACATACCACGATGAATGCCTTGTGCCCTAGGTCGCGAAGGTTCGCCGCATCCGCCGGCGCGAGTTTCGTCAGCATGTACGGCTTGCGGCAACCCCTTTTAGGTTCTAAGTCTCGTGTCACCGCATCCCACCGCGGCTCACCGCATCCCACCACGGCTCACCGCATCCCACAACAACGTACCACAATGAATGCCTTGTGCCCTAGGTCGCGAGGGTTCGCCGCGTCTGCCGGGGCGAGCTTCGTCAGCATGTACGGCTTGCGGCTCCCCCCTCTCTAGGTTCTAAGTCTCGTGTCACCGCATCCCACCGCGGCTCACCGCATTCCACAACGTACCACGATGAAAGCCTTGTGCCCTAAGTCGCGGGGGTTCGCCGCATCTGCTGGGGCGAGCTTCGACAGCATGTACGGCTTGCGGCAATCCCCCCTCTCTAGGTTCTAAGTCTTGTGTTGCCGCATCCCACCGCGGCTCACCGCATCCCACCACGGCTCACCGCATCCCACAACAACGTACCACGATGAACGCCTTGTGGCCCAGGTCGCGAGGGTTCGCCGCATCTGCCGGCGCGAGTTTCGACAGCATGTACGGCTTGCGGCTCCCGGGGAACAGGGTGAAGGTGAGGCGGCTTGAGAAATGGCGGTTCGGCTCGCCCGCCGTGAGCCGCCCCATCACGACGATGAAATGCGCGTTGACGTCGATTTTAGGAAGCGACGGGGAATCGAGAACCCTGGGAACAGGTTATGGGGGAAGCACGGAGATGGGAGGGACAAAGAGATCTGATCTGCTCGCCCGCCGTTAGCCGGCCCATCACGACAATGAAGTGCGCGTTGACGTCGATCCTAGGGAGGGATGGGGAATCGAGCACCCTGGGGAGAGAGGGGGTTGTGACGGAAAGGGGCGGATAGAGAAGGAATCACCACGATAAAATGCGCGTTGACGTCGATCTTAGGGAGTGATGGGGAATCGAGCACCCTGCGGAGGGGGATGTGTGGCGGAAGAGGGGAGGAAGGGGAGAGAGAGAGAAGGAATCACCACGATGAAATGCGCGTTGACGTCGATCTTAGGGAGCGATGGCGAGTCGAGAACCCAACGACGGGGAGATTGGGGGGAGCGGCCCGGAGGAGGGCGCGGAAAGAGACGGGATCACCACAATCCGATGCGCCTTGACGTTAGTTTTACGGGCGGATGGGGAGAGAGGGAGCGGGCGAAGAGGGGGGAGGGCGGGGGGGGGGCGGTTGAGGGGAACGGGGTGGGGGAGCTGGGGATGGGTTGTGATCCAATCAAACCCGGCGCGATTCGATATTCCAGACTATGTAACGAGGCAGATCCGAATGTCCTAAACCCATATAGCGTTTCGCCAATACGAACGTCCCCATTCCGAACCGCTGCCGAACCCGCGAGACTCACTTGAGCCAGCCCTTAACGGTGAGCGTCTTAACGCTTATATCGGGTACGTCGAGCAGAATCGAGACGCCGCACGGGATCGTGACGTCCTGCCACTTCCGCAACCCGCGCCCCGGCACGCCCAGGAAGCGCATCGGACCGCCCCACGTGCGCCAATCGCTCCACCGCTTCCATCCTGCGGAGGCGGAAGGCGGAAGGCGGAAGAGGGGAAAGGGGGTGAAAGGTGGGAGGGAAAGGGGGGGCGGGGTGGGGGTTTGGAGGGAAGGGAAGTGGACGGGGAAGCAGAGGAGGAGGGGAGTGTGAGGGGTTTGGGGGAAGGCGAAAGGGAGCGGAGGGAGGTGGGGAGGGAGGGTGGGGGTGAGCAGCCCGCGCCCCGGCACGCCCAGGAAGCGCATCGGGCCGCCCCACGTGCGCCAATCGCTCCACCGCTTCCATCCTGAAAACGCGGAAGGTCGGGGGAAAAGCGGGAGGAAGAAGAGGGGAAGGGGAAAGCCGGGAAGGGGGGAGAATGTGTAAAGACACTGGCTTAGGAACGATCCGCTTCCTAAAATATCGCAATTATTACCTTCTCCCTCCTCCTCCGCTCCCCCCCCAACTCTTCCACACACATGTGCGCCAATTGCGCCACCGCTTCATACCTCGAACGGGAGGGGGAGGTGTTGGGCGTAAGCCTCACTAGTACCCGCGGCGGCGCTTATTCTTAGTCGTGTTTTGAGTCGACTCAAAACACGCTTCCTTCCTCGAACGTGAGGGGAAGGTGTTGGGCGCAAGCCTCGCTAGTATCCGCGGCGGCGCTTACTCTTCGGCTCCTCCTGGGCTCAATTTCTCTAGTCGTGTTTTGAGTCGGCTCAAGTCACGCTTCCTTCCTCGAACGGGAGGGGGAGGTCTTGGGTGTAAGCCTCGCTCGTATCCGCGCCGGAGCTTACGCTTAGGCTCCTGGGCTCGATATTTTAGTCGACTAAAAAATCATATCTGCGACGGCGCTTACCATAGGCTCCCAGGCCGGCTCGTCCGCATGGGGGCTTTTTGCGGCGCCTCGAAGATCGTCTAACCCATGGCTGCGGGTTTGGTCATCAACCCGCATTTTGGAAAATAGTTTTGATACATCTCAAGACCAATCTTATCTCGCGTAGCCGTGGCGGCGCTTACCGTTGGCTCCGGGTGTCGTCAAGAGCCCGCGTGGGGGCTTTAACTCGTCAGTGTCTCTAAACGATCCCGCAAGCTAGTGGCGTCACACGCTTTCTAACTTTAACTTGACAGCGCCGAATATAGAGTGTGCAGCGCTTACCGTTGGCGCCGGGTGCTGTCATCAGTCCGCATGGCGGCTTGAACTCGTCCGTCGCTCTAAAGGCGGTTGCTTCCGCTAATTCGACGCGGCACGCTGCCACGAGCGCAAGCGCGAGCGCTGCGGAGAATAGCAGGCCGCGCAGACCAGCGGCGCGGGAGAACTGCGGCGCCGGCCACGGCATGCGTCGTCGCTGCCGCCGCGACTCGCGCTGGCTGGACGCCAATCCGAAATGCCTGGCCCACATTATCGCGTCTTTAATCTTGAGAATGTTGCGGCTTTAGGGATGATAGCGGACTTCGTGGAAAAAAACTGATTGCTAAACGCGTATTTGACTCCGTAATCTACATTAGCGGGAAAAAAAAAGAGGCAGTTACAAGCTGGAACTGCTTCAAGCACGATATTCGATGTTGAGCTGTCTAGGCGAACGGGGGCGTGAAAGGCGGCAATCGAATGGCGGGAATGCAGATAGATCTCTGACGATAATCCTATTTATTATTATTTTTACTTCCGCATGCCACAGTTCAGTCGCCGATCGAAGCACGTATTACCACAACGACTAGGAGATAACTATTAGTAGCAGTTATTAGTGACTACCCGCATGTGGCGGCCAGTCACTCTCCCCACTGAACAGAGCCCTCAAGCTGAGGTCACTGCCGTGTCGGAGACTAGGCAAGACGTGAGACGAGGTGAGAGGAACCAGCGTGCTCAGAGACAAATACTACATTAGTAGAGGACGAGACTACATACGACGTGGTAGTCTCCTCCAGTCTACGTTGACGAGGGTGAACGAAAACCATCACTAATGGCTGCCTTTCATTCCGCTGTTCGGGGAGAGTTTTGGTCGTATGCTACGAGCACGACGCGAGGCGAGACGGGACGGAGATCGTCGTCGGACATGTGCCGTTCGTCGCATGACGAGAGGGAGTGACGCTTCGCTGAGTCGCTAAAAAACAGGCGGCAGTGAGCTGGCGCCAACTTGGCTTGCTTGTTTGGACTGGCATTCGTGTACTGTGCACTACTGTACCATGAACTGGGCTAACCTGTTCACCGAATACAAACCGCATTAGTAAATAGGCCAATATCCACAAAAATCGACTGACATAACGCTGAAAGGGGTTTTGGTTTGGCTCCTCATTCATGTTGAACGTGGTGGCGATGTGTCGTCGCCACAGAGCAAAAATGCTGCGGTAGAGAGAGAGGAACGGAAGCAACGGGACGGGACGGGAGCAACCAGAGCAACGGGAGGAAAAATGAAGCAATACTTCTGAGAGGACGCAGGGAACGGCCCACAGAGTTCGCACGTTTACAAGGCTTGAGTTTCGACCGTTGATTTTACGTAATGGCCATGCGATACAATGAATGAATCTAGGACAGAAAGGGAGAAAGAGGAATGCTGCAGGGAAAACAAACCGCGGTACGGCGGCGGCAGCTCTGGCGTCGCGCCTGCTGGGAAAGCTGAGGTGAAACATTGATTTGCGATGGAAATATTTCCTCGCAGCTAGCGGCGAGCAAAGGGGTTACATATCAAACCGCACCTGAAGCGACAAACGGGCTGTCAACCATGCCGCGAGCGACTCGCGTTTGGCATTGGGATGCGTTCAAGAGGCGGGCTTGAAAAATTTCAGCCAAACTAGTACACTTCCGCTATCAGCAACTGCCCTCCAGACGGGACGTCGACGAAGATTCAGAATAACCGCGACGCGTGGTTCGGAGCGCACGTCTGGTACACCTCCAAGGCAGAGGACGCACGCCCGAGAACGGAATGAGGCTCGGCAAGAAAAGCTGACTAACCAAGGGCTGCAAAGGTGGCTTGGCAGGGAGCTGATGAGTGTTGTACTGTACATGTGGCGGAGGGCATCGCTACTCGTTATTGGGTTTCCCAATTTCGTTTTAGGTCACCAATTTCTTGTCAGCAAGTCTAATTGTTCAGGGTATAGACTCTCAAATGTCCAGACTAGGATATTAGTTGTAACACAAACGGGGGCTTACTTGTCTGTGGCAATTTGCATCCTGCCTTCTACCAAATTGTGGATCGGACCTATGTTCGTGAACTGCATCATGGCTATGAGCTTTACAGACCAGCACAACTCTCGTTGGAATGGAATGGAAAGTGGAATACTGGCACAGACAAACGCAAATCCTCCAACAACCCCTGTAGAAATCAATTCATTGCTTTGGTGAAACAGTAAGACGCAAAGAGATGTCAGTTCCATTCCCAATTCATAATCCACAACTTACTGGGTCTCTTCAATCAGCTAAGTTTCTGTTTCTTCATAGAAACACTCATAGGCAAATAACAAGTAAATGTATGGCACCGAATTGAACAAGCTAATATAACCACATTCACTGCAAGAAACACAATCCCAGCAACCCAGAGGGGCAGCATGCAAGAATACCCCCCAAACTCAAGGTTATACGCCCACCAAAGCCAGTACGACTGGCCGGCAAGCCAAAGAAGAAGACAAAACCCTCCGTAGCTTTGGAGGCGGAGAGAGGTGAAGGGAAGGATGAGGGGGAGTAGGAAGAGGAACCAGACAAAGTACTGTGAGGTGATCACCTGGGAAAGGGGGGGGGGGGGGGGGAAGGGGAAGGGGGAAAAGGGAAGGGGAAAGGCGGAAGGAGATGGGGTAAGCGAATGAGGGAAGGAAGGAGAGGTGAGGGCCCAGTGAAGGATCAAAGAAGAGAATTCCGAAGTGGAAGGAGAAGATTTGGATGCAGGATAAGAAGAAACAACACTGGATAATGACTGCGCAACTCCTACCTAGAATGGAACACGGGGGAGGGGAGAAGGGTGAGCCAAATGAGAAGAAAGCGAATTTCAATACGACAAAGGATTGTCACAGCAACAAAATGGTGACTGTAAAGAGATGTTACCTTACTGAAAGCGACATATGAAAACGTCTGTGCAAAGAGACAGAAGGGGAGGTCGTGGAAGCACTTGAGGGAGAAAGGTGAGCTGCAGCACTCTGAATCTACCTTATTCAGGCACGTAACAAACGTACCTTGTTGAACGCCACGAAGGCAAATGTCTCTGCAAAGAGGCCGAAAGGGACGGTCCTGGTAGAACTTGATGGAGAAGGTGAGCTGCAGAAAAATACTTTACCTTATTGAGGCGCCTCGCATGCGTACCTTATTGAAGGCCACGAAGGCTAAAGTCTGTGCGAAGAGGCAGAAGGGGAGGTCGTGGAAGAACTTGATTTGATGGAGAAGGTGAGCTGCAGCAGCCTAGTGTGCCTTATTTGGCACGTAACATACGTACCTTGTTGAAGGCCACAAAAGCGAACGTCTGTGCAAAGAGGCAGAAGGGAAGGTCCTGGTAGAACTTGATGGAGAAGGTGAACTGCAGCAGTCCATTGTTAAGGCCACACAGAACATATCTTACAGACGTACCTTATTGAACGCCACAAAAGCGAATGTCTGTGCAAAGAGGCAGAAGGGAAGGTCCTGGTAGAATTTGATGGAGAAGGTGAGCTGGAGCAGCAGCTGTGGCAGGAAGGAGAGAATCCGGTTTGCGATAGATGGCGCTCCCTGATTGGTCATCTGACATGAAGCGGAGAGCAGAGAGGAACGAGGGGAGAGGAAAGAGATGAGAGTAAAATATCATAATAACAGGACCATTCAGCTTCGAGCGATTACACCACAGCACCAATCACATGGCATACCTATTCGATACATCGCATGAGATTCAGCATGCGATATTGCCGTGAAAAAATAGAATGGCACGAAATTTAGAACCTAAAGTATTGAACTTGGTTTTTTCACAAGATTCTTACCAGGTATATCGCGTAGAAGTGAGTTGAGAAGTTGTGGCGATGGTCCGACCGGGACGCATGGTACAGCAGCGACTCGTTAAGAAACTGATCCCCGTACAGTCTCCAGCACAGCGCTGTAACGAGGATGAAAGTGCCACCCGAGACCACGCCAAACTCTACTGGCAATTGAAGACCCTTGACAAGACGAGACAGTGAGCTGTTTGTAGCAGCAGTGGCAGCTACTTTTTGTCCTGACTTGGAGCTGGCTGTAGCAGCAGCTGTAGCAGGAATGGAGGAATTAGGTGATGAGCTGGCGATTTTGGTACTAATGTTATTTGTAGCAGGGCTGCTGTCACTGGGATCGTCATGTTGTGAGCTGCTTCGAAGCGGATAGGTGTGGAACAGGTACAGGACGAAAGGCAGCGCGTAAATTATCGGGTAAACTCGGAAATGCACCACGATACCAAACCAAAAAGCAGCAGATTTGATATGTCCTGCCCGGGGAAGGGGGAGGGGAGTGGGGAGGTAGGAAGTGAAGGGAAACAGGAGAGGAGCGGAAAGGAGAGGAGAGGAGAGGAGAGGGAAAGGAAACGATAAACTATGTGAGATAATGATTCTCCCTATTCGAGATCCACACACCTTCACAATTCTCAAAAGAGAGAACAAGAACAACATACCCTGCAGCAGTCCCAGCAGCACTTGGAGTATTAGAGCAGCAGCCAGGGCATCACAGTAACACAGTTGTCCCTTCTCCTCCGGATTCTAACGTGAGTCGTCTCGTCTGTATGAAATCCTTCTCCCTTCTTTAACAAAACACTAATACAGACATACCCTGCAGCAGCCCCAGCAGCACTTGGAGAATGAGAGCAGCAGCCAGGGCGTCACAGTTGCCTCTTGTAGCGATGGTGACTGTGAAGGGGTTGAAGAGCCACGTGGCAGCACACAGGACTGCCACGCGGTCTGAAATGCCACGTAGGAGCAGAAGTGATCGAATCTGATGGCCCACCAATAGATCTGGCAAAGAAAGGAAAACCAAGGAAGGGAACGCATGACTGAATGACCGACTGAATTCGTGAGAAAATGCTTCACTAAATGTTTGACTAGCTCCCTAACTGAATACCGAAGTGAGAGAATGTTTGACTGAATGCTGGACTGATTACCCTTAAGGAATACCTGTCTGAGTGCCTAACTGAATGTTGAACTGATTGCCTGACTGAAAGCGTGACTGGGTCTGACGTTTTTTTAATATAAATCTGACTGAATGCCTGACTGCACTTCCTCACGGAAGGCCTTATTGTGTGTCTTTCGAATGCCTGACACAGATTCCTAAAGAATTCGTTTTAGAATTCTAAAAAACCGAATGCCTTACAGATGCATCACAGATGCACACACAAAGGGCACAATACCCACCAGCTGCATCAGCTGCACCCGCTGCGGAGGGAAGAGAAGCCTTACCTAAAACCTGTGTTCCCATATCAACTCACCCGCTGCAGAAAACAGCAGCTTTCCCCAGAGGCGGTGAAGCAGCACGTTCGGCACGAGGATCCATGCAAGAAGCGGCGAATAACGGTACGTGTAACGCTCGTACGGCGAACGACCTAGGGTTACCAGCCGAGAGGCGTCCGTGAATACCAAATAGTCTACATCCGTGTATTTAACCTCCAAATACGCGTCCTCCCACTCGCCGAAGAGTATCATGAGTAGTCGCGCGACAGCGGAGAAGATTAAGAGGCTCCGCCATGACAGGTCCATCGCGGGAACGCGAACCGGCGAAACTGGAAGACGTTCACACTCGGGTAACCCGATCACGAATTACATTTTTTACCAGACATATTCCAGCGAGAAACAGAGCTGGGAGTTGAACGGATTTCCGAATAAATTCGAGGCAAAAAAGCGGGAAAAACAAGTGGGAGAATTGATTTCCACGGTTTAGAGCGATCTAGTTGACGCCTAAGACGGTTGAGTGGGTTAAATATCGAACCCAGAAACTATCGTAACACAAAGTTCGGCAAGCAGTTTTTTGAACGGCTAGCTAAGGATAAATTTCGTTTATTTCTTCAACCGTTACAGTGCAAACTGCATTTCTAATTCAAACAAGCAGCACCAACAAGCAGCATTGCCAACCATACCCTATGGCCCGGCTAGTCGATTTCAACTCCCATCCCGTCAACCTCTCTACTCCTTGGCAGCAGGTGCGGTAGCCGGCTTGGCCTGCGACGCCCGGGAAGCCCTCTTCTTGGCCAGGGACTCCGACCGCCTCTCCCTCTGGTCCTTGATGCACAGCGCCAGCAGCTTCTGCTAGTCCAAGGGCGCACTTAAAGCGACGGGCAACTTTTGGCAGTGTTGGGTTCAGAAGTTTTTTTTTTGAACCAGGCTTGCCAGCGCGAAAGTGCTGGCTGGCGAAAACCAGGATTTCGTGCGGACACTTTCCATCCGCAGTAACAGTTCGCCAGGGTTCTGGGTTTTGGGTGGCAAATGTGCACCGTCGCTTTAACGCAAAACGTTTTCTGAAGTGGTTTACTGGTTGACTCGCTAAGAATCAATTTCGTATACTTCAGCCGTTACATTGCAAACTGCATTTCTAATTCACAGAGGCAGCACCAACAAGCAACATCACCAGCACCCAAACCCTACGGCCAGGGTTATAATTTTCCACTCCCATCCCGTCAATCTCTACTCCTTAGCGGCAGGGGCGGTAGCCGGCTTGGCCTGCGACGCCCGGGACTGCCTCTTCTTTGCCAGGGACTCCGACCGCCTCTCCCTCTGCTCCTTGATGCGCAGCGCCAGCAGCTTCTGGTAGTCGGCGGCGGCGGACTTGGCCTTGGCCACGCGCTGCTTCTTCTCTGAGAGGCGCGCGCGCTTGCGCTGCAGCTTCAGGGGGGTCACCAGCCGCTGAATGTTGGGGCCCTTGCTCTTCTTCTTGCCTGGGAGGGGGGAAAAGGCAGGGAGAAGAGAAACGTGGGGGAAGAAGAATAACCAGGGGTAGGTGGACATGGTGGTTAACAGAGCTTGCGCTGCAGCTTCAGGGGGGTCACCAGGCGCTGAATGTTGGGGCCCTTGCTCTTCTTCTTGCCAGGAAGGGGGGGGAGAGAGGTGAGTGGGTGTGTGAAATTGGGGGATGACAGCGGAACGAAGCGGGTGAGCGGCGCCACCAGGGGCTGGATGTTTAGCCCCTTGCTATCTTTCTTGCTTTTTTTCTCACCCTCTCCTCCTCTCCCACTCTACTCATCCCTGTCACAATCACACAGATCCCCGTTATAATCATACTTGGCAATGGTGCGGTGGTAGGTGTTGGCATACTTGGTCACATCTTCCTCCTTGCTCAGCCCAAACCAAACACCCAAAGTATACAATCATCCCCGTTACAGTCACAATTCCCTATACTCACCCTTGGCGGTGGTGAACTTGTGGCGGTACATGTTGACATACTTGGTCACATCGTCCTCCTAGCTCAGGGGGAACAGACACACAAAACACACCCATCCCCGCTATAACCACAACTCGATATACGCACCCTTGGCGGTGGTGTACTTGCGGCGGTACGTGTTGACATACTTGGTCACATCGTCCTCCTTGCTCAGAGCGAACAGCTTTCGGATCTTGGACGCCCTCTTGGGCCCGCGCATACGCGGCTTCTCAGTGTCAGTAAGGCCGGGGAGGTGGTTGTCGCCTGATGCACAGGGCCGGGAAGGGAGGGATGGGGGGAAGGAAAAGGAGAGGAATGTCAGCTTCCGGATCTTGGACGCCCTCTTGGGTCCGCGCATGCGCGGCTTCTCAGTGTCCGTCAGACCAGGCAGGTGGTTGTCGCCTGATTGGGATAGAATGGAAGCGGGGAAAGGCAGGCGAAAGGAAAGGGAGGGAGGGGAGTGTGAAGGGCAGAGCGAGCAGCTTTCGGATCTTGGAGGCCCGCTTGGGTCCGCGCATACGCGGCTTCTCCGTGTCCGTCAGACCAGGCAGGTGGTTGTCGCCTGATTGGGGTGGGAGGGGGAAGGGAGGGGGAAGGATGGTGTGTGTGTGGGGGGGGGAGGGGGAAAGGAGGGGGGGGTGGAGAGGGAGAAGGTTACGCTTTTTAAAGGGCGTGACCTAACTCACCCAGCTTCATAACCACCAGTATATGTGGCACCGACAGGTCCTAACTTACTTCACATGTTAAAAGAACCACAAAAGGGCATACGAACAACTTACCCTGCTTGACGAAGACCAGGTTCAGCACGGACAGGTCCTGGCTGACTTCACATGTGTACAAAAAAAAAATCCCCGAGTAAAAAGGGCGTACAAACAACTTACCCTGCTTGACGATGACCAGGTTCAGCACGGACAGGTCCTGGCTGACTTCACATGTGTACACAACAGAAATCCCCGAAAAAAAAAGGGTGTACGCGCAACTTACCCTGCTTGACGATGACCAGGTTCAGCACGGAGAGGTCCTGGCTGACGATGCACCCGCGCACCGACTTTCTGCGCCGCTCCCCGTTGCGCCGGCCGTGGCCGCGGAAGCAGGGCACGCCTGATCGGGGAGAGGGGGGGAAGGCAGCGAAGGGCGGGTGAGGGCGTTGGGGATGGGGAGGGGAGGGGGAGGAAGAGGGGGGAGAGGGGAGGAGGGAAGAGGGGAAGGAGAGGGATGATTTGAGTCGACGAATTGCACAAAAAGAAACTTTGAATGAGGTTGTTGGGGGGGGGGAGGGGGGGGGAGATAGGGGGACGAGGGGGTAAGGTATAGCGAAGAATGTGGCTTAAACGAGGGGGTGCGTGTAGCGCAACGGCTGTGGCTCAATCCTGTGCTGGAATCAGAACTTACCCCTCTGCATGAGGATTTGAACGCGGCCGGGTGTGAGAACACCTTGCTTCATGGGGAAACGACTACATGTTACGAGCAAAAACTGGAACCACCCTTGGATGTGGGCTGGAATCAGATCTTACCCCTGTGCATGAGGATTTGAACGCGGCCGGGTGTGAGAACACCTTGCTTCATGGGGAAACCCTCCTTGTCGCACCCTCCCTTGATCTTGAACACGTACCCCTTGAACTCCTGATGGTGAGGAGAGGGGGAAGAGGGAGAGGAAAGAGGGAATGAGCAAGGACGCACGATGTGTTTGGCCGACTTAAAAACATGGCCGACTTAAAAACTTGATAAAAAAAACGTATCCCTTGAACCCCTGTTATAGTCGTGGTTTGTGGTGGTGAGGAGCAGGGGACGTGTGGGAGGGAAGGGGGGGACAGGTGGGGGAGTGAAATGAGGGAGTAAATTTTAATTGAGAAAATAACTATGAAATGAGGAGGTGAAGGTTATTTGAAACAAAAACTACGAAATGAGGGAGTGAATGAGAATAACAAGGTTAACGATATGAGGCCCTGGGGCTGGAACCGCTTACATCGCCGAGGGAGTCGCCGCTGACCTCCTGTGCGGAGGTAAACAACGAAAATAACTACGAAATTACAGGGTTACCGATCAGACACCCGGAGGCTGGGACCACTTACATCGCCGAGGGTGTCGCCGCTGACCTCCTGAGAGATTCTCTTGTCGAAGAACGCACGCCTGCACGCCACGTGGATCGATAGGTAGACACACGTGGGGAAACAGGGTTAATCGAGGGAGGCTAGGAAGAAACCTTATCAGATTCTGTCAATAACGGAAATAAAAGCTTCGAATGGGCAACAATAGAAGGGAGGGCAGATACACGGAGAGCTCCAGCAGTGTATTGCCAGCAGTGTATTTCCTAGACGACTCAAAAGTCAACCGTACTTGACCGGCGGGAATCCTCACGCCTCCATCGTGCAGTTAGGTGTGATTCGCAATAAGGTTAACAGAGCATACTCGGTGCGACAAGCTTCACTTCCAGAAACTTTCCTGTCACCACGATTTTGGAGAATCCTCAGCAACCACCAGCACTACTCATATGAACGGATTCAAGCGTTGTCAAAGCCTAAACGAGGAATCTCGTCGCTGAAGCCTCTGTTACACTGATCGCATCGCCATTACCTCCACCATTACTCCCGGCTTCGTCAACGAAAGGCGCTTCGCAGATTCCGCTCCTACACTGCTCTCGTTATCCTTCCCATAGAGTCGTCGCGTTAATACGACTTATGGGCCGCCTAAAAAGTCGTTTGAGCCTCAATAATACCTCAATAAGTTTTTCTCCGAGCCCGCTCCTACACTGCTCTGGCTATCCCCCCCAGAGAGTCGTCGCAATACTTCCGTTGACGGATACGATATCTCCAAAACTGTATCTCCGTTGTCTGAATCCGGCCTACGGTCAGGCGTGCGCGTTTTAGGTTAGGCTAAACCTAACGACCAAGGGACCAATCGAAGAAGCGGAAGGTCGCATCTAGCTGCTGAACCCGCGCCGCTGCTGACCAGGAAGCAAGCTACCATCGGTGATGAACGCTTTCTACCTTTACACCTTAAGATCAGGATCCGAGCCGCCTGTAAAATGTTATTTTGATGAAAAAAACGTTGAGGGGACTTACAGCTTGAGATCGTCATCGATTTCGACCTTCTTCTGGCACCCCGTGGTGGGGTTGGCAATGTTGAGCTGCAGATCAAATCAAATCACAGAACGGATACGAAACATCGTCAGTGAAGCTCACATGCAAGAAAAAGGAATTCTACGCTGTAGGATTGGCGTCATTGCGTGGAGAAACTGAGAAACGACGGCTGAGTGCAAAATCGGGGAGCCGAGAACGCGTTCTGATACTAATTGAGACACGGGAAGACGAGAAATGGGAGGAAGGACGCGGGGAAGGGTCGGACGCGAGGAAGGGTCGGACGCGGAAGACGAGGTGAACGGGCCGGAACTAATTGATAGGAGAGGTTTTTGGGATTCTCGAAAAGCTAATCCGTACGATTCAACAATCCCGATGGCAACGGGCTAAGGAGCTAGTACACAGAGTGTCATTACGATCCTACGAATCCGCCGTGTTTCGCGCAGGAGTTAGCAACCCTAAACGCTGCTCACCTTCATGGTTGCGGAGCTCAGGCGCGAGGGAGGCGAGCGAGAAAAGGGGAAGGGAAAGGAAGGAGCAGAATAAAGTAGGTTTAACTTTTAGGGTTTGAGGGGCGGGAGGGAGCAAGGGAATGAGCGGGTGGAAAGGGGGGGACGGGGAAGAGAGGTGGAGAAAGGAGGGAACGGCGGAGAATGTATAGGCGGAGTGGCGGGGGAAGGCGGGGAGGCACGAAAATGCGGTCATTTGGCGGGTGACGACTCAGTGAAAAGAGGGGAAGGGGGAAAGGAGAATGTGGAGTATATACAAGATTCATATGAGATATATTCATGTACATTATGGAGATTCTGGCCTGGGCTGGAATTTGTTCACGACAGAGGAAACGCAATGCCTCGAAATCGAACCTCCGCGGTGTAAGGCGCGGGAACCTCACGAAATGGGTACACTTTCGCCACACGGTCGCACCCGCCATGTTGTGCGAAACAACAAAGCATATCATCGCCGTCCACTTCACAGAATGCAACAGTTTTCGTGCCAACCTGTCAGCAACACCACATTGTCGCCCGCGGCGCATAGAATTTGATTTGAGAACCACAACCCGGCGAGTCGCGCCGAATTTCGACTTTGCCAATGGCGCGACGCGCTGCGTTGCAGGAGCATTTCAATTTCGACATGCCAATCTCGCCATTGCTCCCATTGCCAACAAACCGTTCTATTATGGTATCTTATCGTTCTGAAACGCAGCTACTCAATAATTCTTCATAGCAGACACTTCATTTCTGGCTGCCAACGGTGCCTGCTTGCTCTTCCTCACATATATCTTCCTCCCAACTCGATGCCCCACTTTGTTGCTTGATCCGAGAGTGTCGGGTGTTGGAAGAAGAAGTGGAGACAACGAAGAACCCTGTTCTTCTCTAATCTATTACAGGGTGCTCACCACTTAGCCCTGTGTGCTCACCACAGGGTACGTCATATTCAGAAGTGATCAAGGACTCCCGTATATAGAAACCGACTTCAGACGTCCTTAGATGGTCGGCTGCTGACTCAGTGAATTTGCTGCAGTTTTAACGGTTCCTTCACGAGACCATTACCGCGCCATGGATTGTTTTCCTCCGGTATTCTCAGTGTTTCGTACTCGACATAGCCCTCAGCATAGTTCGCAGTGTAGCTCTCAATATCGTCGCGCTCATTATAGATTTCAGTATTCAACGGCCAGATTATCAGCTCGTTTCATGTACAGTCAAGCCATGTATAGCACTACGAACGTGTTTCCGTTTCTGCTACTCGCCCTTCTCCTAGCCGCACTCCTCCCTTCCGCGTTTTCCGGCTCGTGTCCCGCTTTCGTCAAGGAAAAGGCAGCATGCGGCGCCGCGACTTGCGGCCGTTACGTATTCAAGGGCACGTTCGCAAACAGTCGCAGCGATGTCGCACACTATCGCGTGCGAGCCGCGCGCGACGGTTTGCGACTCGGGCGACGTGCTGCGCCTGCAGACTGCTGCCACATGTGTCGCCAGCAGCCGCAGTGCAGCTACTGGAACTTCCTCGCAAGTTCCGGCACTTGTTACCTGTACACCAGCGGGGTTTGCGCCGCAAATAACGGAATACGCAACGTCTACTCTCCCAGAGAACCCGATTCATAGTAAGCAGCAACCCTGTACGTCTTCGCGATTAAGTCTCGACCAGTCGTTAGCTGTCAACATTCTCCTTTCCTTCCTGAGAACGCGGCTGTTACCACCTTTATAACGACGCGCCTGTCACTACCTACTTACGAACACTCCTGTCACTCCCTCCTGAGTTTCCTCCTCCTTGTCCTCTATTTCTTAATCGTGATTCGATTTGCTCCTTGGCAGTGTGGGCGGTCGATGCAGCTGGCATGGGCAGCAGGAGTACAGATACCAAGGTGAGGCAACTAATAACGGGTATATGGTACAGGTTTCTGAGGCTGCTTCCCGCCTTCTTGAACTTTCCAAACCTTCCCCTCCCCCACGCCCCTCCCCCTCCCCTTCCTACCTCATACACTCCTTCCGGCCCGACTTCTCGAGCGGAAACCGCTCTCCTTGCGCGCGCCCCTACCAACAGCTCCGCCCAATTCCCTTCCGCCTCGTTTCCGACTCCTGCCTGCACACTTACCCCCACCGTTTTCACTCTTGCCCATAAACTTCCCCTCGCCCCTCTGCCGCTTTTACAGCAGAGGCCGCTCCCCCCGCGCGCCCCTACCAGCAGCTGCGCCCGATGTCCTTCTGCCTCGTCTCGGACGCGCGGCTGCACATTCCCCCCCATCACTTCCAGGCCTCCGCTGACACTCCCCCTTCCCCATCCTTTCCCTTCCTCTCCCCTTCACCTCCCCCTACAGCGGTGGCCGTTCCCCCCGCGCGCCCCTATCAGCAGCTGCGCCCGACGTCTTTCTGCCTCGTATCCGACGCGCGCCTGCACATCAACATGCGCCTCACGGGGTACCTCGATAACAACCGCTCCGATATAATGGCCGCGCTCGTGGCCGGCGCTAAAGTGCGCACGTGGATCAGGTGAGCTTAGGAGGGTGGGGGAGGGTTGTGACAACCTCCATAAAGAAGCACTCATAATCAGAGTCGAAACCTCCTCTCAGAATCTAGCTTCAGTTATTTGAACAGATATTGGTGTAACCCTCTGTTAACGATAGTACCCTCATTTCTATCCCATACCTTCGTTCCCTCCAATCAGGGAGCTTGGATTCATATGGTGGGCCACTCAGGCAGGCGGAAGCGGAGCGCAACATTCCCTTAGGCTGGTCGCGAGGCGCGGACCGAAGCAGGAGCGCGGCGACGGGTTCATGGGGCGAATCGAGGTGGATGGAATCGCGGTTCCGCGTCTGGGGGTGAGTGTACGCGCGTACGCGGGATACAATCGTGGCTACGCGGGTTGCACTGGATGAGTGTATCGTTCTGGATTCGCATTTTGTGTTTGTTAGGTGTTTGTAACACCACGTTTTGTAACCCTAAACAACCATGCAACGGTTCATACATACAGAAATTCTGTTTAGTGCCATTCTTCGGCCCACGGCCCAAATTGCGGATCGCGCGGGGCAACATTACTAATCTTGCTCGACTTTGCTTTCAGCTTCGTGTGATTGAAACCGGGTTGAAATTTCACCTTCCCTCTTTCTTCCAACGCCCCTGCTCCTGTCTGCCCTGTGCAGTTGGGTGACGAGTTGAGCCTATTCGAAGGAGAAGGAACCGTGACCTACGCACGGCAGGAGAGGCAACTACGCCGTCAATGTTAATTTTGTCAAGCTATCAGGCTCAAATTCCCCTTCTCTCTTTCTTCCAACCCCCTCTCCCGCTCCGCCCTGTGCAGTTGGGTGACGAGTTGAGCCTATTCGAAGGAGAAGGCACCGTGACCTACACACGGCAGGAGAGGAGTGGCAACTTCGACGTGGATGTGTACTCTGTGAAGCTCGCAGGGCTGCTGGAGGTGGGTGCACTGTGTGTGTGATATGCTCATATTACTATTGATACAAGAAGGAAGCGCAGGAGAGGAGCAACAATACAACGTGGATGTGTACTCCGTGAAGCTCGCAGGGCTGCTGGAGGTGGGTGCTACACTGCGTGATACACTCAGAGTATTACTGATAGACTGTGGTATACATTCACAGTAGTCTCGACACTCTCTGGGACAAAAAAACAGGATAGTAGCAGTAACATCAACGTGGATGTGTATTTCGTCAAGCTCGCAGGACTGCTGGAGGTGGGTGCACTGTGTGATACACCCATAATACTAGGAGAAGCAATCATGATACACTGGCTATTGATTTTCCTCTGGAGAAGGAATCATGGGAGAGGGGCGGCAAGTGTGACGTGGATGTGTACTCTGTCCAGCTGGCAGGGCTGCTGGAGGTGCGTGCATTGTGTAAGTATCACCAAGCTGTGCGTACACCAGGTAATGAGGAGTCTCCATATTCCGCCAAGCTGGCTGGGCTGCAGGAGGTGCGTGCATCGTGAGAGGCATTGAATTGAAACACTGTAAGGGCCATGGAAGCGCGCTCTGTTCCTTCCCCCTGTGTTTGCATCTTCCATTGGGGACCGCTTCAGGAGTTTCCTATCCTTGAGCTTAGAAGAACTTGCTTTGATCTCTCTCTTGTGCTCCCATCTTCCAGGGAGCTCACTGTGCGCCTTCCCCCGTGTTTATTCCCATATTCCAGCCAAAGGTACGGCTGCGGCCAGCCCACCCACTGCTTCAAGAGGAGGAGGACGCTGAGGTGCACCTGATGCTGGACCTGGGGAGTATCCAGCACTCGCTTAGGACTCCCTCTGTTCCCTCCCCTGTGCAGAGGTGCGGCTCCGCCCAGCCCACCCACTGCTTCAAGAGGAGGAGGACGCGGAGGTGCACCTGACGCTGACCTTGGGAGTATCCGGCACTAATGTAACTCCCCCTTCTCACCCCCAATCCTTTCTCTTTCTTCCCCTCTTGTCCCAATCTTTCAGGCAGAGGTTCGATTACGCCCAGCCCACCCACTGCTTCAAGAGGAGGAGGACGCGGAGGTGCACCTGATGCTGACCTTGGGAGTATCCGACTGGGAAGCCTCGGGGGTAACCATGGGCTCAGAAACTTGCTTTGTTCTCTTCCTTTCCCTCCCATATTCCAGCCGGAGGTGCGGCTGCGGCCAGCCCACCCTTTACTTCAAGAGGAGGAGGACGCTGAGGTGGACCTGATGCTGGACCTTGGGAGTATCCAGCACTCGTGTAACTCCTTCCTCTCGCCCTGAAACACTACTCTTATTTCCCCTCTTGTCCCAATCTTTCAGGCAGAGGTTCGATTACGCCCAGCCCACCCATTGCTGCAAGAGGAGGAGGACGAGGAGGTGCACCTGATGCTGGACCTTGGGAGTATCCCTGAGCGCTGAACCTTCATAGAAACTGCCTGTCCCTCTCATGTGCTCCCATTGTTCAGGCAGAGGTCCGGCTCCGGCCAGCCCACCCTTCACTGCAAGAGGAGGAGGACGCTGAGGTGCACCTGATGCTGGACCTTGGGAGTATCCAGCACTCACTTAGGACTCCCTCCTTTCTCTCCCCTGTGCTCCCATTGTGCAGGCAGAGGTCCGGCTTCGCCCAGCCCACCCATTGCTTCAAGAAGAGGAGGACGCAGAGGTGCATCTGATGCTGGACCTTGGGAGTATCCGGCACTCGCCCAGAGTGCATGGCGTGGTGGGGCAGGCGTACCGAGATGAAGGGTGAGTGGGGGACAAAGCAGGAAATGGGTGAGGATGAGAAGAAGAAGGAGGATGAGGGGTGGGGCCGGTGAGGTGGACCGACCTTGGGAGTATCCGGCACTTCCCCAGAGTGCACGGCGTGGTGGGGCAGGCGTACCGAGATGAAGGGTGAGTGTGGGGCCAGGGGGTCGGGTTGAAGGTCCAAGGAGGGGAGGATGCGAGGGGGGAGGGGCAGGTGAGATGAACCAACCTTGGGAGTATCCGGCACTCACCCAGAGCGCACGGCATGGTGGGGTAGGCGTACAGAGATGAAGGGTAAGTATGGGTTCAAGGGGAAAGAAGCGGGAGGGTGGGAGGGATCGGAGAGCAGTGAGGGGTGAACCAACCTTGGGAGTATCCGGCACTCTGCGAACGTACATGGTGTGGTGGGGCAGGCGTACAGAGATGAAGGTTGAGTGTGGGGCTAAAGGGTAGGGGAGGAGGTGAATTAAACTAACCTTGTGGGTATCCGGCACTCGCCCAGAGTGCATGGCGTGGTGGGGCAGGCGTACCGAGATGAAGGGTGAGTGGGAAGGTGGTGAGGGTGGGAAGAGGACGGGAGGATGACGGTGAAGAGAGGAGTGTGGGGGAGGGTAGGTGAGGTGAACCAACCTTGGGAGTAACCAGCACTCTCCCAGAGTGCACGGCATGGTGGGAGAGACATGCAAAAGGAACCACCATGTACTCCATATCTGGTGGATTGGCATGCTCCACCAGGAGCGTGCCATGGCTTAAACAAATTCACTGAGTGCAGGTCTTACCCCTCTGCTATCGTCAGGATTTCTCTAAAGCATGTTTCCCGGCATATATCCCTGGTTTGGGAAGTTTCCTATTTCTTCTCGCTCTAGTGTTAACAAGCTTGTAAACTTTGTTCCTTCCCGCCACTGTTCTCCACCCTTGCAGATCAAATCATGACCTCAACTATGCCATCCTGGCGAATCTCATGACTCGTGCCCAATCGGTTGTTGATGACGTGTCGCAAGATGATTGGTCGTCAGACTTGAATGCTCCAAGAAGTGGGCTGGAGAGCGAAGAATTCGAGAGCGACAGTTTTAGACAGACTGGTGAAAAGAATAACGATGTGGAGAGTGGTGGTATTGGCAGGATAGATGCATATGCTGGCGGTTCAGGAGAGTTCCTATTAGAAGGTCGGGAAGAGGACTACATTTCGTCGTCCGTTGTATCCCCCGACTGTCATGTATCACAGTATAGACCTCCAGATGGGACTACCATTGTGTATGGATGAAGATAATAGATGTAATATGATCCCATTTTTCAACACTGGAAATCTGATGTCTGAATTACTTGTGGTGTAGTTCTCAACATACAAGGCGTATAATGGTGAGCGAAGGGCCCACAACAGATCCGCCTTGTTCGCGGTGTGATCACCACGTCACTGCTCACATTGCTGACATAAGCAGTGTGAAGGATTTGGCCCATGGAGCTTCCAATCTCTGATCTGCTCGGCTTCGCGAAGGACATTCGGGATTACGACGCTTTCGTGCGTTGTCGCGCACAGCGCTGCGAAATGTTTCCATGCCCCACTCAATCCGTTCCACGCCATTGACGCCTCTCGCCACCGCAGCAATGTTGCCATGGTGGCGCCCGTCCCAAAAGACCCAACCAGCTTTGGTTTTGGGCGGCTCCGACCAAAGCTAGACCAAGCAACCCGAGCCTCGGCAGGTTAACCAATCGGCTGAGTGCTCCAAACCCAACTGGATCAAGAACTCACCCGGAGCGAAGCCGCCATCTCGATTAGTGGACCTGACCCGGACGTCACTGTCAGGTTCGAGGTGTTTGCTTTGGTTCTCCTGCGTGGCCTTCTTCCTAGCCATCTCAACGGTATGTCTAATGAATGATCATGCTTCAATAAGGTGCTTTACGTTCTGGAGGGATTAATGATTGATTGAAAACGGTTGAGATGGGTGCGAAAATAAACATTTTGGGCACACCACCCTAGCACCCCCTCCTATCTTCCCGGAGTTAGCTCCCTTTTATGTTCACAGGCAGTTTCCACTTCCACCTCCAGCCTCGACACATCCTCTGTCGAACGATTCTCGTGAGCTCCCTTGTTTTTTCCCAATCAAGCGAACAGCGCACTCCCTGCCCGTGCGATCTCGCGTGGCAAAACCCTCCGCACTCGAGTTGCGGCGGAGGAGATCCAAGCTTTGGTACTAAATTAGCATTAGTAGCTAGCTGCTGTCACGGTGCGCAGTTTCAAGTCAGTAATTTGCATTCCATATTTGGTCTTACGTCCCGCATCAGCTGTCCCAGCCGTCGAGCATCAGCCGGTTCTGAAGGTTGTAGCTGCGAGGAGGCGTATCCGCTGCAAAGATTCATTCGCGACGATCCGTTCGCAGAGATCCGCCCGCCGGTCGCGGCGGTCTTCGTTCCATTCGCGACACCCCCCTGCTGTGTCGACTTGTGTTGGCGCTGCGACTCGACGGCCACCAAGAGACTTTGTGTCGAAAAAAGGGCCAGTTTTCAGGTCTCTTTCTTTCGTCTGCCGAAGATCTCAGTTTTTTTGCGATAAGTCTAAACGCCAGGTTGAGCGAGCATATCAGTCTCTTTGACGAAGATTTTAAGCTCTGTCGCGAAGATTGCAAGTTCATTCGCGAAGATCGCAAGTCTCTTTCGGCGGCGCCTAAAGCACCCGTGGAGTCCGTGCGAGGATGGCGGCGTCCGCCGCTTTCTCCGCTTCCGCCGCTTCGTCTTTCTGCCCATGCGCGCATGCGCACGTGGACGGCGCATCCCGCTTCTCCTCCCTCTCAACCTTCAAGGCCTTGCAAGAGCATTCTCTGGGTAATCTTCGCAAATTCCCCAGCGCCCTGAGTGTAAACGCCCTCGAAGTGGGATCCAAGGCGCTTCCGAAGGGTTCTCACAAGCGATTGGCCCATCTTCGTCTCTCCGCCGTGCGCGCCACGTCAGCATCTTCCATCCCCCCTGGCGGCTCGTTTCGGCCAGCCAATCACAGTGATGCAAGCAGATCCGTGTCGCCGCACCACCACCCGTCTAAGCTGACGTCAGCACCAGCCTGGCTGCCAAGTCAGCAGCGGGACGAATTTCCGTCAAGAAATAATAGTCTTGCCGCTAAAGACGCGATTTCCACGTCAGGACCGGTCAGCAGCCCCGAAGATTTCGACCTGACCGCCCGTGGCGAGGAGAACAGCAACAGCGGCGGCGCGACGGGCAGTGGCGGAGATTTTATTTCGCTGCCCAAAGGAACGGCGTCGCGGACCAGAGCGGGAGTTCTTGCTGCCAGGGTTTTTCACATGCAGCTGGGCAAACCGGTGGTTCGGAATTCGCCCCCCTTAAACCCTGCGTTTCCGGAAGGGGAGGGTAGATGGGCGGATGGGGGCGATGAGGGCTTGGGGATTGAGAACAGCAGCAGCGGCGGTGGCAGCAGCAGCAGCAGCAGCAGCACTGTTTACACAAGGAGGGGCGTTAGCAGCAGGGGCATCAGCAGCAGCAGGCGCAGCAGAAACTTTTCTGCAACCACCAGCACAGACAGAGACCGTATACCCCCCCCTCGCCCCACTCGTTCCCGCCATCCTTGGGTTTCTGCGCCCCCCTCTGCGCGCCCGCCTGTGTCCGCGGGGCAAAAGGCGGAGGCGTTGCGCATTTTGAGGGACATGCTGGCGGAAGCAGGGCGCAGGGAGGAAGAAGAGGCGCGCAGGAATACGGGCTTCGGGTTTAGGGGGGGTGAGGGTTTCAGCGGGGCAGTGGGGTTTAAGGGTGGTGTGGGGGAGCGGGATGGGGAGGGGGGAGGGGAGAGGGGGAAGGACGGGGAGGGGATTAGGGAAAGGGGGAGCTCTGTGGGTGTGCGGGGGGGCAGGAGTGTTATGGATGAGTTGATTGACTCTTTTGGGGGTGATAGTAACGAGGGGAGTTCAGAGGAGGTAGCTCAGGGTGCGGCAGGTTTGGGGGGAGAAGAACTAGCAGCGGCAGCAGCAGCAGGAGCAGGAGCAATAGACGCAGCAAGGGCGTCCGGAAATGCAGTGCATGCAACCATTTCGTACCAAGGAGCAGCAGTTTCAACCCCAGAAGCAGCAGCTTCAGCACCAGTGGCAGAAGTTTCAACCTCGGCAGCAGAAGTTTCAACCTCGGCAGCAGCAGTTTCAACCCCAACAGTAGCAGTACCTGCAGCAGCAATCTCAACAGCACCACCGGTTGTTGTCTCTGTCCCTCCTTGTACCTCTCCTGTCAGTATCCATCTTCCTCCTGCTCCTGCTCCTGCTCCTGCTTCCGATGCTTCAGCACAGGATATGTCAGACATGACAGCAGGAGCAGCAGCAGCAGCAGCAGCAGCAGCAGCAGCAGCAGCAAAGGAAAAGGCAGCAGAGGAGGAAGGGTCGCCTCACAAGACAGGCGAAGAGGAGGGTGAATTCCCCAGTGCCATTCCACGGATGCACGTGGGCGTGCCTCTTCCCTTAAAGCCAGAGGAAAAGGCAGAGGAAGAGGAAGGGTCACCTTACAAAACAGGTGAGGGGGAGGGTGAATCCCCCAGTGCCATTCCACGGATGCACGTGGGCGTGCCTCTTCCCGTCCGCCCAGGCTCTTCCCTGCCCTCCCTCAAGGCCAAACCCTCTTTGCTACAGAAACCAGTCGCGCCGGCTGCGCAACAACAGGGCCAGCAGTCGACCTTTGAGGCGCCGCAAAAGGTGCAACCGCAGAGCCAGCAGGCGAGCTTTGAGGCGCCGCAAAATGCGCAACGGCAGGGACAGCAGTCAACCTTTGAGGCGCCGCAAAAGGCGCAACCACAGGGCCAGCAGCAGTCGACTGGAGCGGCTCAGTCTGTGGCATCGAGAGAGTTTGAGGCAGGGTTAGGGTCGCACTATTTTACCCAACAGCCAAACATATTCAGGACAACCGTGGCTGTGGCTTTTGTGCCTCCGCGTCCTGCTCCTCCTCCTCCTGCTGTTGCAGCTGCTGCTGCTCCTGCTGCCGCTGCTCCCACTGCTCCCGCTGCTCCTGCTGCTCCTGCTGCAGCTGTTGCTGCTGCGTCTGCTGCTCCTGCGACTGCTGCTCCTCCTCCTGCTGCTCGTGCTGCTGCTGCTGCTGTTGCTGCTGCTCCACCCGCTGTTTCTGCAACCCCTCCCCCCGCTGCTCCTCCTGCTCCCCTTGCTCCTGCTGCCGCTCTCGAATTTCCTGCTTCGGTTTCCGAGCCTAGCACGGACCAAGCAACAACAACAGTTTCCGAGCCTCAGATATCGAGCCTCGACATACCCAAGCCTGTGACTGATGCTCGGCAGATAAAGACGTCCTTCATTGACCAATCTGACGACATGCCAGTGCTGCAGGCTCGGCCCAAGCCTGTCAGGCCCGGAACTGGTTCGGGCGAGGTTCGGCCATTGGCCGCTAGTGTTTTGTCCTCCAGACCTGTTCGAGTGTTTAGACCACTGGGAACACCTAGGGAGGACGCTTATATGGAACGTGCTAATAACGATGCGGCAGCTGAGGGTAGGGTAGAGAGAGGGAGTGAGGGAGGTAGGGAGAGAGGGAATGTGAGCAGGGAAGGGGGTGAGAGGGGAGAAGTGGTGATTGCTGTGGAGAGGAGGTGGAGGAGGGACGGAGGAGTGTGGGGCGTGGGGGTGGGAGCTGGGAAGGAAGGGGCGGGGGGAGAAGCAACGGAAGGAAGGGATGTAACAGAGGAGGGGAGGGAGCGGAGAGGAGATGGTGTTACAGGCACGGTAGCAGCAGGCACGGTAACAGGCACGGTAGCAGCAGGCACGGTGGCAGGAACGGTGGCAGGAACGGTAGCAGGTACGGTGACAGACACGGTGACAGGAACGGTAGCAGCAGGCACGGTAGCTGAAGGCACGCCGGCAGTAACGGGGATCAGAGGAGCGGAGCGGGCGAGAGGAGGGGAGGGGGTGAGGGTAGGGGAGGGTTCGAGAGTCAGGGAGGGGGTGAGACGGCCGGAATGGGTGGCCGAGCAAGAAGGGCTGAGGAGGAAGAGAGGAGGAGCAGAAAGAGGTGCAACAGGCAGAGGTGCCGCCGCCGCTGCTGCTGCTGCTGCTGCTGCTGCTGCTACTACTACCATTCCAAAATCAGCTTTTTCGAAATCTGCTTCATCCAAATCGGGCCGTTTCAAATCGGCTGCTTCAAAAGCAGCAGCAGCAGCTGCTGCTATGTCCAAAACGGGGATATCAGGGGCAGAGAAGCGGGAGCACAGGAGAACGAGCAAGGCAGAGAGGCGAGCAGCCAGAGAAGCAGCAGCCAACGCATCTGCCCCCACTCGAGCCGAGATAATCGAAGTGGGAAAAGCAGGAATGGCGGTTAAAGACCTAGCGGGACTTCTAGCGGTCGGCGAGGGGGATATAGTACGCGCACTGTTCATGAAGGGCGTTATAACGAACGTGAATCAGGTTCTTAACGAGGATATGGTGGCGGTGGTGTGCGGGGAGTATGGGGTGGAAGTGCTGGGGCCGCAGGAGGGCGGCGTGGAGGAAAGTGCGAGGAAGGTTCGTGAGTTTGTGGGGGAGGAAGATAAGGAGCATCTGGTGCCGCGCCCGCCTGTTGTGACTGTGATGGGACACGTGGACCATGGGAAGGTGAGACACGTGGACCATGGGAAGGTGAGACACGTGGACCATGGCAAGGTGAGACACGTGGACCATGGCAAGGTGAGACACGTGATTTTGTGTTTTCTTTAAAAGCAATCCTCACCGGAGCACTAGCACACCTGCACGTGTGAGCTCGTGTTCCTTGTTACGTTTGAAGACACATTTCATTACTCGTTGCCTGCTTTTCATCTCCCTTCCAGTGTCACTGTATCTTTCTTGACATCATACTTGTTGGTTTTTTTTCCTTTTTTCCTTTCTTTCTTTCTTTCTTTCTTTCTTTCTTTCTTTCTTTCTTTCTTTCTTTCTTATTTTTCATCTTCTCTTGCTCCGTCTTTGTGTGAATGCGTCTGTGTGTATGTGCATGTACGTGTGTGTGCGTGTCTGTGCGTGTGTGTGTGTGCGTGCGTGCGTGCGCGCGTGTGTGTGTGTGCTCTCGCGCGTGCATGTGTGTATGTGCTCCTGTGTGCATGGTACAGACGTCACTGCTCGACTACATTCGGCACACCAAGGTGAGCTGCTGCCGTGTGGGGTAACCAACAGGTGTTGGCGTAGGAGAATCAGGTGCTGCTGAGGGACCCAGACGCTGCGAGCTGTGGGTGCATAGGTGCATGCATGGTACAGACGTCACTGCTCGACTACATTAGACACACCAAGGTGAGCCGCTACCCTATCAGGTAACTCAGGGTACCCTACCCTTTCGTCACTGCTGCGCTACAGTGTCAATTCCTCATTCTGATCTTAAAGTGTCAGCAGGGTTTAGGGTTCGTATAGTGTGCCTCACAGTTTTGGGGCAACTTTTCAAGTTCCTAAGGATTTTGAACCCCTCCTTTCAAATGTATACCGGAGCTTTAAGCAACAGGTCTGTGCATCAGAATGCAGTGAGGTGAATTTTGAGGCGCCTCAAATGTATACCGGAGATTTAAGCAACAGGTCTGTGCATCAGAATGAGGTATTGAGTTAATTTCTAAGGCGCCATAAAGAAACGTACATACTTCTCAAAAGTGACACAAGAATTGTGGGGAAGCCAGCAGGTATTGGTCCTTCTGTTCCACCCCCCCCCCTCTCCCCCACTCCCCCCTTCCTTGGCTCATCCAACACACACTCATTCATGCCCTACCAACCACCCTCTCCCAGGTGGCAGCAGGGGAGGCAGGGGGAATCACTCAGGCCATCGGCGCTTACCGTGTGCACGTGGCCTCTGCTTCTCTTGCTGCTACCGATGGTGCTGCTAGTGATGATGCCACACACACCAATGCACACACACTCACTCGCGCCATGTGTACACTACCCCCCCCCCAGGTGGCAGCAGGGGAGGCAGGGGGAATCACTCAGGCCATCGGCGCTTACCGTGTGCACGTGCCCTCTGCTGCTGCTGCTGCTACCACCTTTAGTCTTGTACCCTTCAAACAAACCCACATGCATGCACACTCACTCACACGCCTCTGCCAACACCCCCTCTCAGGTGGCAGCAGGGGAGGCAGGGGGGATCACTCAGGCCATCGGCGCTTACCGCGTGCACGTGCCCTCTGCTGCTCTTGCTGCTGCTGATGGTGCTGCTGCGAATGGCGCTACTCGTGGTGCTGGTGGTGATGACGCTGCTGCTGCTGCTGAGAGGGCTGCAGCGGAGACTTGTGTTTTCCTCGACACACCGGGGCATGAGGTGAGGGTGGGGAGAGGAATGTCCTGGGCTGGGTTGGGTTGGGTTGGGATGGGATGGGATGGGATGGGATGGGATGGGATGGGATGGGATGGGATGGGATGGGATGGCATGGCATGGCATGGCATGGCATGGCAGGTGCTGATTGCATGAGATTCGGATGTGACGATGATGGCATGGCATGTCATACATGGTTTCTCTCTACGTAAAACAACTAGAACAGTAACCCATGCATGGCATGCCATGCATCATCACTTCCTTGCCACCTCCCCCCACCCATTCCAACCCCACCCCTTCCAACCCCACCCATTCCAACCCCACTCAACCCTTCTTGACTCCTCCTTCCACGCGCAGGCCTTCAGTGCTATGCGTGCCCGGGGTGCAAGGGTGACAGACATAGCAGTGGTGGTGGTGGCAGCAGACGATGGGGTCATGCCTCAAACCTCAGAGGCTATTTCACATGCCCATACCCTGCACTCTATTCCTTGATCCCCCTCCTCCTTCCCTTGCAGGCATTCAGTGCTATGAGAGTGAGGGGAGCAAGGGTGACAGATATAGCAGTGGTGGTGGTGGCAGCACACGATGGGGTCATGCCCTTCCGACTACAGAGCCCATTTCACATGCCCATACGCTTCTCACTTTTCCTTGATCCCCCTCCTCCTTCCTGTGCAGGCCTTCAGTGCTATGCGTGCCCGCGGTGCACGTGTCACGGACATAGCAGTGGTGGTGGTGGCAGCAGACGATGGGGTCATGCCGCAGACCTCAGAGGCCATTGCACATGCGCGTGCTGCCAACGTTCCCATGCTGATTGCAATTAACAAGGTGGGAATGGGAATGTAACATGGCGTGCTTGTACTAAGAACAAGCAATGTCGCATGATAGGGAGTCAAGATGATGCTTGAAGATGCCTGTCTGCTTCAGTTGGCGCTATTCTAACTGTGACCGCAACACGTACGCTAACTTCCTTTCGCTGATGAAGCGATCTAGACTCTTAGTAGGCTTGCAGCGGTTCGAATCCATCCTTTCTCAACTATTCTAACTGTGACTGCAACCGTTACGCTAACTTCCTTTCGTGACGTGTCATCCCGTTTCCCTTCCCCTCTACGTAAATTTGTTATTCACCCAGATTGACCGGGAGGGTGCGAGTGTGGAGAGGGTGAAGCAGCAGCTGGGGCAAGCAGGCGTGCTTCCGGAGGAGTGGGGAGGGGACACACCCATGGTGCCGGTGAGTGTGTTGTCTGGAGGGAGGGAGAATAGCAGCAGCATGTTCCTTGTAGGGAGGGGATCGATTCCAACAGGATAGGGTGAGGCAGCAGCTGGGGCAAGCAGGGGTGTTGCCAGAAGAATGGGGAGGGGATACACCCATGGTTCCGGTGAGTTGATGTCTTTGAGTGTGGGAGAGGGTAACGAATTTGAATGGGGAGGGGATACACCCAGGGTGCCGGTGAGTGTTTCTTAATGAGGGGGAGTGGGAAGGGGGGGAGTCAGACTCAAGAGTCTGAGTGCTCGGCAGCAGCTGGGGCAAGCAGGTGGGCTTCCAGAGGAGTGGGGAGGGGACACGCCCATGGTGCCGGTGAGTGATTGTTAAGTGGAGGAGGAGGGGAGAGGGGGCAGGGGGATGGAGTCAGACTCAAAAGCAGGCGTGCTTCCGGAGGAGTGGGGAGGGGACACACCCATGGTGCCGGTGAGTGGCATTTCGGGGAGGGAGGGAGAATAGCAGCATGTGCCTCAAAGAGGAATGAGGGGGATGGGGTCAATTCAAACAGTAGAAGGTGAAGCAGCAGCTGGGGCAAGCAGGGGTGTTGCCAGAGGAGTGGGGAGGGGATACACCCGTGGTGCCGGTGAGTGTGATACTCAGAAGGTAATAGAGGCCGTTTTTTAGCGACTCAAATGTCACCTTAATGAGGAAGTATGTCACCCCCACGATAGAAGAAGGAAGCTATGGCACCTCGTTGGAGCTAGGGGAGCCAACGAGAGGGCTTTAGATTAAGAGCACCAGCACCATTCTCCAACCCCTTCCATCGCACCCAATCCCTCCATTCTGTAATATAATCCCTCCCTTGTTCTCTTTTCCACAGGTGAGCGCCAAGACAGGAGAGGGCGTGGATCAGCTCCTGGAGACGATCATGCTTCTGGCCGAGGTGAGAAACGAAAGGACGGTGGTTCAGAGCGGTGGAGAGGGGTGGAGAAGGGCTGAGTGGATTAGGGAGGTGAGAATAGACAGGAGAGGGCGTGGATCAGCTGCTAGAGACGATCATGCTGCTGGCTGAGGTGAGAAACGGAAGGAGCAGTGTTGAAACTTTCAACTTGAAAGCGGTGGAGAGTGGTGGAGAGTGGTGGAGAGTGGCGGAGAAGGGCTGAGTGGTTAAGGAGATGTGGATGGGTGGGAGAGTGGGTGGGGTCAGTTAGTCTCAGGGGTTGATGCATGGGTCATGCACTGCTTACACATTGCTTCTCGCTCTCTGCAACCCTTTGCATCCTTCTGCACCCCTCTGCTCCCCTACGCACCCTTCTACGTCGTCCCTCCTTGCAGATTCAGGAGCTTCGTGCCAACCCGAATAGACCGGCAGTGGGCACGGTGATAGAGGCACGGCTGGACCGGCACAGAGGGCCCGTGGCAACGCTGCTGGTGCAGAACGGCACGCTGAGAGTGGGAGATGTGGTGGTGTGCGGGGAGGCGTATGGCAAGGTGAGGGCTTGGGGAGTTAGGCTTAGGAAGGAAAAGGGGGAGGTGGAAATAGGGAATATGAGGGCCCGTGGCAACGCTGCTGGTGCAGAACGGGACGTTGAAGCTGGGAGACGTGGTGATGTGCGGGGAGGCGTATGGCAAGGTGAGAGTTTGGTGGGGTTGAGGTGGGAGAATGGGTGGGGGAAATGAGGGGGAATGGGATCGAGCCTTGGTGAAGACATTAGGAGCAAGATAGCAACCTTCTCAGCAGCAGTGCAGGTGGAGCCTGCTTTTGTCCTGTCCCGTGTGCCGGTGGCAGGGGACGAGCCTGATCTCCCCCCCTTCTTCCTTTCTTCCGCTGCCCTTTCCACCCACACAGATTCGAGCCTTGGTAGGTGACAGTGGGAGCAGGTCAAATGCAGCAGGCCCATCGGCAGCAGTGCAAGTGGAGGGGCTCTCCCGTGTGCCGGCGGCAGGGAATGAGTTCCTCGTGCTGCCGTGCATCGATGCAGCCAGTAGAGTTTATGTCTGCCCCCCCGCCCACCCCCCTCCCTCTCTTGCAGGTTCGAGCCCTGGTGAACGACTGTGGAATCAAGACTAAGGCAGCAGGCCCATCCATGGCAGTGCAGGTGGAGGGGCTGTCTCGTGTGCCGGTGGCAGGGGACGAGTTCCAGCCAGGGTATCTCATGCCTACCCCCACCCGCCCACCCCCCTTCCTCTCCCCCTCTCTTCCAGGTTCGAGCCCTGGTGAACGATAGTGGGAGCAGGGCAGCAACAGCAGCCCCATCCATGGCAGTGCAGGTGGAGGGGCTCTCCGGTGTGCCGGTGGCAGGGGACGAGTTCCTCGTGCTGCCATGCACTGATGCAGCCAGGGCCGTGGCATACCCACCCCCCCATCCCTTTCCTCCCTCCCTTCCCTCCCTCCCAGGTTCGAGCCCTGTTGAATGACAGTGGGATTAAGACCAAGGCAGCTTCGCCATCCATGGCAGTACAAGTGGAAGGTCTCTCCCGTGTGCCGATGGCAGGGGACGAGTTCCTCGTGCTGCCATGCATTGATGCAGTCAAGAAGTTCGTGCCCACTTCCACCCCCTCCCTCCCACCCGCCTCTACCAGGTGGCGGGCGAGCCGCACTGGATCTTCTGTTTCTGGGTTGAGTGCTGGGCACGGTAGATAGGGAGTAGATAAGGGGTAGTTTTTTCATGTAACTCTGAGAGCGCTGATGAAGGCCACCGGCCGAAACGCGCGTACGCTCAGGTTTGAATAAACAAGTTCTTACCTATTCAATCTCTACTAGCCTAAGCTCAGCCTAGAGAAGGTTAAGACTAGATACCTGTTAAGGACGAGTCACCTGTTGGATCCAGGTCGAACCTGTTCTTCTGTGCTTCAAGAAGTTCGTGCCCACTTCCACCCCCTCCCTCCCACCCGCCTCTACCAGGTTCGAGCCCTGGTGAACGACAGTGGGAGCAGGACAAAAGAAGCCGGCCCCTCAGCGGCAGTACAGGTGGAGGGGCTCTCACGTGTGCCAGTGGCAGGGGACGAGTTCCTCGTGCTGCCATGCATTGATGCAGCCCGGGCCATGGCGGAGGAAGCTGCTGAGAAGGCGCGGGCTGCTCGGCTGGCAGCGATGCAGGGAGAGGCGAAAGTAACGCTCTCTGCTTTCGCCACTGCTGCTGGCGCAGGTTCTGGTTCTGATACTGCTGGTTTTGCTGCTGCTGCTGCCGCTGGTGCTGCTGCTGGTGCTGCTGGTGGTGTTGGTGTTGGTGCGGCTGCAAAGGCAGCAGCGACAGGAGAGGGAGGAGCAGGCGGAGGAGCGGAGGGGGAGGAGGTGGAACTACACGTGGTGAATGTGGTTCTAAAGGTGGACTGCCAGGGGTCTGTGGAGGCGATCAGAGAGGCTTTAAGTGCTCTGCCTCAGGACACCGTGTCTCTGCATGTCCTGCTGCAGGTGAGGCGATGAGGGGGTGGGGAAGAGAATACGAAAGGTGGGAGGAGGAATAGGAACTACACGTGGTGAATGTGGTTCTATAGGTGGACTGCCAGGGGTCTGTGGAGGCAATCAGGGAGGCTTTAAGTGCGTTGCCTCAGGACACCGTGTCTTTGCACTTTCTGCTGCAGGTGAGGGAGGGGTGGGAGGGATTGGGGGTGTGGTGGGGAAGAGGATGGAAAAGGGAGGAGGAGGTGGAACTACACGTGGTGAATGTGGTTCTAAAGGTGGACTGCCAGGGGTCGGTGGAGGCGGTCAGAGAGGCTTTAAGTGCTCTACCTCAGGACACCGTGTCACTGCGCTTCCTGCTGCTGAGATGACCTGAGGGGGGCGGAAGGAGGGGGGGTTGACAGGGGTTGTGGAAGCGTCATGCACGTTCACGTGGTAAGCAGGTGGGTGAAGGTGGACTGCCAGGGGTCGGTGGAGGCGATCAGAGAGGCGCGGGTTCTCTGCCTCAAGACACTTTGTCACTGTGCTTCCTGCTGCAGGTGAGACACATTAGAACAAGGGGTGGAATGGGATAGGTGCAGGTTGAAAGGGGTCAGGTGAACAGCCAGGGATTACCGCAAGTGCTGGGTGGTCTGCCTCAGGACACCGTGTCTCTGCGCTTCCTGCTGCAGGTGAGGCGATGAGAGGGAGAAAGCACACCATGTGCGTCCATCCCAATCTCCCTCAACCTCCACCTCAATTGCTCTTTCCTTCCGGCTCTCGTTCTAATTCTCCCTCCTTCCCTGCCTCTCGTCCCAGGCCCCTGGTGACGTGTCAAGCAGTGACATTGACCTGGCAGCGTCCAGCTCAGCGGTCGTGCTGGCGTTCAATGTGGGCGTGTCGCCAGCTGTCGCAGCAGCGGCGGATATGAGGGGAGTGCAAGTGAGGCAGTACCGGGTGATCTACGATGTGGTGGAGGAGGTTCGGGCGATTATGGAGGGTCTGCTTCATACTGTAGAGGTGCGTTGTACTCGTCGCATCAACTTCATATATGTATATTTATATATATATATATATATATTAGGCGGAGATGAGGGGAGTGTGAGTGAGGCAGTACTGGTTGACCTATGATGTGGTGGAGGAGGTTCGGGCGATCATGGAGGGGCTGCTTCATACTGTAGAGGTGCGTTACACACTTGATATCTGTGAAATGCATCGGCGGAGATGATTGTTGTGCGAGTGAGGCAGCACCAGGTGATCTACGATGTGGTGGAGGAGGTTCGAGCGATTATGGAGGGGCTGCTACACACTGTAGAGGTGCGTTGTACTCGTCTCATCAACTTCATATATAAATTTATATACATATATTAGGTGGAGATGAGGGGTGTGCGAGTGAGGCAGTACTGGTTGACCTACGATGTTGTGGAGGAGGTTCGGGCGATTATCGAGGGGCTGCTACACACTGTAGAGATTAGTAGGGTTACTAGGGTGTAGAGCTGAAAATTCCCACTCCGTTGTTGCCTATTATCCTGTGTATCCCTTTTGTGAATTTCGCAGGAGAGTTCGTTCCTCGGCCGGGCAGAAGTGCGGGCAGTTTTTGGCACGGGCAGCACGCGGGTGGCAGGAGTAATGGTGACCGAGGGGCGGCTGCAAAAGGGATGCACCATTGTAGTGAGGCGTGGTGGGGGGAGGGGTGGTAGTGGGAGGGGAGGGGGTGCTGGTGCAATGGCGGCTGAACAAGAGAGAAGCAAGAGCGTGAAGGGGAAGAGAGAGAAGGTCGGTGAAGCATTGGGAATAAAGCAGCAGCAGAAGCAGCAGCTGCAACAGCATTTGGAGGGTCGCTGGGTGCACTCAGGGCAGGTGACGTCTCTTCGGCGGGTGAAGGAGCATGTGGGGGAGGTGGTATCTGGGTTGGAGTGTGGCGTGGGTACGGAGGGCTTTAACGGGTGGCAGCAGGGTGACTATATCGAAGCCTATGAGGTGACACACAGGGCTCGGACGCTAGAGGATGCGTCTAAAGAGATTGCACGAGTAGTGGAAGGCAAAAGAGGGACCATGGGAATGGAATTGTCCTAGTGCTAGCAGCCTAGCGCGAAGGTTGACTGTATTGAAGGCAATGAGGTGATTCACAGGGCTAGGGCGTCTGTATAAAGCTACATGATGTGTCTACAAGGGACCTTCAAAATCGATTTACCCCCATCCTATGAAAAAAGGACACAGTGCATGCCAGAGAGACACTCGTGCACAAAATCCTCATTTGAGTGTTTCTGAGACCTGTCCTACCGGACCAAGTATCCTAGTGCACATCATTCCATATACGGTAGATAATGTTCGTTCATGTTTGTTCATGTACGTGGGAAAACAGTTCATCACCAGAACCTGAGTGCATTGCTAACAGAGTCAATTGATGGATGCGAATATACAAGGCGGAAGCAAGGATGAAGCCGCACACTCCTATTATCAAATACTACAGAACCTTTAATAAATTATTCTCCGTCCAAGGTCGATCGGGTTCTGATGTCAGTCCCCAGACAGTCGCGTGGACGTCGTAAGCAAGAAACTAATACGCAGATACCGAGAAAGAACAAAACTTCTCGCTTCGCTTGCGCCGAAGCAGAGATCACTGGTAAGAGCGTCAGCCTTGTTTGATGTCGTCGCGCAGAGTGCAAACCTTAGCACTTGTGAAAGCTCGGGAGTAGTTTCCCGCCAGGTTAATAAAAGGTCTTCCAAAGATTGCCGATGAAGTCAGCGAGCTCTTGCAATGTCAGCTTCCATTACGAAATTAAGTTGTGAAGTGATGCTGCCGCTCGATGATGTTATTCAGTGACTCTCAGGCATCACAGAGCTGGAGTTCGAATTTTCCGTTGACATCGAGATTGCCGAGTCAGATGTCGCCAAGGAAAAATCAAGACGACGAATGAAGCTGCGAGACATTGGTTTCCGCGAAGCGCCGAAGACCTTGAATGCTCCTTTGCTCTTGACAGGTGCTCCGGGACAGACGAGGACGGAAACACGCGTGCTCAACGGAGTTCCGATAACGTCGAGGTTAATGCGGCTGGATTGCCGTCCACGGGACCTTTTCACAGACAGACCAGGAGTAGCTGCGCCAGTGTCTCTCGCTTCAGACATGTTGGCTGTGAAGTTCGATCCCGAGAAGTCGACTGCCGTGAGATCATTCAAGCTCTTGCATCGAAGCTGCATCGAGCCCGCCATTTGAAGGGAATTTGGGAGGAACTTGGCCGTACACGCTGGAGCCATGAAGGACGAAATGCAGGGTTTGAGCTGCAGATACAGGTGAACTGAAGATAGGCGAGTGAAACTGAAATGAAGGAAGCAAATGGCTTTCGAAGATGAAGAAATAGGTGGTCCCTCGACGAATGAGCGGCGAACGGATGTCTGGCACCAGCCGACGAAGAAAATTGTGGAAAGAATTCACAGATCGAAGCGAAGACGTTCCCAAGCCAACACGACGAAACAGTCAAGAAACACAGATGGGGAAAGCTGGCAAATGTCAACCACAAAGCAGAAACTGAGAGATTCTGCAGCATTGAGCTGCATATGTGCTGGTGAGTCGTGACAGCGAAACTGGAAAGCGGAGGAAACTCCAAAAACGAAGGGAGGAGGGGATAGGGGAGGGGGGAGGTGTGGGGGAAGCTTGGGAGGGGAAGGTATTTGAGATGAGTGGGGGGAAAGAGCGGGGGAGAAGTGGATTGGCTGGGTTGATTTCGTAGCGCTGGGGGCAACAAGGGTGATGCTGATCTCTGTTTGAGGGGGAGCGAGAGGGGGGACAGAAAGGGGAAGCAGGAATAGGAAAAGGGGAAGGGGTCAGAGGGAAAGAGAAACGATGGAGCTCCAGGATTGGCGGAACGCGCGGAGGGCAAGGCAGGGGGGAAATGAGGGGGAAAGGGAGGGAGCGCTGGGGGGGGGGGGGGGCGGGGTAACAATGAGGGGAGAAGCTGTGCTTCCGTTGACCTCACCCTCACCCTCCGTTGATGACGCCCGCGAGTGCGTTGATTGGCTGAGCCGGATTTCGAAGAACCTGAGGAAGCCGCAACAACGCCGAAATCTGGTTACGATACGGGGTTTGGTGGGCAAGTGAGGGGGACGAACGTCGCTTGGCTTGCTGGGTTTGGTTCGGTGGGGTGAGCCTGGGGCGGGGGGCTGTGGCCCACGCGCGAGCAGGCGTGTTGTTGAGCGGGAAATTCAAGTTGGAAAGATTCAAATTTCCCGCTGATGGTCAGGTGTCGCAGATTGTCGTCATGCGACACGCCACCTGTCCAGTGTCAACAGCACTGTTTGGTGTGGTCCCCCATTCCACCCCATGGCTGCAGTGCGAACTTCAACGGGGTGCCATGAGGAAGCTTCCGTGAAATGGACAAAGATCGAATGGAGGAACTTACCCTTCCCAGGCAGAATGCAATCAAATGGCCCTATTAGTTGAAGGTGCCATATTTGTAAAGTCCGCTTTTAGTAGGGCACAACAACAAGTAGGCTGATATTGAGTGAATGCTGGTACTGTACATTACCATTGACTCCGCAAAGCGTTCAGTTTGAATGGTTTCCCAACGCAAGCAATAAATCACTACCCGTCGTAAATGCACCGAAAGATGCATGAGATTTATCCAGAATGTTCAATGTTGTGCCCTAACCAATGCCGACAGCCGCGCTTTGCCCAATGACGTATACAACGCGTAAGGCTGTTGGAATATAACAGCTGCCACCTATTGGTGACTGTAATCCACGTCAGAATCGTAAAAATAACAATCTGATGTTATCACACTTGCACTCAAGGTGATGATTTCATTTTCAGGACAGCAAAGCAACAGCAAATACGTGATGCGTGGGTGCTGCTGAGGGAGGACCACCATTACTGTACAATCACTGCTAAACTGCCCTTGGCCCTAAGCTGTACTATGTACCAGTAGAAACTCGCTAGTTAGGGAATCAAAGTTCCAAGAATATGTGTGACTTCTCCCTCGAATATGTTTTCTGTACACAAATTTCTATGCGTGTGTACTTTCGGTTCCGTAAAGGTTCAGTCCAACAAGGATGAGAAACTGCCGCTGTTGTGCCAGTCAGCCTGACACAGTCAGCACGAGGCCGATCAATGATAGCTCACGTGATTCGGCGACAGTAATCAGATTAGGGCTGGATTAGATTAAAATAAAATAGCCATTTAATGTCAAGGTGACAACGTCGTGACTGTGAAGGCACTTGCCTGGAGGCGAGGCAGGCGCCTCTTAGCGATAACCTGCTACTTTGAGCGATAGTCAAGGGGGACTCAAACTAAGTGTGGTTCATTTCCGAATGTTGAATAGGCGGCCTCAACTCTAACTGGGCCAATTATTGCATTGAATGCTGAACGTTTGAGAATCGAGAGCAAAACGAGTGACGCCCGACTGCGGAAAACCTTGAAGCCAGCCAATACAGTATCCTGGGCTAACCCGAAAACAGTGGTACCCAGTTCAAGATTTAGGAACAAACGAAGTTCCTGAATTTCGGGCCAATTTTTTCGCCACGTCGAGCTCCACCGCACCAATCGTCATAAAGGCACAACAGATTGAGTTACTGTAGAAAGCAGAGCACAAGGCAGACGTGGCTTCGCCAGGCTGGATGGCACCCCAACGAGTAAGAAAGAAAGCCTCCCCCCAAGTGAGCACTGCCTCCCCGATATAAAAATCCTTCGATATGTTCTGTGCTTCTCACGCAGATTATCCAAACATTCGGGACAAAAGAAGTGCTACAATTTCAATGTAGTAGGGTCGTTTTAGTCATACTGAATCCTCGTTCAGTTACCAGCAAGAGCGAGAAAACACTGTTAGGAGCAGCTCAACCTTCACAGTATACAATGTACATCGCCAAAAAAACACCAAGGTTAAGCACAAAAAACTACTTCAGGAATAACTCTGTAACAAGGTTACCGCCGAGGCGGAGGGGCACCTCGGCCCATCATGCCGCCCATGGGAGCACCCCCATCTGGTGCTGCTCCCAGCGCCCCCCTTGCTGCAGACCTTGCTTTAGCTCGCATGGCCACGGCTCTACCCCTGCCCACTCCCAGATTGGACGACCCCTTGCCCTGAAGGACACACAAAAGGGGGTTGGGTTGGGATGCATGGAGATTAGTGTGTGTGTGGATAACGGTGCGCTCCTTGCTGCAGACCTAGCTTTGGCTCGCATTGCCACGGCTCTACCCCTGCCCACTCCCAGATTGGACGACCCCTTGCCCTGAAGGACACACAAAAGGGGGTTGGGTGGGGGGATGCATGAAGATTAGTGTGTGTGTGGATAACGGTGCGCTCCTTTCTGCAGACCTAGCTTTAGCTCGCATGGCCACCGCTCTACCCCTGCCCACTCCCAGGTTGGACGACCCCTTGCCCTGAAGCGCACAGAAGGGGGTTGGGTTGCACGAAAACTGAGTGTGCAAGTGTGGATAGTGAATGCGACGGGTGACACTCTTGCTAAGCTGAGCCTTAGATCGCATGGCCACAGCTCTGCCCCTGCCCACTTTCAGGTTGCATGGCCCCTTGCCCTGAAGCACACACAAAGGGGTTGGGTTGGGTGGAATTGGAAGTTCAACAATTTGAGTGCGAGCGTCAGTTTGGAAAGGCAGCCAATACAGAAAGGGAAAGAAAGAGCAGCGTAGGGAGGATAGAGAGGAAGGGGGAAAGGTGGGGGCAAGAAAGAGAGGGAAACCGTCCTAGCAGATGGCATTGTCTTTTCGCTCTTTAAACAAGGAAGGGAGAGCAGCAGACTTGAAGGGAGAAGAGAGAAGGAAGGGGGACAGCAAGAAGAGGGGACGCAGAGCAAGAATTGACGGGGGAAGGAAAGGGGGGGGGGAGGGAGGGGAAGTGACAGAGAGACAAAGAGGAGCATACCTTAAGCTTTGCTTCCAGTCGTTTGAACATGGGTGCATTCCGAAGCATGTCTGGGATGATGACGAAGCTGTTTGGGAGAAAGGGAAAGAGAGGGGAGGAAAGCAGGGGGGGGGGGGAGGGTGTTGAGCTTGGCTTCCAGTCGATTGAACATGGGTGCATTCCGCAGCATGTCTGGGATGATGACGAAACTGCCAAGAGGGGGGGGTGGGGGAAGTGGGGGATGGGGAGCGGGAAGTGGGGGAAACGGGACAATGGGTGCTTGAACAGCTGATAGACTGATCAGCTTCGAGTCGTTCTAACATGGGTGCATTTTCGCAGCATGTCAGGGTTTAAGGTACTAGACTGCCTGCAAGGGGGAGAGAGGGGGGGGGGAGGGGGAGGGGGTGGGGGTAAGGAGGAAGGGAGGGCGGGGGATGGAGGGAGCAAAGGAAGGAATTAGCTCCTCAGCTTCGAGTCGTTTAAACATGGGTGTGTTCCAAAGCATGACAGGGATGATAATGAAAGGGAAGGGGAAGGAGGAGGAAGGGCGTTAGTGGGAGCGGAGGAAGACGGGAGACGGGGGAAGGAGGGCAATGGACGGAGGAGACATAACGGATACATGGGTGTGATTGAAAGCATGTCAGGGATGATGGGGGTGGGAAAAGAAGGTAGGCGGGGGAAGGAGGGTAACGGAGGGGGAGGACGAGGGAAGGAAGGGGGGCGAGAAAGGGGAAGGGGGGGGGGGAAAGTGGGGAAGGGGAAAAAGGTGAATGGTGAGAGAGCGGGAAGCGGGAGACAGGAGGAAAGGAGGGAGGCAAGGAGGGGGGGAGGGGAAGGAGGGTGCGGGGAGAGGGGGAAGGGGAGGGGAGCAGGAAGGTGGGAGGGGGGGAAGGAGGGGGAAAGGGAGGGGAGCGGGAAGGTGGGACATGGAACGGGGAAGGGGGCGGGGACGTGGGAGGGGGGCGGGAAGCGGGACGCTGGGAGGAGGAAGGAGGAACGGGGAAGGGCGGAGGGGAGGGGGACGGGGAGATGGGTGAGCAAAGCAGCAGCAGACGGGAAGGAGAGGCCAACGGATGAGACATGGAGATACGGGAGGAAGAGCGTGCGGGGAAGCATGCGTGGCGGGATATGCGCGGATGGGTGGATCAAGTGGGGAGGGGGAGAAAGCGGAGAAGCAGAAAGGGAAGAGCATAAGAGAGCATGGGCGGAAGAGCATGGGGGAAGAAAGAGCATGGAGGGAAGGGCGTGCAAGGAAGAGGATGGGGGTAAGAGCGTGGCAGGGGAAGAGCCCGGGGGGAAGCGCGTGGGGGGAAGCGCATCGGGGGAGGGGGGGGGGGGGGGAGGGGGGGGGGGGGGGGGGGGGGGGAGGAGAAGATCATGGGAGAAACGCAGATGCCTAGCTGCCGCCTTACCCCCAAGTTCTGTTTTTTCCGGCTCCAAGGGCGAGGGCATAGAAGCAGACGAACAATAGGGGATAAAGAGCATGACGAACTAATAATGAGAGTTTGGCTTGCAATGTGTATGGATTCTGGCAATAAGGCAACACTCGGTAAGATAACACTCACTACAGGGTGATACTTACCGAACGAAGCTTCCCCTTATGAAAACGTGCTCCAACTGCAATACCTTGCCGTCCTGAATACACGGAAAGGCAAAAAAAAAAAAAAAGGAATTAAGAAACCGAAGTGCTTGGGTGATAGATGATGATGCGGTTCTTGTCGAAGCTGCCTCTAATTACGACAAACTCGTGAATGCTAGGTCCAGACGAAGCGAGCTAGGTCGCGAACATGGAGTGTGCAAAATCGCGCAACAGGAAACTGGGGTTTTAAATCGCCACACTGCATTTCATCGTCGCTTGTTCTAAACAATTGTCTTCCTCCAACAGAACTTCCGGACCATCTAAGCATCCCCTACATTAGCTTCAGACCTGCAAAAGGAAATATGCAGTTAATAGCATGATATGTGACTGTAACGAGGGTACCTTCGCTGTGAATGTGATGTTATCCATTTGGCAGTTCCAGTTGTCCTCGCAGTCCGTCAGTGTGCCTCGATATAACTCCCCGTTTTTCAACTCGACAGTAACAACGTGGCCTTGCGCCTCGTGCAGCAGCTTCACCGGAATTCCAAGAGACTTACTCATTTTCTAATAGTTAAAATGTGCTAAAACGACAATCAGATTGTTTTACTAAGATCGCCCTTAGAAATTCCTACTTGATGCTTGAGACCGCGGTGAGCACACAAAACTCGACCGAAACACGATCAACTAGCGGATTTACGAAGTAAAACACGCTGAGCGCTGCCAACTGCGGAGATTCGCGACGTAACCTGCGGTGGAATATGCTGATCGTCGATAACTGCCAGCCGCAGCGACAACGGAGAGCAACTACAGCAAGAGAGCACTGATCAGCGGAGAGCAAACCCTAATCGCTATATCGAGGAGCACAAGTACGAGAGCTTGGAATCGGAATCGAGCGGACGAATTTGTAGCTGTGCAGGCGAGGACGTGTCTCCTCACAGTAGGCGAGGGAGGAGCGTGTGACCTCACAAGAGTACATTTCAATGCGGTTGGGTGAGATGGGTTGCGCAGCAGAGTGGTTTGATTGCATTCTAAAAGGTTGGGAGCAATCATCGGCTCATCAAAGCAACAAGTTATTATTACAGGTACGCCGTTTACTGCAATACATATAAACTACATATACTAAATGAGCACAAGTTTGTTGTAAATGAATAAACTAATTTATTGTCGTCTCCCCGCCGAGCATCCCGTCAAGAAGCTGAAGCTCGTCCTCCATACTGCGCTGGGGTCCTGTACCTTGCCTCCGAACCTCTTTATCAATCTTGAGCAGCCTCGAATCCTTCGTCGACGCCTGAACTTCGAAGAAATCCCTCCTCATTGCACCCAATTGCGCGACAACCTCAATCATGTGCGGCCGTGATGAGCCTAGGAGCGACGTGCATTGTAGAGCAAGCGCGACCAGTTTGATTAGAAGCTCATGAGGTATCGAATCAAGATGGGGGTCTTTGAGGGCTTCTATGTCGTTCGCTTGCACGCGTTTATCGACCTGGACACATGGACAATAGAAGATAGGCAAGCAAGTGTGACACATTTCATGAATTTCCAGCAACGATTGAGATGGAGCATAGGAAAAGGAATTTAAGATTTTCAGAGGAACGCCTGTGAGAAAAAGAACACACGAAGGTGTATGGTATATACACTTACCCATGAAGGTGAAACAGACATACACGCCCAATTACACCATATACACCTACCCAGTCTCGGATGTTGATTCCGCCATTCTCTTGCATCACAACAGGCTTGGTCAGCATGATCTCAAGCATCATCACCCCGAAGCTGGTGAAGCAGGGGGATAGATTGGACAAGGTAAAATGAAAAAAAATAAACGGAAAAAAAAGTGGCAGAAGTTCCTTGTGAGAAAAAACAATAATAATCTTAGGCAGCAAGGAAGAGCAGAGCATGTCATCAGAAAGCGCTTATACAAAGCCATTGACGATGATAATAAGGAGGAGCCGAGCAAGTCACCGACCAGACCCACCTGAAAACGTCAGCCATGGGGGTAACCTTGCTGGTGCGCGAGTAAGCGGGGTCCACATAGCCAGGAGTGCCGACCACTCGGGTGGGATTCACTGTGGTGCCCTCTGTCATGCGTACCAGCCCAAAATCTGACACCTTTGGCTGCAAAGGAAGGGGGGGAGAGATAAAAACACAAGAGGTTGCTGGCGCACCAGCCCAAAGTCTGATACCTTAGGCTGGAGGAAGAGAGGATGGGTAGGAGAGGGAGAGAGGGGTGGTTCAAGAACAAGGGCTGAATCTTAGCGGATTATAGCAGCAAGACTACTCTGCCGCGTACAATACATTTTTCGGATTAGATTGTTTGCAAATGACGGGATTTTTTTTAAACGGTTGACAGCTTTGCGTATACACCTGCATGCGGGCTTCAAGCAGCACGTTGACTCCCCAACCGCACTCGACCATCACATCCCCTTTCCTTCCCCCTCCTCCTCTTTCCCCTCCTACCTGCATTTTGGCATCGAGCAGCACGTTGGCGGGCTTGATGTCTCGATGCACGATGTCAAACTGGTGGAGGTACTCCAACCCCCGCGCCACCCCCACTAGCACATCCATGCGCTGCTGCAGCGTCAATGTGCCCTTTTTGGGCCCTGGATACAAGGGAAGCCACATCAAGAATGGGGCTCAACGCGAGTTGAACTAGCCTATATGGTGCCACCCCCACCAGCACATCCATGCGCTGCAGCAACGTCAACGTGCCCTTTTTGGGCCCTGCTTGGGAGGATAACAACAATACAAAATTGTTGTGGGATGTCTCATGTTGAGAAAAACTTGATTTGAGATGTTTCATCATATCAGAAGATCCACTTTACTCGAAAGACGCAAAAAAAAAGAGAGGCAAATATGTCGTCCACCTAGCAACAACCACATTGCATGCCCCAAGTGCGTGCAATGGTGTGTACGTGGAGATTTAAATATGTGGGAGGCGTTAGCTTAGCTCTATCAATCCTACTCATTTAAAGTGTCCCAAATATGCCTCTATTCTTAAAGCTCAAGGGCCAAATTGCGCAAGATTAGTAATCTTGCGCAAGTTTGGGTGCTGGGGGGTGGGGGTTGTTGACTTGTCAAATTTCGCCGCAACACTTGTCTTTTCGCTGAGTCAGCAAGCTTCAGGGGGGAGCGTGCGTTTGGGGACCTCGAGTCCCAAATTGCAGAGTAGTGAAACTTGATGTTTTCGCAGTGAGTGTTGCTTCGACCAATCAGATTGCGTCTAAACTACCGTAACCAGATTTTCGCCAATATACAGCACAAAAAACGAGAAGTGTGCAAGATTACTAATCTTGCCCTGCGCGGCCCGCAATTTGGGCCTTGAGCTTTAAGATAATCCACTCACCTCCACTAAGGTACTTCTCGAGGTCTCCGTTGGAGCAGAACTCGTAGATGACAATCTGCTCGTAGTGCTTTGTGGTTGTATCCATGTCCACACAGTACCCCAGCAGAGCAGTGGAGTGGAGTGGAGTGGAGTGGAGTGGAGTGGAGTGGAGTGGAGTGGAGTGGAGTGGAGTGGAGTGCAGTGGAGTGGAGTGGAGTGGAGTGGAGTGCAGTGGAGTGGAGTGGAGTGGAGTGGAGTGGAGTGGAGTGGAGTGGAGTGGAGTGGAGTGGAGTGGAGTGGTGTGGAGTGGAGTGGAGTGTGGATCACACGTGTGCCGCGCCTTCTCTCACCTCCACTAAGGTACTTCTCGAGGTCTCCGTTGGAGCAAAACTCGTAGATGACAATTTGTTCGTAGTGCTCTGTGGTCATATCCATGTCCACACAGTACCCCAGCAGCCGCACCAAGTGCGGATGGCTCTTTGATGCCATCTCCTCCACCTGCAAGGGAAGGAACGAAAGAGGAAAGACATTCGTGGGAGAATGAGCACGAAATTTCAACACCATGTATCACAAATCGCTTTTAGATGTGCTTGTTGAAAAGAAAAAATTCAAGAAAGAAAAAATACCTTTCTGCCCTTGCCTCCCACACTCACACACCTCTCGCTTGAAGTCATTGGTGAGTATATTGGCGCGCTTCACAGCCCACACCACTGAGGGATCATCGGGGCACACAACCCCCCATCCCATCCTAAGCCGGCTCAGTCAGCCGCTTCATACCCCATCCACACCACACTACACCACACCACACCACACTCCACACACATACCTCTCGCTTAAAGTCATTGGTGAGAATCTTGGCTCGCTTCACAGCCCACACCACCAAGGGATCATCTGGACACACCCCCCGATACACCTCCCCATACCCGCCCGACCCAATGTGGTTTGCCTCTGCCCAGTTATCCGTCGCTGTGGCAACCACAGCTAAGGGGTAGCGTTGGCACATGAGTGACTGCGTTGGTACAGAGGCTCCTCCTCCTCTTGATGCTCCATCACTTGGTTTGGCGCCACTTGACGACTCTGCTGGTGGTGGTGGGCATAGGAGGGAAAGAGCGGGGGGAGGGGAATTAAGCCTTTTTTTAAAGCGCCGCAGAATTCCTTTCAATGTGCCTCCGCTGTCCCTTCATTGCGCCTCTGCCCAGTTATCCGTCGCTGTGGCAACCACAGCTAAGGGGTAGCGTTGGCACATGAGTGATTGGGTTGGTACCGATGCCCCTCCCCCTCTTGATGCTCCATCACTTGGTTTGGGGCCACTTGAGGACCCACGAGCTGGTGGTGGTGGGCATAGGAGAGGGTTGGGGGGGTGGGGCGGGAGGAGGAGAGTTGAGCATTTCTTCAAGCGCCCCTTACAATGCTCCATCACTTGGTTTGGCGCCACTTGAGGACTCACGTGCTGCTGGTGGTGGGCATAGGAGAGGGTTGGGGGGTGGGGTGGGGCGGGGAGGAGAAAAGTCGAGGATTTCCTCAAGCGCCTCGAAAGCCCTTTCAATGGGCCATCGCTTGTGGTGGGGATGTGGTGGGGCCACTTGACAGCTCACGTGGTAGTAGTGGGCATGGGGAGGAGTGGGCTGCGGGCACATGAGAAGGTGGGGGGGTGGGGTGGCAGGAGGGGAGTCGAGCATTTCTTCAAGCGCCTCGAAAGCCCTTTCAATGGGCCATCGCTTGTGGTGGGGATGTGGTGGGGCCACTTGACAGCTCACGTGGTAGTAGTGGGCATGGGGAGGAGTGGGCTGCGGGCACATGAGAAGGTGGGGGGGTGGGGTGGCAGGAGGGGAGTCGAGCATTTCTTCAAGCGCCTCGAAAGCCCTTTCAATGTGCCATCGCTTGTGGTGGGGATGTGGTGGGGCCACTTGACAGCTCACGTGCCGATAGTAGTGGGCATTGGGAGGAGTGGGCATATGAGAAGGTGGGGGGGGTGGGGCGGGAGGAGAAAAGTAGAGGATTTCTTCAAGCGCCTCAAAAGCCCTTTCAATGTGCCATTGCTTGTGGTGGGGCCACTTGACAGCTCACGTGCTGGGTGGGTGGGAGGAGTGGGCATATGAGAAGGTGGGGGGGTGGGGTGGGAGGAGGGGAGTCGAGGATTTCTTCAAGCGCCTCGAAAGCCCTTTCAATGTGCCACCGTTTGTGGTGGGGCCACTTGACAGCTCACGTGCTGATCGTGGGCATGGGGAGGATAGTCAGCATCCGATGGTGAGTTTTGAGGCGCCTCAAAAGTCGCCACTTGACAGCTCCGTGCTGGTAGTAGTGGGCATGGGGAGGATAGTCAGCATCCGATGGTGAGACAACTTTGAGAGACGACTAAAGTGAGTAGCATGCTGGGAGTGGAAAGCCAAGTGGTGAGAGATCAATGGTGATCCCTCCTCCACCTTACTGAGTCGTGTTTTGAGTCGACTCAAAACACGACTCAAAGTCGACTCAAAACACGACTCAAAGTCGACTCAAAACACGACTCAAAGTCGACTCAAAACACGACTCAAAGTCGACTCAAAACACGACTCAAGTGAGTAGCATGCTGGGAGTGGAAAGCCAAGTGGTGAGAGATCAATGATGATCCCTCCTCCACCTTACCACACCACATCACCAGCAATTAACCTTTTTTTAACCTAGTTTTGAGACGTCTCAAAACCACATCACCAGCAATTCACCTCTTTTGGACCATCGTTTGCAGAGAAGCCACACGCCGACAGCGAGGAGAGCAGCAGCTATGACACCCCCCACAGCAATCCCAACGATAGCTCCCACAGACAGGCGGGAGGAGGGAGGAGGAGGTGAGGAAGGAGGAGGCGAGGGAGGAGGAGGTGAGGAAGGAGGAGGCGAGGGAGGAGGAGGTGAGGGAGGAGGAGGTGAGGGAGGAGGAGGTGAGGGAGGAGGAGGTGAGGGAGGAGGAGGCAAGGGAGTAACAATAGCACCCACCTGCAGTGGACATTCGTTTGCAGAGAAGCCACACGCCGCCAGCAAGGAGAGCAGCGAATAAGACACCCGCCAGAGCAATCCCAACGATAGCTCCCACAGACAGGCCAGAAGAGGGAGGAGGAGGAGGAGGTGAGGGAGGGGCGGGTTCAGCGATGGGGATGCAGGAGGGGCAGAACTCGTTGCACTGGTAGCAGAACTGGGAGGAGGCGCTCTGCTTGACCACGCAGGATTGCCCGGCTCCTGTGGGGCACTCGGCCCCACTATTCAGCACCTCCCTGCGGTGAGGGAGAGAAGGGGAGTTAGAGAAAGGCTTTTCTTTGATGCTTCAGAAATCGTTGCACCAGTAGCAGAAAGAAATATGCTGCAGAACTCGTTGCACTGATAGCAGAACTGGGAGGAGGCGCTCTGCTTGACCACGCAGGATTGCCCGGCTCCTGTGGGGCATTCGGCCCCGCTGGTCAGCACCTCACTGCAGTGAGGGAGAGAAGGGCGGGCAGGGAAAGGCTCTTCTTTGAACTATGCTGCAGAATTCGCTGCACTGGTAGCAGAAAGAACTATGCTGCAGAACTCGTTGCACTGGTAGGTAGCAGAGAGAACTGGGAAGAGAGGCTCTGCTTGACCACGCAGGACTGCCCGGCTCCTGTGGGGCATGCAGCCCCGCATTTCAGCACTTCCCTGCGGTGAGGGAGAGAAGGGGGGTCAGGGGTCAGGGTCAGGGTCAGGGTCTTCAGAATCCGCTGCACTGGTAGCAGAACTGGGAGGAGGCGCTCTGCTTGACCACGCAGGACTGCCCGGCTCCTGTGGGGCATGCAGCCCCGCTGTTCAGCACTTCCCTGCGGTAAGCGAGGGAAAGGGAAAGGAGCGCGGGAACGAAGAGTGGGAGGATGGAAGAAGAGAAGGGCAGGACTGGGAGGAGGAGCTCTGCTTGACCATGCAGGATTGTCCGGCTGCTGTGGGGCATTCGGCCCCACTGGCCAGCACCTCACTGCAGCGAGGGAGGAGAGGGAGGGTCATAAACATACTGGGAACGAAGGGCTCTGCTTGACCACGAAGGATTGCCCGGCTCCTGTGGGACATTCGGCCCCACTGGCCAGCACCTCACTGCAGCGAGGGAAAGGCAAAGGAGCGCGGGAACACAGAGTGGGAGGATGGAAGAAGAGAAGGGCAGGACTGGGAGGAGGAGCTCTGCTTGACCACGCAGGACTGTCCGGCTCCTGTGGGGCAGTCGGCCCCACTGTCCAGCACCTCACTGTGGTGAGGGAAGGAGGGGGAAAGAGGTGGCAGGTGGGGGAGGGTCCGGGGAGGACGGGCTTTGCTTGGCCATGCAGGATTTTCCGGCTCCTGTGGGGCATTCGGCCCCACTGATCAGCACCTCACTGCGGTGAGGGAAGGAGGGGGAGAGAGGAGGGGGATGGGGGGAGTCCAGGAAAGGCTCGTCTTAGACTACGCTTCAGAACTCGTTGCACTGGTAGCAGAACTGGGAGGAGAGGCTCTGCTTTACCACGCAGGACTGCCGGGCTCCTGTGGGGCATTCGGCCCCGCTGGCCAGCACCTCACTGCAGCGAGGGAGAGAAGGGGGGTTCACGAAAAGGCTATTCTTTTAACTATGCTTCAGAACTGGGAGGAGAGGCTCTGCTTGACCACGCAGGATTGCCCGGCTCCTGTGGGGCATACTGCACTGCACCACTCCCCTGCAGCTCACTGAGGGGATGTGAAGAAGCCAGAGCAGTGCAAGAGATTAGATGGCACCCCCTCCCTCCTCCCCCCTCCCCCCCTTCCCGCACCCCTAACCCCCTCTCCTTGCGGCTTACAGGGTAGTCAGATGGACGAGGTTCCCAAGAGTCGGAGGCACAATGCCTGAGAGATCGTTGATGTCGAAGCTCCTGCATGGATGGGTATAGAGCGTATGAAGAATTAGGAGGGTTTCATGATAAGAGTAGGGCGAACCAAAGGTTCCCAAGAGCTGGAGGCACAATGCCTGAGAGATCGTTGATGTTGCAGCTTCTGCACACATGGGGATAGAATGGAGGGATGAGGGCGAATCCATGATGGGATTAGGGTGAATTAACAGTGGAATTATGCCCGTTAGATGTACGAGGTTCCCAAGAGCTGGAGGCACAATGCCTGAGAGATGATTGATGTCGAAGCTTCTGCACACATGGGGATAGAATGGAGGGATGAGGGCGAATCCATGATGGGATTAGGGTGAATTGACAGTGGAATTATGCCCGTTAGATGTACGAGGTTCCCAAGAGCTGGAGGCACAATGCCTGAGAGATGATTGATGTCGAAGCTTCTGCACACATGGGGATAGAATGGAGGGATGAGGGCGAATCCATGATGGGATTAGGGTGAATTAACAGTGGAATTATGCCCGTTAGATGTACGAGGTTCCCAAGAGCTGGAGGCACAATGCCTGAGAGATGATTGATGTCGAAGCTTCTGCACACATGGGGATAGAATGGAGGGATGAGGGCGAATCCATGATGGGATTAGGGTGAATTAACAGTGGAATTATGCCCGTTAGATGTACGAGGTTCCCAAGAGCTGGAGGCACAATGCCTGAGAGATGATTGATGTCGAAGCTTCTGCACACATGGGGATAGAATGGAGGGATGAGGGCGAATCCATGATGGGATTAGGGTGAATTGACAGTGGAATTATGCCCGTTAGATGTACGAGGTTCCCAAGAGCTGGAGGCACAATGCCTGAGAGATGATTGATGTCGAAGCTTCTGCACACATGGGGATAGAATGGAGGGATGAGGGCGAATCCATGATGGGATTAGGGTGAATTAACAGTGGAATTATGCCCGTTAGATGTACGAGGTTCCCAAGAGCTGGAGGCACAATGCCTGAGAGATGATTGATGTCGAAGCTTCTGCACACATGGGGATAGAATGGAGGGATGAGGGCGAATCCATGATGGGATTAGGGTGAATTAACAGTGGAATTATGCCCGTTAGATGTACGAGGTTCCCAAGAGCTGGAGGCACAATGCCTGAGAGATGATTGATGTCGAAGCTTCTGCACACATGGGGATAGAATGGAGGGATGAGGGTGAATCCATGATGGGATTAGGGTGAATTAACAGTGGAATTATGCCCGTTAGATGTACGAGGTTCCCAAGAGCTGGAGGCACAATGCCTGAGAGATAATTGATGTCGAAGCTTCTGCACACATGGGGATAGAATGGAGGGATGAGGGCGAATCCATGATGGGATTAGGGTGAATTAACAGTGGAATTATGCCCGTTAGATGTACGAGGTTCCCAAGAGCTGGAGGCACAATGCCTGAGAGATAATTGATGTCGAAGCTTCTGCACACATGGGGATAGAATGGAGGGATGAGGGCGAATCCATGATGGGATTAGGGTGAATTAACAGTGGAATTATGCCCGTTAGATGTACGAGGTTCCCAAGAGCTGGAGGCACAATGCCTGAGAGATGATTGATGTCGAAGCTTCTGCACACATGGGGATAGAATGGAGGGATGAGGGTGAATCCATGATGGGATTAGGGTGAATTAACAGTGGAATTATGCCCGTTAGATGTACGAGGTTCCCAAGAGCTGGAGGCACAATGCCTGAGAGATAATTGATGTCGAAGCTTCTGCACACATGGGGATAGAATGGAGGGATGAGGGCGAATCCATGATGGGATTAGGGTGAATTAACAGTGGAATTATGCCCGTTAGATGTACGAGGTTCCCAAGAGCTGGAGGCACAATGCCTGAGAGATGATTGATGTCGAAGCTTCTGCACACATGGGGATAGAGCAATGAAGGGATGAGGGGTGGAAGAATGTAGGGACGAGGGCGAAAGTGTGACTACTTGAATGCATGTGCATGTGTGCGTGTGTGTGTGTGTGTGCATGTGTGCATGTGCGTGTGTGTGCGTGCGTGTGTGTGTGCGTGCGTGTGTGCGTGTGCGTGTGCGTTTGTGCGTGTGCGTGCGTGCTCTTTTGAGACGCTCAAGACTCAATCAAGTATGTCAGTATGCAGCATACATGGGTTTTATAGGTACATGAGCTTTGTACAACCGCTGCTAGTAGTAGTAGTATATATGTATGTGCTCTTCCGGTCAGTCAGTCATGTATGTCAGTCAAGTATGTCAGTATGCAGCATACATGGGTTTTATAGGTACATGAGCTTTGTACAACCGCTGCTAGTAGTAGTAGTATGTATGCATGTGCTCTTCCGGTCAGTCAGTCATGTATGTCAGTCAAGTATGTCAGTATGCAGCATACATGTGCTCTTACAAGTACATGAGCTTGGTACAACCGCTGCTAGTAGTAGTAGTAGTAGTAGTAGTAGTAGTATGTATGTATGTGCTCTTTTGGTCAGTCAGTCAAGTATGTCAGTCAAGTATGTTCGTATGCAGCATACATGTGCTCTTACAGGTACATGAGCTTTGTAAGATTTCCCAGTTCACTTGGAATCTCCCCTGTGAATTGGTTCTGACGAAACGACCTGTACAAGAAAAGGTCAGTATATATAAAAAAGAAAGAGCTTCTAGATTTCAAACCATGAGAATGCTTCTTCATGCCCCATAGAATAGATTATATCATTAAACTGATGAGATTGTATTGTTTTTAATCAATTGAGGCATCATTGGCTCCAACTATTAATACATGCAATGCATAAACAAGCACATGAATATAATTTTGTATGTATGCACAACACATATACACCCGATACGAGTGCACGTGCATCGGGTAAGTGTGAGCCTCATTGGCAATTGACTTCGGGCACTTAGCTAAAACTCACAGTGACCAGAGCTCTACAGAATTCTCAACAGTGACATTGGCAGGGCAGCTAAATGTGAAAGACTTCGAATTTATTTCACTGTGTGTTCAAACTGGTGAGGTTGAGTTTTGAGATGTCTCAGAATAAGAAACACGGAAACTCACTCACAGCGTGTAAAGATTGGTGAGGTTGGCAAAGGAAGAGGGGATGGGTCCTTTTAAGGTGTTGTTGGTGAAATCGCTGGAAACACGTGAAGGGGTGGCAGGTCAGGTTGTGTGAAGGGATGTGAATGGAATGTGAATGGAATGTGAATGGGATGTGAATGGAATGTGAATGGGATGTGAATGGGATGTGAATGGGATGTGAATGGGATGTGAATGGATGTGAATGGAATGTGAATGGGATGTGAATGGGATGTGAATGGGATGTGGATGGAATGTGAATGGAATGTGGATGGGATGTGAATGGGGTGTGAATGGGATGTGAATGGAATGTGAATGGGATGTGAATGGGATGTGAATGGAATGTGGATGGAATGTGAATGGGATGTGGATGGAATGTGAATGGAATGTGGATGGGATGTGAATGGGGTGTGAATGGGATGTGAATGGAATGTGAATGGGATGTGAATGGGATGTGAATGGAATGTGGATGGAATGTGAATGGGATGTGGATGGAATGTGGATGGAATGTAAATGGGATGTGGATGGAATGTGGATGGAATGTGAATGGGATGTGGATGGAATGTGGATGGAATGTGAATGGGATGTGGATGGCATGTGGATGGAATGTGAATGGGATGTGGATGGAATGTGGATGGAATGTGGATGGAATGTGGATGGGATGTGAATGGGATGTGAATGGGATGTGAATGGGATGTGAATGGGATATGAATGGGATGTGAATAGATGTGAATGGGATGTGAATGGGATGTGAATGGGATGTGAATGGGATGTGAATGGAATGTGGATGGAATGCGAATGGAATGTAATCCATAGCCAATACACACATGCCACATGCGAGCACACACACACACACATGTGAGCAAACCATACATGTGAGCAAACCATACATGTGAGCAAACCATACAAGCACACCCACACACAGGTGAGTATTCATACATGCGAGTGAGTCTTCCAAGGGAGGAGAGAGTCGCTGGGAGGTTCCCTGTGAGGCGATTGTGAGAAAGCGCACTGGGAGGAGGAGGACAGAGAGGGGGGGTGCAGAGACGGGTGCGGAAGGGAAGGATACGACACACGAATCAGCATGTGAGCATGCATACATGCGAGCGAGCCTTCCTAGGGAGGAGGGGGTGTCTGGGAGGGCCCCTGAGAGGCGATTGTCAGAAAGCGCACTGGGAGGAAGGGATAAGGGAGGAGAGGTATGATGGGGAGGGAAAGTGGGCAGGGAGAATGGGCAGGGAGAATGGGCAGAAGAATGAGGGTCCCTGTGATGCGATTGTCAAGAAGCGCGCTGGGAGCAGGGGGCAAAAAGGGGTACGTAGGGGAAAGATGGGGAGAGGAAAGATGGGGAAGAAAGAACATAAGGTGAGAAGGATGAGGTGTTGAGAATAAGGTGAATGAAGCTGGGGATAGGAGAGGCAGGGAGGCAGAGTAGGAGTGGGGAGGCAAGAAGCAAGCTCATATGCCAAGAGACTACATCAGACACAGTCACGGACGCATAGGTGCGGCCCAAGATGTTGCTTGCACGCTGATAAAATCCCCAAAGACAGAGAAGCAAATGGATGGGTCCGTCCGATTTCCAAGCCAAGATGCCTCTTACACGCTTTGCAAACTGGACAGGTTCCCAAACTCAAAGCGACAAACGCACGCATGGGTATGAGCTGCGATGTTGATTGCTTACACGCTTTGCAAGTTAATCAGGTTCCCAAACTCCGGGGGGATGGTTCCGCCAAAATTGTTCTGCGATATGTCACTGCAAGGGAGGGAGGATGGCACACGGGAAAGGAGTGGAACGGCTTTTGATTTTCAAAGAGTGCAGTGCAGAGTGCAGCAAATCACTTTTGGGGAGCCTCAAAGTCGTCTCGTCTCTTCACCCGCAATTATTTGAGGCACAGAAAGGAGTGCAGCAGATCACCTTTGCATACAGCGAACTCCATATTGAATGTGTGTGTCAAAATTCTCAAGAACTGCTGCAATACAAGGAGCAGACAGGACACTGTCTTATAGATACGTAGCATACTACTACTAGCAGGAGACAACTAGATCTATCTAGTCTGGAATATACTTGCATATATGTTAATCCAGTGGATAATCTATTAGGAGCAATTTACATAAAAGTCTATACACAATGAACAGCTTGCATAGATGTTGATATACTAAATTTGCTGAGAATTCACTAGAAGCAACTTACACGAAAGTTAATCTGCTGAGAAATGCCAGCGCTGAAAAGATATTCCCTTGAAAAGAGTTTCTGCGCACCTGGCTGCAAACACAAGGCAGGGAAGGCAGGACAACGAGTGTGATCTGTTTTGAGACGGGCATGCAGGGCAGGGCAGGGCAGGGCAGGACAAGGCAGGCATGCGATGACAGGATCTTCGCATAACAAGAGACGTCTGGATACATGCATGCCTGCCTTGTATTGTATGTATCCTGTCTTCACATACAACATGCAAGCAGCATACATACAAGTATTGCAGCCTGGAGAGGCCAGAGATGGACGGCAGAATGACTCCAGAGAACCCGTTGTAGCTGAGGGACCTGCAGGTAAGACAATGAGGAGAGGGTTCTGAAGCGATGTTGGAGGTGAAAGGGTGAACAGTGAGGCGAGGGGAATGATTCCTGAGAACCCATCGTAGCTGAGGGACCTGAAGGCCAGACAGGGAGGAGAGGGTTCTGAAGCGAAGCGATGTAGGAGGTGAAAGGGTGAACAGTGAGGCGAGGGGAATGATTCCTGAGAACCCATTGTAGCTGAGGGGCCTGAAGGCCAGACAGGGAGAAATCAACGTATTCTCTGGATTTCCAGAAATCAGCTCAAGCTGGCGCTCGGAGCTCTTGGAAAGGGTGTGTGCGAGTGATTTTATGGCTGCCGCTTCCAGGGTGTGTGCGAGTGATTTTATGGCTGCCGCTTCCAGGGTGTGTGCGAGTGATTTTATGGCTGCCGCTTCCACGAGTGTAAGATTGCGGAGCAACTCGACTCAGGTGGTGCTGGGACTTCACAAGAATGGCGTGTGCTGGGCAGTTGGGAGGGACTCATGCTGCCGCTGTCAGGGATGAAGTGTTCGAGTGATTCAATGGCTGGGACTCAGACAGGCTGTTGCTGGCTGTCAGGGATGAAGTGTTCGAGTGATTCAATGGCTGCAGCTTACAGGAATGTAAGAGTGTGTGATCCAAGAAAGGGCGGCAGGAAGGGCGCACCTGAAAAGGTGAGACTTGACAGGAAGACTTTTGAGTCGACTCAAAAGAGGTGACTTTTGAGTCGACTCAAAAGTCACCAAGAAAGGGCAGCAGGAAGGGCGCACCTGAAAAGGTGAGACTTGACAGGAAGGATGTGTGCGAGGGATCGAATGGCTGCTGCTTACAGGTATGTAAGATTGTTGAGCGCAGAGAAAGTGGCAGGAAAGGCGCCTGTGAGTGTTGTTCTCCCTTGCATGCATGTAAGTGGGACTGCAAGACTCAACAGTCACCCCGCTTACAGGTATGTAAGATTGTTGAGCGCAGAGAAAGTGGCAGGAAGGGGGCCTGTGAGAGTGTTGTTCCCGAGGTTGCTGTAGGGGGGGTATGCGTTGCAAAGAAGACATGGTCGAGTTGAAGAGAATTTGAAAATGAGTTTAAGAAAAGTATTGGAATTACTGTTCAGAATTTTAGTGCGCGCAGATGAAAAGGCGCGCATAAGGCTGGACACCGAACTGTATTGCACCGCACCGCACCGCACGACAGTGTATCACCATTGCACTGTAACCCATTGTACCACACCACATGTATCATAAGCCATTCTACCATACCGCATATATCATAGCTCACAGCTTCTGCAGGCGCGACAGCTGACCAATGCTGGCGGGAATGGGGCCTGTCAGAGACCATACCGCTTTGTACCACACTATTCTGTGCCACACCGATTTGCACCACACCAATTTCTAGCCCTGCCCTTCCCCTTCCCCTCCCTCACAGCTTCTGCAGGCGCGACAGCTGACCAATGCTGGCGGGAATGGGTCCACGCAGAGTGTTGAAGCTCAGATTGCTGGGAGAGAGTGGGAGACGAGGAGTTTCATTCTTAGGCGCCTTGAATTGAAACGTGTTAAGGCAGGCGCGACAGCTGACCAACGCTGGAGGAAATGGATCCATGCAGAGCGTTGAAGCTCAGATTGCTGGGAGAGAGTGGGAGGAGAGGAGTTTCATTTTTAGGCGCCTGGACACCTGCTAAGGCAGGCAGGCAGGAGAGCTGGCCGATGTTAGAGGGAATGGGTCCATGCAGAGCGTTGAAGCTCAGACTGCTGGGGGTAATGGGGCGGAGGGGAGGGGGGCAAAGTGAAGGAGGGGAAGAAGAGGGAGGGGAAAGGGAGCGGGGGAAAAGGAGGGGGAGAAGGGGAGGAGAAGGGAAGGAGCAGAGACGAAGGCGGAGAAGAGGGGAATAGGGAAGAAGGCGTGAGAGCTGGCCAATGCTGGACGGGAATGGGCCCATGCAGTGCGTTAAAGCTCAGATCGTTGGGGGTATTGGGCAGAGGAGGAGGGGGGGGAACGAAAAGAAAAGGGTTTTTAACTTTAGAGGCGCCTCAAGGATGGATCCATGCAGAGTGTTGAAGCTCAGATCGCTGGGGGTGTTGGGCGGGGGAGGAGCGGGGGCAAGGGAAGGAGGGGAAGGAGAAGGGGGAAGAGAGTGAAGGGAGGAGTTTTGACTTTTGAGGCGCCTTAAGAATGGACCCTGTCAGAGCGTTGGAGCTCATATCGCTGCGGGTGTTGGGTGGGGGAGAAGGGAGGGAAGGAAGGAGGGGAAGAAGAGGGGGGGAAAGGGGAGCAGGGAAAGGCGAGGGGGGGAAGGGGAGGAGGGGAAGAAGAGGGGGAGGAAGCGGAGCTTGGAAAGGGGATGGGGGAAGGGGAGGAGGGGGGAGGAGCAGAGATGAAGGCGAAGGGGAGGGAGGGGGATAGGGAAGAAGGAGGAGGGGAGGAAGCTGGGTGGCGCGGAGGGGGCAGGGGTGAGAAGCGGGGGTAGAGGGAAGCAGAGGACGCGGTGAGGGAGAGAAGGAAAGAGGTTGCATGCAGGGGCACAGCAGCAGCGACTGTGCTTCACGAATCACACCGCACTCACATTATAACGAGTGTTGTGAGCTTGCCTATATCGGAGCAGATGCTTCCAGTGAGATTGGAGCTTTCAAGATCACTGCAGGAGGGCAGTGTGGGGAGCATATAGTAAGTTATTCAAGTATTGATTTAGTGAGATTGGATCTGTGAAGTGAAGATCACTGCAGGAAGGCAGAGGGGGGAACGGAAGCGTACTATAGGCCATTTAAATATCAGTTTAGTGAGATTGGATCCGTGAAGATCACTGCAGAAGGGCAGAGGGCGGACTGCTGGACTGGAGCTGCAGGGGAACAAGAGGGGTTTCGAGATGGTTCATAATCGATTCGGAGACGTCTCAAAAGAGATTGGAGCAGTGCAGTAGAGGGGCGGACGGGACAGCAGCAATGGCAAGGAGCAGCATTGCATGAAAGGCCTGGTCAATGCAAAAAGGCATGGAAATGCAAGACTGCTTTTGAGGCGCCTCAAAAGGGGTGGACGGGACAGCAGCACGGGAAAGGAGGAGCATTGCAGGAAAGAACCACGAGTTCTCTAAGGCCTGATAGATACAAAAAGAAAGAAGGCGGGAGAGGGAGAAAGTGGGGTGGGGGGAGGAAGGAGGGTGGCGGGATGTGAGTGTAAAAAGCATCAAGACCTACTGCTTATAACGGGTACAGCTTACTTCCCCCACTGTACATCACGCAAGAAGTGAGTGTTCTGTCCAGCTGAGCCCCACGTTCATCGTGCACTGTAGAACATGGCACAATGCTTATAACGAGTACAACTTCATCTTTAGATGTGGAAAACTCACATGGTGTTGACTGTGCCGTCTTGGTTACAACTCAACCCCACGTCCATCCCACATTTTGTGGTGTTGCTCCAAGTGTTACCCTTTACACCCATCTCCACCGCACACTGCGCCAGTACTTCACCTGCACACACGCAGAATGGTGGCATTGGTGGACCAGGTTGAGAAAACCGATACTGGCAAAAGTGTTAATACAGAAGTGTTACAATTGCATGCGATACAGACGCATCCCATGCGATACTGACAGTGCGATACAGTCACATGGAATGCAGATACGAGTGTACGCGATACAAGCACAAACCTTGAACAGAGTTCACAAGAGTGACGGCCAATGAAAGCGACGCATGATTGTGGCAAAACGCGACGAAGCCAAGGACCAGCAGTAGTAGCGTCGGCAGCCGCCGCCGTGGCGATGACGGCGGCGACGTCGCCTGGTGGTGGTAACCTCGCTGGGCGAACAGCGCCGAAGGATCATCCTGTTCGCGCACCCAGGAGGTCGTCGCCGTCATTCGCGAAGCGTCGCACGGATCAAGGGCTTCTAAGAAGAGTATAGCGGATGATTGAGGTTGCTCGGAGCGTGATGCCAAGTGAATAGGCGGTTGAGAGGAGCGACTGCCTCCGCGACCTGTGGTAACCTAACGATAAAAAAATCGCCTAGGTTGTAGGGAAAACTAAGTCGCGCAGAGATAGTCGCCTATATCTCGGCGCCTAGCCATTGTTTGTCGCCTACTTGTCGCTTACATATTGTCACCACGGGCTGTCGCAAGAGATTGTAGCTTACTGTCGCCTAAAGGCGATTGGCGGGAATCGCGCGTCAGGCAAAGGGGGTGGGCTGGCACTATAAAGCACGTTGCTTCATGCAAATGGCTGAGACGCGCACGCGATAATCGCATTCGGGAAGCGCACAGCCGATCGTACTGCTTAGCTTGAAACACGCGGTGAGCGAACGAAACCGATCGAATTGCAACAGAGCTCCTAGGCTATTGCAATTATGTGACCTAGAGACTATCCAGCGACCAAAAATCCCCCAATGTCGTATGGATATGGTGATCCTTCTAAGAACCTCATCCCAAAACGCGTACGATACGATTCACAGGCGTCGGCTCGACTCTCGTTTAAAATTCCCACGAACACGACTGTTTACATGACGTGGCAGTGCGGCGACATTCACGGCCAGTTCCAAACACCTTATAATGCTCTTGAAGAATATAATTGTCTGGAATGATGTGACGAGTTGCGTGTGTAGGGCGAAGAGTGTGGTGGAGTGGATGGATGCACGTTCTGCTCGTGGAAGAAGCTGCTGTTGTCGTATGAAGGAAATCCATCCAAAGTTTTTGTCGAGGATCTCATGGGAGCTCACGTGAACGCGGTAAATTGCGGTAAGTTTGCGTACCGAAGCTTTATGTTTACAATCTAAATTGGTTAGCTACGGTTCTGAGTGACACAAAAATCACCACACTCCATCCAGACCAGTCATGTCATCACACTCGCAGCGTTCACAGACACGTGAGAGAGATGGTGTGTGTTTCAGATGCACGGCACACTAACTCTCACCCTCTCACTCCTGTGGATCACTCCCATCCGCTCTCATGCATCACACCCTCTGCCACCTCATAACTTCCGACGCATTCGCGCTGCGAGTACACAAAGACGGCTGGCGTTTGGTTACAGAGTAACATCCAGAAATGGGGTGCAAGGAAATTTTCATTTTACCGTTCCGCCAACATCTACGATTCCGAGGCTACCTCTCGTCGCCTTCGGTTTTCCCTTGCCCAACCTGCACCCAACCTCGTGTTCCCTAGGTTCCCGCCTAGCTATAGTTGTTCCTATATTACATCGCGTCCTTCATTGTAGAGGCCGATTATTTAGTCACAAGCTTCGTTATTCGTTTTCTGCGCAACTCTGTTTTACAACTCATAACACCTGGTATCAGAGCTACTTTCCTAATTCACCCCGCGTTTGGAGGGTAGTTTAGTGGCACGGGTGTGACTGGCACGGTGGGCTGCAAAGCACTTGGCAGCAAAGTTTATTAAATTAAACTTACCCGACGTCAATAGCTATTGCGCTTGCACTGTTGTCGAATTGTCACGGTTACCCAGTTGTGTCAGATTTATATGACATAGCTACTGTAGGCTATAGTGGGGTAGCACATATGGGGTACAGTTTTCTAGGGTTTACATTTGTACCCAACTTTCCTTTAGTCAATTCATTCTCGTTCAGTTTCTCAAGTTGCCCACTAGACGTAATTTGCGACATATGGACCAGGCGGCATTTAACGAGCTGATGCGACAACTCGCCGAAATGAAGACCGGCATGCCGTTAACGGCAGAAGTGGAGAAGCTACGTGAAGAAAACACCGAGCTACGCCAGGCGCGAGGTGAAGCGCGTCAGGAGTCGCCCGATGAAGAAGGCGAGTGCAACAGTCAAGCGGTGAGCAATCCATTGGACGAGCTCATACGTGGTTTCGAAGAAGAAGATAGGCAGCGAGCGGCAGCAACAACCGTTGCAGTAACGACGATCAATATTAAGTATGCGAACCCACCCCCGTTCAACCCGACGGTCAAGAACACAACAGTTTAGGGGTGGCTCTTCGGCGTGGAAGTCTTCTTCACTGAAGCGAACGTCAACAACGACGCCACGCGTATTAATTACGCGACATCGCTTCTGTGAGGCCCAACGCTTGAATGGTGGCGCCGAACCTTGAACACGGGGACCCCGGCTTACTGCGGACCCTTCCGCATTGTAATAATAATTTCCCCAGTCACCGCGAAGCTTCTGCTGCCCGATGACTGGCGTGTGCACGATACATTCTATATCAGCCTCCTTCGGCCTTTCGTCGCTACCACGACGTAGATTTCCCACTAAAACGCCGCACCAACAGCTCGACATGTACCAAACCCGACACTTGACCCGTTGGACAATCATGGGGCACCGCGCTCGCCTTGACACCACTGGGCATCACATTGATTTTTTTATTCGCTAGACAGCCCGCACCAGTGAGGACGACACCTGGGTGCCATCTTCTTCACTTGAAGCACCTTCGCTCCTTCGTGCGCATCTCGCCCGGAAACGTGTTGCGGATATTGACCACATTTCTTAAAGCGGGATGGGGGGGGGGAGGGGGGGGGGTGTCAGAAATAACGTGCAGGAATTATTGACTACAAGCATGAGATGAGTACAAGTAGGTCTAACCCTAAAGTGTTGTACTCAGTAGAGGCTACCCTACCATAGCCTACAGACATACAAACACAGTTTGACACACCCCTATAGGCGAAGTGGGGAACTGCAATAACAGCAAGCGGTCACAAGACCAGTCAAGAAAGGCAACAAAGCAAAGCCCAGGGTAGATCTCAAGATCACCACACAGTCCGAGCACAAGCAAGCGGCCACAAGGTCAGTTCACATGTAGTGTGATAACAGCAAAAGAAATACAATTATCACAACCTAGCAAGTGTACGCACGCAGAGAGCAGAAGTGTCGGCCCGGGAGGCCGCAACGCTCGCATGGCAAAGGAACGAAGTGCAAAGTGCTACGTTATGCTCGCGAGTCTGACCAAGTAGCGCAGCACCCTCTTAGCAGCCCGCCAATGTGCAGGGTGGTGTCTCCTGGGCGCAACGTAGCGAGTCCGGATGCTGAGAGGGTACGGCAGGTACTCCGGCTCGAACTGCCTGTCCTCAAGGACGTCACAGCCAAGGGCAAGCTCACCCCCGACGGACGGAGGACACGAAGAGGCAGAAAAGAGACCCGCAAGGTAGGCACGACGGCAAGTAGCGGCAAAGCCAGCGAGCTCAGCTACTAAGGCAGAAGCAGCAGCAGTCGGATAAGCATGTGCAGTCAAAAGCGCGGCTAGACAACGAGGGATAGTCGGGCTAGCAGCACGAGCAAGGCCAGACACTGGGTCAGGAACTACAGGAAGAGAAGACGGGGGAGGTAACGGCATGACAACAGGCTCCCGAGTAACACGAGAGGTAGCAGGGGAGGTTGCACAAGATGCAGGCACCCGGCGCCCAGTCAGGGAGACGGGCAACGGGGAGTATTGAGCAGGAGCAGGCAGAGGGGGGTCAGGTGGCAACAGTGTACGAGACACGTCAGGCGGCGAAAACAACAGAGGAGGAGTAGTACAAGTGGGCGTCGGCTCAGCAGAGGGAGGTGGGAGTCTGAGAAGTGGTGAAGCGCCGTCTCAGGTAGCGACGACGACGGCTGCTCCAAGAAGATAGGTCGTCGCGGCAGCAACTTTGACGCACCGCCAGACCCAGCACCTCCAGCGCCAGTACCTACAACTCCACCAACAAGAGGACTCCTAGCACCCCTAGATTCAGCACCCCCAGAACCAACACCCCCAGAACCAGCACCCCCAGCCTCAGCGTCACCACCCCCAACAACACCTGGGCCCCCGAAGTCCACATCGACACGCTGTAGAGGAGGCGAAAACGTCCGAGGCGAAAAAACCGGAGGTGTCTCCAAGCGCGGCGAGCGGCGAGAGGTCGCTGTGTCGGCAGCAGCAGGGTCACCCCCCTCAGTCGGGTTAGAGGAGTCAGAGGGGACTGTGCTAGGAGTCGCACAAGTATCGACGCACGAAGTCTCTACCTGCTGTTTTCCGCCCCCAGAACCGCCTCCTCTATTGGCTGCTCCACCCCCGTCACCCCCGCCAGCTCTACTACGAACACCCTCGTCAGCTACAGTGGCGAATTCTATCAGCGGATGGAAGGGAAGCGGCAACGCAAGACAGCCTAGGGTGGCAGGAGAGAGGGGGGAGTAGCACCAAACCAAAGCGGTATATAATGCATGAGCCGACGGCACCTGGCAAAAGTTGGCTCTCTGGTCGAACGAGAGGTGAGCGCGGACTGCAAGTTTGGCGGCGGCGTCGCGCGACATCCACCGCTTGTAGGCAACGTGGTCAGCGCGGTATTGCGTCTGCACCTCCTCCCCAGCGGCAGCAGCATGCTCAGCAGGAGCCTTGGGGGCCTGAAGAGCCCCCGACGTGTGCTCGAACAGTGAGACGTCGTGGCTAGTGACACTATGGAGGTACAGGTGCAGCCCCTCTATCCAGGAGTCGAACCCTAGAGGGTGTCCCCCTGCGATAAAGGCTAGAACA